CAGACTCAGCATCTATAATTAGACCCTGGCAGAAGCAGTGCTAGAGATTTGTGAGTGTTAGTGAAAGCCTAACATGCAATATATAAACAGTTATTATATGCTTTTAGTTGGTGAGAGGTGGTGGTAGTAGTAGTTTAAAAAGGATGAACAGATTGCAGAAAAGATGATTAGAGAAGGGAATAATGAGTGTGTAAATATGCCAATTGCAGCTGTGCTTATAGAGCAGAGTGTTTCCAAGTATAAGTGGTCCATGTTTTAGAAGATTAATATCCAAGAGCTGAGCTTGTATAATGGATTCTGAGAGATCAAGCAATGCATAAAACATAGCTTCTCCAGCTCTAGCAGAGTGACCACTAAAGTCTCTGCCTATAATTGCAAAAAACTTCTTGTTGAACTAATTTTATGATAGGATATCACTATTTTCATGAATGAAGAGTAGAGCATATAGACCATAAAGAAGATCTCAATATTTTATGTATTGTGATAAGAGCATAACTGAGTCTGTGAGTTTCTGTCATGTGAATAGAATGTCAGTATCATAGTAAAAGAAGTCAAATTTATTATAAGAAATATAATATTATACATCATTCTTTTAGAGGATAAAGAAAGAACATTGAATTATTTTGTAAAAGTCTTAAAGTTATTTGTCATTTTTTCAAATGAGCTTATCTGACTAATAGCAGCCATAAAAGCAGCAAGCAAGAATGGTGGCAAATAGAAAATCATCATAAGAATCTGAGATGTTAGCAAGAAGATAAAAGACAATCAAATAAGATAATTGAAGAGATAGTTTTTGAGATATAGAATCATCTCTTATTTTTCTTGAGCCACAGATAGTAGCTTGTATCATGAGGTGTTTCCAATTGGCATCAAAGTCAGAATAGAGGTCTTTTAGAAAGTGATAGACTTCAGTCAAGTATTTTGGACCAGATGAGATGAATTAAAATGTATAGACAATATACCTGCTGAAAGTAAGTGGTGTTGGTTCAAGAGACAATGCATGAGTAATACAAAACTATATGTAATCATGTGCTCCTGTTATATAACTCTTTGCTGCTTTAAGCTCAATTGCATGAGCTTAGAGAAAAAGAATATGTTCATCAAAAAGAGAAAGAGAGAAAGCTGAGTGAGCAATGCAAGAGGCATGCTTGCCTAGTGCAGTTAGAAGGATTGTCTCCATCACACCAGCAGTAGGTCTCTTGGTGGAGTAAAAGTGCAGATGTGATCAGCAGAGAATTTATGATGATATTCATCCAAAAGGAGTTGAGAAAGCATATCTGCCCAAATATTATCCTTTTCATCAATATGTCAAACATGAACATCAATTCCTGATCTGAGTATCAGACCTGCTACTCCAAGTAAGAGTTTGTTGTGAAGAGGTTCTAATACAAATAGAAAATCAAATGCAGTGACAGAATCAAGACTATCAGTGAAAAGCAAGAGATGATGAGGAGATTTGGGTAGAAATACTGCATAATGGATAGCTAAATGAATAGTGACAAGCTCAAGAAAGAAGATATCAATCATATTTTTAGATAAAAGTGGATGGAGCTGATATACAAAACTGTTTCCTGCAAAAACAAATGATAATGTGTCTTTTAAGCTAGCATCTATCCAGAATATCATATCAACTTCTGAGTTGGTCTAGAGAGCTGAATCAACAAAACAAACACCTACAGAATTCAGAAGAATAGATGAAAACCAGAAGAGGTCCTCTCTAATAGCAGCATTGATGAAGATCTTTGTGAAAGAGTGAGTCTTATTTTTTTATACAAAGAAAAAAGAGCAGGATAGTCTCATGACAGAATATTCAGTATTCAGTTCAGGTATCCACTTAAATGCTGCCATTTTTGTAGAATAGGTGCTCTTTCAGGTGTTAAAAGAAATGAGTCAACCTTAGATTCAGCACTGATAACAGACTGCTATATAAGAAAGATACTTTTCTGGTTAGCATTAACTCAGAAACTGATAATTTTAAGAGTCTGACCATGTATCTGTTTTGAATCATCAAAGAGACAGAAGATATATTCTCAAAATATCAAAAGTTGCACTTACCATACTGGTTGCTGCTGATCTTGATAGAAAACTTGATGATTAGTGAAATCTCAGCCAAAGAAGTTATTTATATAAACATGGAGGTCAGTGATGTTGAAATGGTGAATCCCAATCCAGCACAACAAGGCTGAGACTAAGCACCAAATTCTGGATGAAGCTCAGCTCCCAAAGACAAGCTGTCTAACAATATGATATTAGTTGTCAACAAGAATCACTTGATGAATTTGCCATAGAGAATATGCTGGTAAATTCAAAAAGGCTTTAATGACATTGCTTTTATATAGAGTGAAATTGGCATTAGGATGTTATATTTTAGCATTGCAAAGAGCTTCACCAAATAGATGCATATCATTGTATTTGATCTTTGCCTTACTAGCTAGGATTCCTGCATTTAAACTAGAGAAAGTATAATCTATTATGACATGGAATTTTCTATCTTGCTAAATCACAAACATAAGTGATACTTTCATATCTGGTAAGAGTGCAAACCCATCCAGTAAAAGTGGTGACCAATGACCAGCTGCAACTTCACAATTATGAAATGCTCATATTTCATTGATATTTTGAGGATCTATAGTATAATTTTTAATCTTGTCATAGAGAGAATCTTCTCATTCACCAAGATTGAGAGGCTAGAATCCATTCTGAAGACTATAAATGACTGAGGAGATGAAGAGTTTATTTGGATAAAACTGAAGAATATTCTCCAAGCAATTAACATTGACTAGTGTGTCAACTACAATAAAATCCTTTAAAGCATATAGTATAGCCTGCAAGGATGGATCATTGAGTAGATATAAAGAAGAAGAGGGTAGAGAATCAGCTAACTCAGTAGATTGAGCAGCAGAAGATATAGATATAGATAGTGTAAAAGTATTTAATCAGATATAGCCATGCCTGAAGCATAGGCCAATATTCTGGTCCTCATATTTGTGTTTTTGAGGTCTTAAAGATCTAGGCTCTGCTGCTGCTGCTGCTGCCATCTTCACTGTTATCTCTTTCAAATATAAGTCTCCTTTTTGATTAGAGAAGGTTGGTGTATTTGACAGTGTCTCTAGCTTAGTGTCCTGAGCCTCATTCACTACAAGTACTATGCCTACAGCAATTGATATATAGATCTTGGCAGAAACTCAGTTTTCAGTTTTCATATAGAACTGTTGACCTTTTCACAGCAGAAAGTAAAGCAGACAAAAATTACTTTGTGTCTGAAGAAGTCAAAGAAAAGCAAAAAACCTGGGTAAAAATGGGAATTTATAGTTCACTCCAGATGTCCATATGAAAAAGAGACTTAGCATATCACAGCTGAACTTCTTCATCAATATAGATAGCAACTGTGGAGTCATAAAGCACAGCCTAAAAAACTTTGACTATATATTCCCAATAAACTTTGAGTTCAGCCTCATGATGCAGATAAAGAATCTGAACACCTTTAGCTCAGGCATCATACATTCTGCACCAGTTGTATTCTGACCTGAGAGGTTTCTTAACAGATGAAACATTCTTTCTGATAATGGCATATCCTGTCATAAGCTCTTTTGCCTCCTTATTGTAATCATATTCTCAGTCCATCAAAGCAAAAAGTTTTGAAAAGTCAACATACTGATCCTGAATGATGAGTTGTCAGAATAGCCAGGCAATGGGTTTAAACAGAGACTGGGCTTAAAAAACCATGATGAGATTGTCAAGTGACTTTTCAGTAGCATAAACTTGTCTGAGTCAGAATGACTCAGTAAGATGAGGATCTGAGATACTAGTGGCAACAATGATGCAAGGTGAGGTGCTTAAGCAAAGACCATCAGAGAAATAAAAGCTGTCCTTAGTGAGACAGTGTTGCCAAGCCCCAGAATGCTAGTGAAAACTGTAGTGATGAAGCTCTGGAGATCATTTGTATTAGATGTCTGATGAAGGAATTGAAGCTTTGAATAGAGCATCACCCAAGTGGCTTCTTGAAACTGTTTAGCAGTGGCTTTAGATTTTTTGACTCACTTTTATCAAAACTCCTTAACCTCAGCCTGAGACAAGTCTGATAGAGTGGCCTCTCTGTGGTCTGTCACACAAATGTCCTTACTGTCACCATCTTGTATATTAGAGGGTGCAACAGTTGAGCTCTATGGGCTAGCTTGCTTAATCCACTCCTGTAGAAATCTGATGTGGTCTCTGGCAACCTTAGATGAAATGCCAAGTTGGTGAAGTCTGTCCACAAAGTTGAGAATATTGATAGTGCCTCTAACACATTCCTCAACAAGGTCTTTGCAATGTTTAGCCAAGGCAGTGACACCTTCAACATTGATCAATGGATTGAAGGTCATAAATGAAATCCATAGATTTGAAGGATGAACATCTAAACAAAAAACTTGATGACTTGTATAATAATGGTGCAGTAGTACTGAATGAGGATTGATTAGGTCTGGCAAAGCCAAGACTACTCAAGTGAGCCAATTGTGAGATAAAAAAAGAGGTAGAGCCTCACCAGGCAACAGGAGTTATTGATAAGCAAAGGAGGAGGCAAAGCCTCAAAGCCTGAGAGTGGCAGTCAGAAATGATTGACAGTGAGAGTGGAGCTCATCTCACCTAGGGATGTGGGATGAAAGTGGGAGTGAAGAAGAGACACTTGGTGCCGATGTCTCTCATGAATCAGCATCAGCCAAGACTTGGCACTGAGACAGAGACAGCACCAGTGATCCCTCTTCATGAACAAGCAGAGCTCTGCATCTCTGTGATGACAGAGATTGTAACAACCTCAAGAGCCATGCAGAGGCCTGCAAAAACACTCCCTACCCTTGGAATCCGCCTTTACAACGGACTTGGCGATCCCCGTGATCGTGTAATGTTTTAGTACGAAGCTGATATCTCAGATGACGTACACGATAATATCTTCAATGCTCATGTAATATGACGAACCGGGATTGGAAGAAAAAATGCCGACGGCAGCATTAGATGTGTGTTATCTTTCGAATTAGAATTTGAAAACCAAACCTCTCCTTGCAACTGAATCGATCCAGCTATCATGGCGCCCAAGGATGTTCTGCTCGTTGGTTTTGGCGCAGTTGGCGCCGTATGTGAGTATAAGACTTCTCCTTAGGCTTCACATTTTGATTCGCCAAGACTCTCTCATCTTCAAGAAGAGCGGTCTCGCACGAGTCACGGCCGTGGCGAGGAGTAACTATCACCTAGTCAATGGTAGGCTTTTGTGTAAATTACTGGTATTCTTTGAGATGTGACCTCGCAGATAGAACATGGGATGCATTTTAAAAGCCGTAAATACGGTGATATACCAGGATGGAGGCCTGATAGATGTGAGTTGACGCCGTTCCGCTATGCCAACCTCGTAGGAAGTCCAATGGAACATAAATTCCAACCATGGTAATTTTTGCAACAATAACGAGTTGGCAGCTCCGATCTATTCGGACTTCCTATCCTCCTATCCTTGCTGCTTCAATCAATGGCTTGACAATTAATTCTTACAGTGTGCTCCTCCGTTGCAAGCGCTGCGGACCAACGATATGACTACGTCGTTCTCACCACCAAGGCCGTTCCAGAACTCATCAAAACGCCCGAGATTCTGGAGCCGCTTCTGTCTGCCCCATATTCTGACAAGTACCCTCAACCGATATATGTTTTAATCCAGAACGGTTTGGGCGTCGAGGTCGACCTCTACAATGCTATCAAGAGCCTCGGTAAAGGTCCTCCACAGATTATCAGTACCTCCGTGTTTATAGCTACCAATCTACTCGCGCCGAATGTCGTACAGCACGGTGCCTTTGTAAGTTCGTCCAATAATATTCAGCTTGCAGAAAAGATGAATGATGCATGACCCTTAGGATAGACCAACTCTCGGCATGTACAGGTATCGGGATTTCACGACCATTGTCAATACCCCGGAAGAAGATTCCATTCTTCGTGACATCGGCGGGATGTTAGAGAAGGGTGGAAGCACAGTCACCCTAGTATCTGAAATCCAAAGGTTGAGATTTGCAAAGAACTTTTGGAATGTAGCATTCTCTTCGCTAGCAACTTTGACAGGGTGAGCATCAATCATTGGAATTCGTCGAGCAGCCCCTTTTCATTCTTCTTGCAAAAGGTATACCCCGACAGCCATATTTCGACCACTACCTTCAGATCCTGCGGTTCCATATGAAACTTACGTGTATCCGAAGACAGCACATCTCATAAACGAGAGCACCATTCCAAACGTTAAGGCTGTATTGACTGAGCTAATGAACTTAGGCAAGTACTGGTATGTTTTATCTTGTGTGCCGTGCTTATTGTCCTTTTTAGGAAGAGCAATGGGCTTTCCAGACACTGAGGATGGTCTTCCTTCGTCTCTAGTAGAAGGCACCGTTGAGAGAACCAGAGTTCTGCACATAGAACCCGACCACTCGCACAAGCCAAGTATGATGCTCGACGCTGAAAAAAGTTTGCCTATTGAAGTCGAAGTCATTCTGGGCGAAGTCGTCAGATTGGCCAAAGAGTACAAAGTTGACATTCCGGTACGTCTTGCAATTGTTCCGATGTTGACCCTGCTAATTCTGCTAATAGCGAATTGAGATGATGTACTCCCTATTGCTCGTGGTTCAAAACCAGATCTTACGCAAATTGGGGAAGTGAGGGAGTCAGTATGTCAGTAATAGCATAATATACATATATAAGATTAGACGACATTATTATTATTACTTGGCATTTCCAAGATGCAAAGGAAATCTGTCCATGGTACATATTTACTTAAATCGACGTATACCGATGCGAAACGAAGTCCTTGATCCTTAATAGTACAGGTCATCCTCATCTTCCTCATCACTCTGAGCCAGATAATCACGAAGATGTGACGGGGGCCCTGGAACAGAACCATCATCTTCATCATCATACCCATAGTCACGATCACTATCCGAATATCCATATACTTCATCTGCATAATATCCAAGCGCCTCCCCATCGCTGGCATCTTCTGGTTCGGCATATCCATCCTCGTCGTATGCCAGATGTTGATAGACATCGTAGCCTTCGTCAGTGAAGTTCGAATAGGCAGATGCAGGGTGAACGTCGTCATCGTCTTCATCATCAGACATAGCACGAAGTCTGTTCCCAATACGACCTCGATAAGTCATAGGAATTGGGATATCCCCGTCTTCATCCCCACCTGTTTCACTTCGGTATAATACTGCAACCTCTTCATCATCGTCGTCGTCATCATCAATAACGATCGGCCTGATGCTCGGACGATACATAACAGAAGGTCTAGGATTGCCCCCATCTTCTTCTTCGAAAGTGCTGTCTTCTCCATTTACAGAATTCGTACGCGTAGCATCCCAGGTATCATGGTGGGAGCTCGAGGAGGAACTTGAATGAGGCGAAAGGTTCCGCAGAGACGGATATACGCTTGAGCGAGGAGGCGAAGACGCCAGTGAGAGCTCCAGCACTTCTGATGGACTGCTATGCGTCTCAGAATAGGACCCCTCTCGCCAAGAGGAGACACTTCTTCTGTCGCCCTCTGAATCCGAATCATGGACTTCAATAACCTGGTCATCATCAATGAAGCTGCCAACACTGCCATCAAGGAAACTTCCGTCGTAGTCTTCCTCGTCGCTCATCTCTACATCCAAACCGAAGACATTCCCAGGGTGATGGCGGAAATTGGGAGGATTCCACAAACCGCTGGGCATTGAGTCCCTTCCACGTGGTGCATCCTGACTGCCAGGGTAAAAGCGATCACAATTCGAGCAAACTCCAGCCCAAATCTCGTGCATGCAATGGCGACAACGGCGTACACCATCTTCCTCGTCAAATATCCCTAACATGTCCAAATCCTGGTCGTCCTGTTGCAAACGAGTGCCAAAAGTACCTTTCCACGGGTCACCCTCGACAGTCGTTTCTGACTGAGGGTGATCCTGGATATCGGAAAGCAGACCTGATTTGAGAAGACCGGTGACGGTGCTTTTGATCGTCCATATTTCGATGGGTCGCTTCGTAATGACAGTACGACAATGAGGACACGTCTTGGGCTTATGGGCAAGAAGCGCTCCGACATCTACGGCGGGATTTGTAAACCATTGCAAGAGGCAGTCTTGACAGGCGACGTGACCGCAGGGAGAAAGAGCGTAGGGTTTGCGGAGCAAGTCTAAACATACTTGGCAGGTCATGGTCTGCTGGACTTGACGCAAGACATCGTTGTGCTTCTTCAGGAGCTGGTCAAAAGGTGAGACCGCAACAGGACGGGGCACTGGACGAGAAACAAACCTGTGACTTTGCCTGAAGTTCCTCCTTTAGACGAATTATGGTGTCTTCGGGAGACTCGTGTAACGATTTCGCCTTGACTTTACCTTTCATGTCAACCTGCTCTGTATTAGAACCAATGCCGATGACCTAAAGAGACCAACGTACTGGTGCTGCGGCGGGCTCTTTAGGAGCCTAAAGCCTTGTGAGAATAAAACAGGTCTTCAGTAAAATAGAAAGACTTACATCACTCTCTGATGAGACTGACGCAAGCTACAAAGAGTCAGATTGTGTCTTGTACGAAAGTGGTTCACTCACAGTAGCGTCGCTGCTTTCCTGGGCGTTAGCGTCAACATTCATTGTATTTGCCGCTTTCTGTCCAGCATTCGGGTAAGATCTTAGACTCTTGTGTAAACAAAGCACCACACGTACAACAGACGTCGATGCCAGCGCGTTATCAACAATACTTTTCTTCTTTTTCTTACGCCGCCGCTTCTTCTTTTCGCCAGCCGTGCCTGTTCGTGGTCGTTTCTCTGGTCGTATAACACCCAGACTCTCTGTACTGGATCGTTTGCGTGCTGAGGATGTCCCTATACTGCTTGGCCCTGGTATGGATGCCACTGAGGGCATCATCATCGTTAGAAAACAAGAAAGCGATGTGACTGTGATTGTAACGACGCGTCTCGTCGGTCCGAGCCACCGTACATTTTCCGACTTGAATTCAACAAGGCCACGATCCCTACCTCGCAAGTAGTTTTTGAAAATTCACCCCCTGCATAGCCACATGGATTCCAAACTAGTAATGCGATAACGTGACTGGGCACAAACCGACGCCATGTCAGGACATTTATTAGTTTTGTGTGAATAATAATTGAATACCACACCAAGTTTTCATTTTATTCAATTAATTTGAGGCAACTGACCCCTCAAGGATATGGTGGACCACCCCAGGGATACTAACCCCAGCCGCAACCCTAGACCATTATTATGTATGTTTCTATCTTTCAACGGAGGTAATATGAATAACTCTATCTTGTAGCCAACAACCGGAAGAGAAGAGTAGCGGTTGTTGTGGTACTTGTCCGGCTGTTGCATTGGAATATGTTGTTTCTGCCGTGCAGACGGTTAGTATATTCTATATATGGGTCTGTTCTAAAGCTGACGCAATCCGCAGCCCTATGCAACTTATAAACATACGTGCTTTAAATCTTTAATGCTATGTCTACTCTCGCACCACTATATTCTTTTAATCTACGCTATGTTTGAATGACCAACGTGACTTTCATCACTTGAAAGGAACCTCTTTTAAAGAGTGCTGTAGCCCCTCTCAAGCTCGGTTCTCAGATCTCCACCAATTACCTCGACATCCAAAATGCCCATCAAGTTCGTCCTCCTTAACCCTTCCTTGACTTTCTGCTTATCCAAATGCTTGTTTCCTCGTCTTCCGACGGATTCGGGTTCTGTAACAACGACAAAATTCACGCGATTTTTTACGCGTACCATGAGATCGTCGAGCGACTCCCATATCTCGACGGGGCAACGATTCAATGCTTGCGAGTCAAGGGAGACGACTCTCAGCGTTACGTCCTCCATTCGACGTAAGTCATGATTATAATGCCCTCGAAAAAGGTCTGGGAGTCCCCCAATAAAATCGTACGTCGAGAACACGCAGGTAATACGTGGAACACAACTGATATCCACGAAATTCTCAGTAGCTGTAGCACATTAATGAGACGATGAAAGAGGAAGTCCGAAGCTGACTACGCACATCGTTCAATGAAGGTATATAGAACGAGTTCCTTCAACGTATTCCGGGACATGTCAAGAAGTTTCTGTAGACTCCCTGAATGGACAGATCTAGGAGTGCAGGTTAAATAAAACTGCAGCCTCTCCAGGTGTCCGAATACATGAGTAGAGAACGAAGAATTCATCAACATTTCAAATGGTGTCCCATTCAACTGAGACATCCGTACGGCAAGAGAAGACAGTTGTGGCAATCGAGAGCTATCGATAACGGCATGGTATGGTAACGAATGCGCGATTGTTTGTGCATGGACAAGGACATCCAATAGTTTGACTTCCTTGAGTGCCGGACGGTCAACAAGAAGATCCACGAGCTCTTGAAAGTGGGGAAGAATCACATTCACGAGAGATATGCTGGTCAGGCGGGGCAAAGGTGTGTAGAAGAGGGATGCCCTTATGGCACTGGACAGGTTCTGGCTCCTGCGGGTAATGAACCTCGCCGCAACCACGGTGATAGAAGTTAAATTAACCAGGAGCTCGATGATTCTGGGGATCAGAATATCGTCTTGTAGGAACCAGGTACTTTCGAGACCTCCCCCGTAAAAGTCGTGAATACGGAGGGTCTTTACCAGCGCTGCGATGCGTGGCGAGTCCAGGATTAGCCGATGGAACTGGATATAAGGATTAGGTCTTGGGCGGCGAAACTTCAACTCAATACGGGAGAACAACAACTTTTGACACGAGGAATGGAATGATTGATTGACGAGGGAGGCATTCCTGAGGGCGTCATCTTGACCTTCTAGCTCATCGGCAATGGCGTCAACAAGCTCTTGAGGCAGCCCATCCCCCCAAGCGGCATTCGTCACTTCTGTGCGGCGTCAATTCTGCGCAAGAATTTCTCTTCAAGAATACTGACCCTCATCGGCGAACGAAATTACTCCCGCGGATGAAAAATCGGACATGATGGTGGCTGATAGGCTCAGTGATAAGGCACTGGTTCGAAAGGTTGATTGGCAGATCTTATCTTATCTTCCTTGTCCTTCTACCATCATGACGCCTTCCTTTCTGCATGGTCAATCGGAATCACGTATTAGATCGATCTTGGCTTCACTTGTTACGTCGGTCTGTAACCGAAGGATGGCCATGTATGGCTCGTTTCCAGTTCCTACCGTCCATTCTCCGTTTTGAAATTTATTTAGGGACATTTATACGCCTAGCCTGCACCATCCAACTAAATACATCATCGCAATTACATTCAGCCAAGTTCATAGAGAGCGAAGCCATGAGATATTTCAAGAAGATATCGATCGAGTGAGAGTGATAGCAAGGATACGATCACACACACAAGTCGCCTGCCAGAAAATCCAACACAGTGGAACATGGAAGCAGAAGGTTTTACTGCCTGACAGAGTCAATCAGAATCTAACGCTTGTAGACGATAACATCGGTGATGTTTTTCAGCCAGCGCTTGTAGCTTGCGCGTTTGGAGACTTTGGCAAGAATAGAATTCCAACGAGTCGATCGAAGAGAAGAAAAACGAGGGACATGGTTTGACTCGAGCTGTGGTTACAAATGTTACCGCAAAGACTGTGTTTGTTGTGAGTATGATTTCCATGAAGACAAAGCGACGCTCTCAGTCGTGATCATTGATCTCGTAGTTGCATTTATCCAATCTATGTAGGAGCTCAGAGAGCTGCTGAGAAGTTCGCCCCTTCGTCAAGAAACAAATGGAACTGGAGCAAAAAGTCTGTCACTTGGATAGCAGGCGAGCATCTAGATGATGCAGATCCTTGTGCTCTTCCCTTAGTCCCAAGGCGATCTGCATCGCACAACCCAGTAGACACTGTTAGCAATGCCTTGGTCTATCTGGATCCGTCACAAACACAGCAAAGAATGAGATGGTGTATTCCTCGCGATCCGTTATCGAATCAAGATCTTGCTCAAGGCGACGTGATTCTGGTATTACAGGCATTGAAATCTGTCAGATCGCTGGAATGTCAAGGTCAGTAAAGAATCTGAGAGCGATACCATGGCACTGTACAGTAAGTAGTGTTCTGAAATCAAGATCGGCGCCAGGACAAGCAGACTCTGTCAAAGACAAGAAAGCTGAGGCTGAAGAACGAGTAAGATGCCGGGAAGCTCATTCGGCGATCGGTCACTCCCATTCATGCATAAGGTAGTACATACATTGGATCCTCAAACGTCTAGATATACAATTACAATGGCTATTTACAAGATGCTTATACCAAAGAATTAGTCTCCAATAACAGGACGATACCTGAAATTAGGGTTAGACATAAGCTACCACACGAGCAATAGAAATGCGCACTATGAACGATTTCCGGCACGCTCTGCGACACCAGATCTACCGTAAGGTCTGCACAGGAAGGCTTTTCGTATGCCATATCGACGCCGGGGCATCCAGTAATTTCACCGCGGCGTGCTTTGGCATAAATGCCCTTCCTATCCGTCTTTTCGCAGTGCTCGAGAGGTGTAGCGACATGTATTAAGAAGAAATTGTCTCCAGCACCGGCAGATTGGAGGATGGTGTCTTTCGCAGCCTGCCGCGCGTCTTCTTGGGGGGCGAAAGGCGCGGCGATGACTGCAGCCCCGGCACGAGCGAGCTCGGCGGCAAAAAATGCTGCTCTATCGATACTCTCTTGGGTGTTTCCATCCTCTGATGGCGTATTCAATAAGTTTCCATGTGGAGAAGAATGGAGTGGGACTCACCAAGGAGGAGAGAAACACTGCGGCCTCCTTGTTCATTGAGTGAGACCTGTAAGGCCTTGGCAATCTTCTCTTTCCCAGAATTGTGCAATCCAGTAAAGAAGAGGACGAATCCCTGTTGATTGCGAGGTGGGTAGCTTTCACGCAGTGTTTTAACAACGGCGCTAGGAGATGTTTGAGAGATAATAACGGGATGGTAAAGAACAAAGGACTTACTCATAACTAAACCAGTCGGGAATGGGTGCGCCAGTTTTGAGACGTCTGCGGAGCTCAGTGCCAGAAATGTCGAGGGTTTGAACGCCTTTTGGAACCTCGTCAACAGGCTGATACTCGTCTGCCGAAGGCAAATAAGTCATCTGTTGGAAAGGTACCATCTCGATCTGGAGCTCATCTCGATACTTGGTAACAAGGTCCTGCGCATCGTAAGGGCCGTAAAAATCCTTTCCTTGGGAGTTCTTTCCGGGGCCAGCATGGTCTCGTCCAACGATAAAATGAGTTGCACCGAAGTTTTTTCGGATAATTGCGTGCCATACAGCTTCGCGAGGGCCTGCCATACGCATCGCCTAGATGGAAATGATCTCAGTGTTCCGGTAACACCACTCTAGCGCATTCACGAACCAAAGGCAGTAAAGCGAGATGACCCATCCCATTGGGGTACTTGGCCATTATGGCTTCGTACACACGAACCCGTGTATAATGGTCGACATCACCAGGCTTGGTTAGTCCGACCACGGGATGAATCAAGACGTTCTGAATGCGTCATTGAAGGTTGGTGTCCCATGATATTAGATGGAACACCTACTGCTTGTCTTTGTCGGGCAGCGCGAACCGTCAATTCACGATGAGCGCGGTGCATCGGATTGCGCGTCTGGAACGCGACAACCTTCCTCCAGGACAGTTTTTGAAAGTGGGCTCGCAGTTCGGCGGGGGTGACTGTAATTAAAGCTATCAACGAGCGGCCCTGTGTATACTGTACGAAAATACATACATCTGAGCGCGACATAGTCGAAGTGAGTGGGGGCTTGGATGGCTTGGATATTTCCCCCAATATAGAACTCTTGCACGCGTCTTCGCAGGTAACTTACAGCCGGATGAGCAGGATCGTCAGCACCGAAGACTTTCGCTGCTTCTTTAGGGCGGTCTGGCTTGTAGATGTCCTCAACTATCACGAAATCAGTAAGAAGACCAGAAGGTGAAAAATTCAGACCCACCAGTTATAATGGCCAAGGGTTCTTCATCCCGTGGGTCGCGAAGGGCAACTCGGGAACCAGGGACAATTGAGAGGCGGCTGATTTCTTGGCCAGACACATCCAGAGTGATAGGGATAGGGAACAAAACCCCATCTGCCAAACGAAGAGTATCGACAACACTGAGAACACAATTATTCTGGATAAATCAGTAAAAAAAACCCAAGCCTACAAACCTCTTATAATCCTTCTCCGTCATGAAGCCTTCCAAAGGGCTGAAGCCTCCATTGGCAATTAGCTCCAAATCGCAGAGTTGGCGCTTAGGGAAAAAAATCAATACATGTACTAAGAGAAAGATAGGAGGAAAATGACCTCAGTGAGAATGATATCAGGCAAGGTCTCTGCTTCTTCTCTGAGCTGGTGAGAAATTACATTGTCTCTTGCGACGAGGTCCTACAAGAAGGAAAGAGTCAGTACCCGCTCGAACTGAACACGCCAGTATTTTTTCGCTCACTTTGAGAACACCGCCGTGAGGAATGGTAGACATGTCAGTATGATGTTTGTTCTTGAGCTATTCAAGTGAGTGAAAGATAGAATTGAAGTACAGTTTGAGGACGTCTAGCTCAGACATTTTATAGGACGGCGCGATCGCTCAGAATCACGCAATCATAATTAATGCCGTCGGGTTTGTCAGTGTCATGCGCGTCGAATATGGAATACGTCGGATATATGATGCGTTCAGCCCTTCCTTCGAATGTTCGGGGAGACTACGGACATTTGCATCAGACTGTTGCAGGAGACGGGTATTTGATGCAGCAGATATTTTTCTTTCCGCATTGGGCATGCCCGCGGCGGGCGGCGGTATCTAATTCACCGTACGTCTCACATTGGGCGAAGGGAAATCCAGAGGGAGACTAACATAGTTCGTTCAGGATACGATGCAAAAATCAAGCTTCCCCAAAGCTGACATAGCATATCAACCCTTACCACGATGACAAGACGACAGGATAAGGCATGACTGTTTTATGGAATTCGTGTTCGCTGGAAGTGTCTCCATGCGACGTCGATAGTGATTATCATTCAACGAACAGGAGCCGATACCAGGAGTACGACTTTCGAGACTTCAATTTCCGATTGGCAGCACATGGTCTTTGGTAACATTGAGTACGGCGAAATTTTTTTGGACGCAGCCCCGTCACCATACAGTTGAGCACTGAGAGACAGGCCACGGCACATCTGGGTCCTGATAAGGTCGATATACGAATACATATGCGGCATGACCGGGCGCTGCGAGAGACAATACAAAACCGCCAGAGATGTAGAATCAAAAAGTGATGAGGGCGGGTCGGAACTGCCGACATGTACAGCTGGATGCACACGGTCCGGCAAAGGGGAGTACGGCTGAACACGGACAGACAAGTATGAATAACCAAAGTAGAGAACATCCTCCTAGATGAGTATCAATAGGAATCAATCCTGAGAGCAGCGGTACCCCATGTCGGACTTGTTTGATGGCCCATCATCAACAGAGACTGGGTGGGAATACACCAAGGCGTTGCCTGCGTACTGCGGACGGGTCAAAGGAACGTAGCGAATAAGGCACTTTTGGTATGGCGCTGTGTGGTGTGCATGGAAAGGAGAAATTGATTTTCTGGAAAAAACTAATAGACCTCGCGGAAAAAAGGTATTGTAGTGTGAAGATCAACTAGCACGTAATGTCAAAGTTTGGTATGCGGTCGACTTTCTAGCGGTCCAGGTTGCCTTTTCCACGTCTAGAGACCGTCATAATTTCCTGCGACTAGCAGCGTCTGATCCTTTGAGAGCACAGCAATTCTTCGTGAACGTAACACGTCGACGAGACAGTGCATCAATGAAACAATCTTGACTTGGTGAGGGACGTCGCTCCTCATGACCATATGGCTAGTACTCGCTTTAATCGTTCGATAACTTTGCGTTCTTCATTAACGTTTTCAGACCATTGAAGACTGAAATAAAGGACGCCTACTCACAGTTACTAGTCTCAACCCTGGCAGCATGGTTTTGTCACGCATCCGACCCGGAGGTCGATAAAAAAAGACCACTCGACGTTGGACGTGTATTCGGAATTTCCGACATCTAGAGCCCTTTCGATTCGTAAATGCTGGAAGAGAAACGACGATGGCAGTTGGACTTCCAACTGAACCGACATCGTATCCGAACCGGACATTGATACGACTCAAAAGATCAGACAAGATGACGACTGAACCAAAGCCATTAAAAACAAGTAACTCGTCAGAGAACTGCTGATCGACCTAGCCATGGCGATCCAGCAACATCCAGACTCTAGGGACGGCAAGCTAGTATACGGAAAATGCTGACACGTGTGTCCATGGCTGTGGGGGGGCGCGTCAAACCGGCGAGGGCTGTACGCCACGTGGAAAAATGCCGGACGCGTATAAAAGAGGTGAATTGTAGTGCATTGGCCAACCGAATTCGCGAGATGACTCCCGCCATAGCAATCATAGGCGCTGGCCCAAGCGGTCTTCTTCTTGCACGCCTTCTTCGATACCTCGGCGACATACCATCCACCATATTCGAACTCGACCCTTCGTCCTCTGCTCGCGGCCAAGGCGGCAGTCTCGACATCCATAAGGAGACCGGCCAATGCGCTCTGGAAGCCGCCGGTCTCTCTTCAGAGTTCCAAAAATATATGCGATCAGAAGCAGATCACCTCCGTCTGACGGACAAGACTGGTTTCATACATATAGACGAAGAAACGCCCGGGGAAGGGCGTCCTGAGATCGACAGAACTCAGTTGCGTCAACTCCTCATTGATTCTGTCCCAGCTAAATCCATCGAGTGGGCATCCAAGGTCACCAGCGTACAGCCTACTCCCGACGGACGTTTCCAAGTTATTTTGGCGAATGGATCGCAAGACCCACGCAGATTCGACTTCGTGGTAGGAGCTGATGGTGCATGGTCCCGCGTTCGTCCTCTTGTAACAGACGTTCTCCCCTTCTATTCAGGAATCAGTGGTATGGAGGTCCGTTTCCGCGATGTCGACACGACACATCCGGAGATTTCCAAGCTGGTGGGGCAAGGAAGCTACTTTTGCCTTAGCGACGAGAAGGCATACTTTGCACAGCGTCAGGGAGATGGGAGTATCCGCAATTACGCTATGCTCCGCGCCCCTGAAAACTGGATAGATGAATGCGGTATCGATTTTTCAAACCCGCAAGCAGCCAAGGCCGCGCTAGTTGAGCGGTACTTTGATGATTGGAGCGAGGCCAACAAAGATCTTGTACGTCTAGCTGACGATGATCACCTCATTGCACGCCAGCTGCTGATGCTACCTGTGGACCACCGGTGGACTTCACGCCCAGGAGTGACGCTGATGGGTGACGCCGCTCACCTCATGACGCCGTTCGCTGGAGAAGGCGTGAACAATGCAATGGTGGATGCATTGGAACTGGCAGAAAAGATGGTCGCTGCCCTGAGAGACGGCTCAGCTGGAACGATGCAGGAGAATTTGGCGAAAGCGGTGAAGGAATACGAGGAGGGTATGTTTGCCAGGATCCAGCGCGTAGCACATGACACCTTGGAGGGTCTGGGCGTCATTTTCACTAAGAATGCGCCTCTGGAATTCAAGGAAATGATGGAACGACTCAGGGCCGGCGGTCACGATTTGTAGACTCAAGACCCAGTTATTCTCTCCCAAGCATTCCCCGTCTTTTCTATCGCCTAGCAATCGTCACCATTAAATGGGACTGACAAGATCCTAGTAGATAATAGGCAGTTTTCACTTTTGTACTACTGTAATTGTAAACAGGTAGGTTGATAGTTAAAGCAGAGCACAAAGTGTAATATTGGCGCACGCAAGAGCGTTGTGGCAGTAATTTAAATTGTGTTGTTGCTAGGAGAACGTGATTGTGGGAAACAATTCCCAAAATCATTCGGCACTTTGGTCGGAGAGATCGGACCTATGACCATGATGTTCCCCATCCCCGCCTACTTGAGTACTGTAAGGGACTACTCCATGAAAACATGGACGTTACTCGATGATTATTCTCCGGTGCCTCATTTGTTACCAGATTTACCTTTGGCAATGACTATTGTCTCCTGGAACGTAAATTTTGTTGCAAATGTTGTGGCCCGGGAGAGGCTGCGCTGCGCACTTGAGCATATCCGGCGCGTAGTGTCATTGTACCCCCATCCTTGCTGTATTCTTCTCCAGGAAATACGTGGCCCAGGTTTCCAAACTATTCTGTCGACGGATTGGATCCAAAACTGCTTTTTCGTCATTCCACAGTCAGAAGCGACAGACGACAATGGGTATGGTTGTGTCACCTTGATTTCGAACAATCTACCCCTCGTCGGAGCTTGGTCACTTCCCTTTCCATCGGAAATGAACAGAAGTGCCATACTGACCGACCTGCTTTTCGCCTCGGGCCCTGGTCGCCCGCCGGTGAAAGTGCGATTGGCCAATGTACATCTCGAATCCCTTTCATCTGGCGCTGGAGCCAGAGTCATCCAGCTGAATATCACTGCCGAAAGGCTACGCGACGTCGGCGTTGACTTTGGCATTGTTGGTGGTGATATGAACGCGATCTCTAATTCGGACAAGGTTCTTCCTGAGTCGTGCGGATTAGTAGATTCTTGGAAGGGAGCAGAATATGACGAAAGTGGATTCACATGGGGATACCAACCTACCAGCAGGTTTCCACCTGGCAGGTATTGTTTATTCTTCCTTCCAACGTCTTGATCCTTTACATACTAAATTATGTCGACTCGAGGCTGGACAAAATATGTCATACGTTGCCGCAGTCATTCAACTTCACCCTTGATGTTCCTCGTCGAATCGGAGTCGACTTGAGGTCCCCGACTGATAGATGGGTCAGCGACCACTACGGACTGGCGACAATTTTCAGGGTCCTATGACGCATCTTTGAGGCTAATACCACCTTTCCAATCCTACCGCTGATAGCAACTGTTTTCTGGTATCACTACTTTCCTATACCCTTCCTTCGTTTCCAGGCGGCAAATTCATAATTCTCCACGAACCGTTCCGTACCCTTGATCATCTAGCAGTACATCTGTCACGCAAAATCTCACTTGTGGTCCGTACATTCCCGATCTATGTTTAGAACGGGCCGTCGACCGTCTATCTTTCCATGCCATGTTCTTGAAACTTTTTCCCGCGTCAGATGAGCAGGCAAAAGACTATGTAAGGTCATCGATTTTAAATTTACGCACTCTCCATCCAGCCATTGACAATACATCACAGTGCAGTCGCGTCTCGAGGCAGACGAGACCTTCTAAAGAATACTGCGTAGTTTTTGTTCTTTCGCTACTCTCCCACAACCGGGACGTGCGAACCGGACGTGCGCTCTACAACAATATGCACGACGTTGATCGAAGCGCTATAGAAGCCACGAGAAATATAACTTGTAGCTGGTCAGTGTCTCGTAGATTGTCTTCGCGTCACCTTTCACTAATTATATTTCAATGCAGTTGATTTGAGTCAAAAATACTGAAGCCATTTAATAAAAATTTCCAACCGGAATTTAAAATCGCGACGAGGGTCGGCAATTATACGTAGACAATCACCACCAGTTGAGCAGATAAGGCTATCCCATGACCTCACAGGATGATTGGGCCTGCTTCTTTCTAGTGGAAAGATCACCTGTCCCATGGATGAAGGAAGCCCTTTCCGAGTATAAATGATGCTACACAGCATCTGACCCCCCCGTCTTCTTTCTCTCTTTCCTCGTCATGTCGGAAGACAAGGCCCCAGTCGCCGATATCGAAAGACACTCCATCGTCGAGGAGAACCCAAACAAGGAAGGCACTGCCCATCAAAATGCTCTGGGACCAGTGCCAAAGAGGAGGCTGAAGCAGTTCTTGTCGCCGTTGGACTCAGCGTACGCTGCCGCTGTGAACGCGGATGCGGAGACGGTGGAATTTACACCAGAAGAAGACGTGCGACTTTTTATCCTTCATTCTTAATTCCGTCCATGATGCTAAATATCTGTAGTATAAAGTCAAGAGGAAGATCGATAACAGAGTATTGCCGTTGGTGATATGCAGGTAAGTCGCTTTGAGATACCGACTTCGGTCATTTGCTGATACCATGATCATTTTAGTTATGTTTGTAAGTGGCGCTTAGGAAATCCTGAATATATCGTTGAACACATATAACTATTGCTAGTCAATCAATTCGGTAAGTCGACGGTATGTCGCGAAGCAGTTGCAAACCTGACCCATAAACAGACCGCACTAATATGTAACTATCCGTTTTGATTCACGGATAATATCATCTTATCAAGCTCTCGCAGCGGAAATGCCCATGTACTTGACGAATTTAACGACAATTTTGTATGCCAGCATACTGCCTTGCCTCAGTTTTACTCTAATCTCTTCCAGGGTCTCACGACAAATGCCAAGTGGACACTAGCACTTAGTATATTCTACGTGGGTTACTGCCTCCTTGAGATGCCTGCCAACGGTGCGTGCACAACCTTACTTTTGATATGCATCTTATATATTAAACCATCATCATCGTCAGTCCTCCAACGGCACATCGGAGCTAATAGATTGTACGTCATCTGGTTTTATTGCGTCCAGCTACTTACCTATACGTATCCTAGTTTCTTCATGTCCTTGACATGGTGGGGAATTGCGTCTCTATCCTTCATTTACGCCAAAGGATACGGAGGTTTATTGGTGCTCAGGTAAACGTAACTTCCATTACAGTGCCAATGCAGAGCTCATGGCGTCTTAAGGGTTCTTCTCGGAATCGGTGAAGCAGGATACTACGCTGGCATAATCTACTATCTATCATTTTGGTATAAACGGTACGTATTCAACGGAGAATACGTAATGTCACTTTTGGCTGAATGCGGCCCTTAGCCATGAACTCGCTATGCGTATCAGGTGAATTAGATCGTGTTATTCCCTAGATCCGGTTGGCTCATCTAAACCCTCCAATAGCCTCTGTATGACCGGGACCTTTCCCGGCGCCATTGGGGTTCGTTCGCTGACTTGAGCACTTTAATCACATCGTTTTGACAAGTGTTGCCTATGCAGGGTCTTGTAGCATTTGGTCTTGTCCGTGCACATACTTCGGTTTTAAAGGGGTGAGCGCGACCGTTCATCTTGCAATATCGACCTTATCTCTATTTTTAAATAAAGGTGGCAATTCCTTTTCCTTGTATGCCTTTTCACTATCTTCCGAAAGTTACCTGATTTGTAGGATAGATCGAAGCCATACCTACAATCATCATGGCTACGATGATTCTGTTCTTCCTCCCTTCTTTCCCTTTCTCGTCGACATTCTTAACAGCCCGGGAACGAGCCGTCGCACAAGCCCGTCTAAATCGCGATCACAAACCCCAATCTCATGGCGGTATGACCGGATGGGAAGGCTTCAAGCATGTTATACTGGATATCAATTCCTGGCTGTTCATGTTAATTTATGCTAGCTGTGAGTCTGCCGTCCAGTATCTTCATGCTCTAGGGCTAATTCACGGTATCAGTCAATGTTGGAGTCGCCACCATTTCGTACTTCTTACCCACGGTACGCATCTGTGAACTCGTAGGGTGAGTGCTAATGCATCAGATCAGTTGATTAAAGGCCTTGGATTTTCTTCCATAAATGCTCAAGGAATGACTGTGGCGCCCTACCTCGTAGGTTGGTTCATGGTCTTCTTCCAAGCATGGCACAGTGATCGTACGCGCGACCGAGGCTGGCATATCATGCTTTCCTGTGCCGTCTCTTTTGTTGGGTATATTATCCTCGCAACTTCGGTGCAAAAGAGCATTGGAGCAGCGTATTTCGCTCTTTTCCTGGTCGTGGGCGGAAACTATAGCTTGTTCCCTCTTGTAATGTGAGTTGATTCTACGCGACGACAACGTATTATTCACTGACGGTATATACAGGAGCTGGGCTGCTAATGCCTTCTCTCCAACATCCAAGAGAGGTGTTGGCACGGCTTTTATAGTGTCTATCTCAAACTGCGTGTCAATGTATGCCGCTTCTCCCAGTGTCTTCCAACTGGTACTGAATGTTTCCTCCGCACAGCGCTTCGCCCCAAATCTATTTCGATGACGACGATAACTACCGCAAGGGCCACGCCATATCAGCGGCGTCAGTGCTACCATCTAACAAGAAATCAATTCATTGACTTTCCATCTTTTCTAGTTGTTTGTTCTTGGCTTTCCTAACGGCGTTCGTTCTACGCAGTCGTCTATCGATGCTGAACAAGAGAAACGCAAAGAAACTGCAGGAAATGTCGGCAGAGGAGAAGGAGCTGGAAGAAGGTCCGGCAGGAGAGATTCCGGACACTGACCCTAGATATATCTTCATGACTTGAGGCAATGCGATGCTCTGGACCTCGGATGATTCGGGTATGAGTGCCATGATATAAAAAGTAACAAAAAAAGAGAAAAAATGCTGAGGGCGGTAAGTGTGTCCGTGGTGTCCGAAGCTCAATACAGAACATCTGGTGAGCAGGAAGTCCAGTTTTCTTAGATGGTCGGGTGGAGGGTGGACCGCGCTCAGAACAAAGAAGTTGGCAGCTGACAAATCCCCTCACCTTGCTTCCGGACTTTGTCATGAACTTCAGCGGATCTGTATGAAAACGACTTTGCTTGTAATATGATGTTATCCGTGCATCATCTGCAAACAACACTGTCTAAGGATCTTGGCAAACTCGGCGGTTCCGGACATTTACTTGTCTTCTTGGTTTTCGGAAGCTTTCTTCTGGCTTAAAAGTCTTCTGGTTTCCAGCCGGAAACTTATCTTTTTTTTTGTTTCAAGATATTATTATTTTGCTTCTAGCCTTCTATGCAGATGACTACCAGCGCCTAAAATATCGCGAGGAGGTTCTAAAATAGGTCCATGCAGCCATTCGGCGATCGACCAGCATGTGCCTGACATGAAGGTACCTGAACGGCCGCTCTGAAAGGGGCCCACATCGACTTTTTATCCCTCCTGTTTTGCTCTTAACTGCAACGTCTACTGTCGTTGCACCCTACTGTGTCTGCGACTCCCCCTACGCTCTCTCGAACCTTACACTCTTTTTTATACTCTCCTTTCGTGCTTGTTCGAATCACTTCTTTCGAACCCCCCCCCTAAATTTTTTCCTCTGATGTTCTCCAAATCCTCGGCGTTTGTACTTTTTGGCCTTACGACGTCGGTGCTCGCCACAGTCTATGTAAGTCCGAATCTTTAAAGAATACGCTCATCTGAACGTGACCGATGCATACATAGATCACAGACCCGATTAGTTCCACCGTCTGGAATGCAGGTAATAATGTCACCGTCTCTTGGGAAGATGATGGCACCTCTCCAACATTGGAAGAATTTGGTGCAGCCAAATTTGCGATCGCGGTTGGAAACTCGCAGGAACAAGTACGTATTCGAGTGCACATGCCTGAAGGAGAGGTTTGTTCTGACTGCCTTACTCGAATGATAGACTACTCTTCAAGTCATTGCCGAGAACGTCAATGTAGCTACCGTCTCTTCTCTGCAGTTCATTCCGTCTGCAAATATTGGAGCAACAAGTAACGAATAGTAGGCGCATTTTTTAATTTCCTGTTCCTCTATCTCACGAGATAATTCCCAGTTTTATCCGTGTCGATTCTAACGATCTCAAGGACGCAAACAACTCGGCAATTCCTGCTCTCTCTTTTTCTGCCAAATTCACGTAAGTGGCTTTGTGCCTCACCTGCATGCAATTGTAACACTGTCATAGAATTGACGGCATGTCTGGGTCGTTCAACTCCTCCGTCCAAGCAGAGATTGACGGACAGTCGACCGCACCTCTCGCCGGCTCTTCAACGTCCGCCTCATCTAGCGCTTCAGCCAACAAGGCAACTTCTGCTTCAACCACCAAGGCAGCTTCTGTTTCAACTACTGCCACTGTCAAAGCATCGTCTTCGGGAACTGGAACCAAAGCTAGCAGCGCTGCCAGTTCTTCGTCCACCGGGAACAGCGCAGTCGTTGTTACGGCCAATAACTCCAAGATGTGGTTATCTGCGGTACTAGCAGCTGCATTCAGTTTTGCTGTCTGCTAATGGACTTTTTTTTTCCCTTGCGAGTATTGGTTTCAATAATGTCTTAGTATTCACGAGATTAAACGAGCTCCGTAATTGAATACATATTGTTTGGATACCAGATGACGCCGAGCGCCGAGTATTTGGGGAAGTCTGGGGTAATGTTTTCCCATAACGTTTTATTGCAATGACCCCTTCATTTCCACGTTCTCTTTCCCTTTCAATGCTTCCAGGATAAGCCTGCATCCTCGATGCTTCCAGTGCCTTTTCGAATACCAGCAAGCTCGACTTTCCGTCAAGCATACAAGAGTGTCTTGGGCAAGGGACCCAGAGTATTACCCTGCGCACGACCTGTCCAGTCTCGTCAATTCATCGCCGTCATGCCAGCAAGGGATTCAAGTAATGGGCCGCCCAAGGTCGATTTTAGTTTTGAATTGTCCCCAATACCGCCAAATCCGCTGGGAGAGGGCAAGTGCATTCGTACGGCGGCGGCGCTCATCATCGGGTGCGCCCTTCTCACGGCTTCTGCTCTTTCATCTCTGACCGGCACCTTCAGAGATGAGATTCTGAATGGCAAGACACTCGAGGCAAACTCGCACTTTTTCGCCAAGTACTGCTTTGAGCATGGCATCGAGCTGTGGGTGTCTGCAGCCATCGTTGCATCGGACTTGTTTCCTGAGCTAATTTCAGGAAACGTATAGAGGTCATTTCAGACGACGAGAATGAAATGTACGTGCATCGTGGCTCTCCGTAGGCACTCCACTGACATCGTGCAGCATCGAGGCGAGCCGGCGCATGGTGCAAAATTACGACTTCGTGGTCACCAGCGGTGGCATTGGTCCAACTCACGACGACATCACGTATGCTTCTCTTGCGAAGGCATTTGGACAAAGCCTGGCTCATCACACGGAGACACTGCGACGATTGGACGAAATGAACAAGCACCGACCATGGATATTATCGCAGACGACATCACAGAGAGAAGCTACGAAACGAATGGCTTTGTTCCCCGAGCGCGCCGAAGTCATTTTTGTAGGGAGAGATATATGGGTGGTACGTTTCATTGTTTATATCCCCACCTTTGTATGTCTCACATTATGGAAAGCCGGTCGTCCGCCTCGAAGGCAAATTATGCATATTCCCAGGGATACCTAAATTGTTCCAAATCATGCTCACCCAACTCACACCGTTTTTACCCCTTCCGCCTCCAAGCGAGAGGCCCCTAAGAATCCAGATATTCACAGAGTATGTCGGTCGTGCTGCCGCTTCGTAATACCACTAACTCTCGTATAGCCGACCGGAATCAATGATAGCACCGTATCTGACCGCACTTCAAGCACGATTGAAATCCCATGGTATCCGAGTAGGCTCATATCCCGTCTTGGGCACCGGTGTATTCGTCAGTCTCATTGGACGGCCTGTATTTAACAGCCCCGAATGCATCACCAAGGTAGTGAAGGAAGTGGAGAGAGAGATTGGAGGCAAGATTTACAACGAGAGTGAGGTGGCAGAGAAGAAGAGGCAGGCCTCTATTGCACCTTTGATGGGTTCGAGGGCAGTGACTACATCCAACTTTACCTGCACTACTACGGATCTCATAAAGGCCAAGTTTTGACGCCCATTCTGTGTACCATCATAACTAGGATTTTGTACTCTGTAATCTTCCAGGCCCTGTATTAGACTCCTTGTATCGTTGTTACGGAATTGCTATGCATCCAAAAATAGTCGGGCCGGGTTGTTGATAAGATTGGAACCAAATATAATCTAAGGCTCATGACAAACAAATAAAGCTTCATTTGTCGACTCAATGGCAACCATCATCCTCATTTTATCCTCATTTTCTCTGCATGCCGTCTCCTTGAAGGCACGATAGACTTCAGTTTACGTCAAAGCTCGCCACTCCTTTGCCTTTCACCATCAGCTTTCTTTATTTCATCACAGAAAAACAACAAAAAACATGTTTTCCTTTTCGGGCCTGGTTTTGGCGTGTATCACTCTTGGTTTCGTTCTTCATACGAATGCTGCGTTGTCCATTCGTAGCCTCTACGTTACTGAACCCAGCGAAGGCTCTTCTTGCCATGGAGGTCAGAACTGTACGATTCAGTGGCTCGACGATGGCACCTGGCCTCTGTTGTCGTCTTTTGGGATCAGTACCGTTGGTCTGTACACTGGAACTCAGGTATGCCGCCGATAATATGCAAGATGGAATTTTCCTATAGAACACATCGCGTTTCCAGCAACTCGTACAGAATATCGAACCGGTAGACACGTCTACGATTCACTCTCTTACATTCACAGTGCGCACTACCTTCACCTGATTTTTCCTTTCTCTAACCAATTTCTGTAGCCTATCCCAGGGGCAGGTCCTAACTCGGATACCTAGTCCGTACCGTCCCTTTCTACATGATGTAATGCTAACCTATTTATTTGCAGCTATATCTGTTTCACCTCCACATCCGTTTTTGAGAACGGAACAGCCGTCATGGCGTTTTCTCCATTCTTTCAGCAAGTACATGCCATTTCTTCGTTATTCCCTTTTATTCAACTTCTTCGTAGACTCGATCAGATGTCAGGTTCCTTTGCAACACCCTTGGAATCGGCTACAGCAAGTATTGCCATCCCAACCTCTTTGACGCAAACAAGTGCAGATTCCGCCAGTGAATTGTCTACAGTCATAGTCGGGACACTGTCAACGTCCTTATCTCCTCTAACCTCTTTGTCTGCAACATCTCCTGCTACGTCTGCTTCTTCAACCACCACTTCGCATTTCTCGACAGCTTTGACAGGATCCACTTCGACGTCCGCGACTGCAAGTGCGGTCGCTCAAGCAGGAACCGCCAATGGTGCACTTACCCGTGCCAATACGGTGTCTCCGCTCATCATGGGTGTCCTCTCGTTATGCTACATCGTTGTTTGGGTTCTGTAATGTACATTCTGTGATACCCACTTTCTTGGATCATGTTTTCATATATCTTTATTACATGCGATACCAATTCTTTCTTGCATATTCAACCGTTCAGTGTCCTGGTTTTGTATAGTACATCATTTCTTGGCTTTACTTCTGCATCCCATTACAATATGGACACGACAATACGACCAAGTTACTCACCAAACCATATGGACTAGAGCGTCTTGATCTTTCTTTGATATCCTAACAATGGCGCGATGTAGTATCCGAACAATGTCAGGAACTGTTCAAATGTCCAAGTCAACACTTTCAACGTCTGCTCGGAAGTCCTTTATGATAGTTGACTTACAGCTTTCTCGAGCCAATGAATGCCTCCCGGAAGCGAAGGGATCACATCCCCATAGTAACAGTTATGCATGATGTCGAAAAAATCCGTACTCATAGAGCCGCCTGCCATCATATTTCTGATGAAGAGTTGTTTGATCGAATCCTGCATTTCATTTAAATATCATTCTGCCATCACCGTGCGAGAATTCAAACCACGAACATCAGGGACGGTCCTGTCCAAGATGACACAATTGCCGACGCTCTTAAGTGAATGCGGAATTCCTCTTTCGAACATTTGTTCACCGTCCTCCGGGCCGTACACTCTGATCTCTGTCCCGCGAGTCATTTGTAACTTGCCTTCGACGACGAGTACGTATTCATCATGCTTTTCGTGCCAGTGTAAAGGAAGGGAAAGTTCCTCATCGCCTGGTACGCCTGAGGCAGAAATACGTGTCTCATACTTGTTGTCCTTCAAGAATGTCTGTTCGGAGGGGAAGATCAGAATAGATACTTAGATATCATGATGGAACGGGCAATTGCGTACGACGGTGACACCTTTGCCGATGGTAATCATCTCTGGGAGTTCGGCTGCCATGGTTGCTGGTGAATGGTCAAGGAAAACGGCTCGTTTTAAACGGGCACCGTAGACCCAGACATACATGAGACATTTCGCACGCGACGTCCTAATTCTCTTGGCAATAAGTGGGACCACGAATATTATAAAAGTATATCTGATAGATGAACAAATATTGGATAAGACTACTCTGCATATACGTAGCAGAGAGGACCATCTGTAGTACTCAAATAATCCTCAATAACCCAGTCGTCGAACATGCCTTCACCGGTGACGACAGATTGGGGCTGTTTGCAATCAACAAGCCATTCTTAGATGGAAATTTAGCAGGCTTACCGTGAGGAAAGGGGGACCTCCATTTGGATTCTCCAAATACATGGTACGGTTCTGAACAAGTTGGACAGAACCACCCGCGTAAGCGTTCTTGTTGACAGGACTTTTGTTCTGCCAATCATACCAGACTTTGTCAACAGTCTAGGAATAGAAATGTGCGTCATATGTCGGCAAACAATGGTCAAGGTTGGCACTTACGGTATGATGGAGGAAAAACAACGGGTCTACGTAGAATTTTAATACGAGACCGACGAATACAGAAAATCAGGACTATACCATTTGGAGACCAGAGCGGTCCCGGTGCACATGTCGAAGGTGCGGTTGCAGGGCAATTACCAGCCATATCCCTGTTAATAGGCTCAGTGATGATGATAACGTCAACCAAGATGCACTTACCCTCCCGTCATTTCATGGACGCTGGCATGAGCAGCCTTCCAAAAATACTTAGTGAGGAAACCATTTGGAGAGAAAGTTCCCCCTACCTCCCAATCTTCGAATGAAAACTGGAATCCTACGTAATTTCCCTCATTGCCGTTAACGAGCTGCTGGATCTTGTCGGCAGTGAAAGATACGTTCGCCATCTGACTGGGATCTAAAATTACATCCATGCCGGCAAATTGGTTGGACTCCCAAGGCCGCAATGTATAATTTCGTCGCAGACCGTGTGGGACAGGATAGGCAAGTTCAAAATCATATGAGAAGCCGCCATCATGGACAAGATAATCGTCTTCAGGCTGTCCCCACCCTCCGAGGCCGCTATTGAGATCGGGCTCAGCGAAAATAGTCGCTCCTTGGAAGTCTGCCGCGTCTACGAGGGGTATCAGATGAGATGGGGGAGGAAACGTCGCAGAAAAGATGCCTTACCGCGCGTCCAGTCCCAATACGGCATGGTCCCAGAGAAGCCGCACTTCTTCCTGAGCTCCGTCTCCACTACATGCACGAACCATCGATGCCAAGGCAAGAAGAGACCAGTGAAATGGATCTGTCACGTAGGGATTATGAGTCAGATTCGGATTAAGTTGCAATACCGAAAGACGCATTCGCCTTACCTTGAAGTTCATGTCCATGTGGATGTAAGAGATGTCTTCAGGCAATAAGTTGATTTACGAGTGATTTAATTGAAAAGACGCGTACCGTCCCAGTACGAACTGGTGTCGTTAACAGGAGGTATATCGTCAGGTTTGACCGTGGGGCTCAACTTTGGATCGTGAGGCATGTGAGCCAAGCACTAAAAAATGGTATTAGGTCAGTCCTTGCATGTACTCACAGGATCTCACCTTGATTGAGGAAATGAAGTCCGCCTTTTCGTCGTCAGTAAGAGAACGCCATTCCTTCCTGATGGAGGGATTGAGACATTTTGTACCGTTTCCTTGACTATGGTCACTGGCACTGTCTTGCCCACTATCGTCTGCAGATACAAGCGTGGCGAGAAAGAAAAGACTGCCCAGGAAAGAAAGCTTCATGATGCTGGAGTTTTGGGATACTCAGTTCTCACAAGTTTTATATGCGAACGTACATCGGTCATGAGGGTTGGTATGTCGATATCCACGTCAAAATCCTTGACTATGTGTGGCACAGGAAGACCCCTTAAGACAGCCACTCCAAAATCCCTGTAAATGACTGTTCCCGCATTAGACGAAACCTCGGGAAATTCTCACGTCCATGTCCATACAAACCCAATTTTAATCTCCCTGTCTTGTAAGTAATTGTGACGTCGTTGAGGCATATGTAATGCAATCACTTCGGGCACACCATGAGCGAATAACGCCTGTGATAGAAGCCAACAGGCCGCTGAAAAAGTATTGGCATGTCTGCCAGTACAACCACCGCTGGGAGGAACAATCAGTGCGGATCTTTCCAGGAAATAAAAGACGATACTTACTCAAGCAGTTCGTTAAGGATACACTCTCCTGCCAATCATTCAGAAACGATAACGGTGTCAAGTGGTAAGATCTATGAAGCCGGAGCAGTAGTATTACCTAACAAGCCTGTTTGCACCCCGAGATCCTTGATCATCTGTCGGTTTGCTGTCCAGCTAACTTTAGCTATTAGAATATTAGTGAAACACGAACGAGGGCTGTAAAGATTCGTAAAGTGACCATCTTGTCCCAAATAGTCCTCCGAGGTAAAAGGTACCTGGCGGACAACAATCAGAGGTCTGCAGCGAAAATAGCGCTACCATTCCTGATGCATGCGTCAGAGACTTAAAGAGAAGTTTCCCCTGTTTTGTTGTTCATAGCTCGTGGAAAATTTCCAGGCACATCCGGGGAGCTTTACGTTGTTAACATAAGGTCGCTGCCGAGACGATGATGCAAGCAAAGAAGCATTCCTCGACCGACTACCGGGTTCGTATACGATGTTTCCGGCAAAAGTACCCCCACTGACATGTTGGCATGGCTAGACAAACACGAGTACCGATAACGGGACAGAACGCTAAATTCAAACCGGGTCCATACGTCGGACCAACCAATCAAATAAGTGAAATATGGAATCAGTAGGCCTTGCACTGAACCGCAAGGCTTGTCCTTTGCAACGCGCTGTCAATGCTTGTTTCCGATTTCTCCCGTGGAAAATCCAGCGAGTACCTCAGGTAATGCAAAGGTTCTCGACGCAGATACGAAGGATCTCGTCCTGGATGAAATGCCTCTGGAACAGAAAACTGGGGACCAAGTCGTGGCAATCGTGACGTGAAGAAGGAAAGATACGGACCGGCCCCAGTCGCACCCCACACGAATTCACACAGCCCCTATTTCTGTTCTTTAATATCATTCAAATACCCTCTATCTTCCCTCTAATCGCTTTGTTTACCCTGTACCTTCAATGGCTACCACTATCGCGACAATTATTCCCCAAAAACCTCAGCCCGACCCTCTGAATGAAAATATGGTTTGTGCGAGTGTCGTGTGACCGTACCATTAAATGCTGAACGTTAAACCTTTGATAGAACACTCACGTTGACGACCAGCTGCAGGCAGTCAGCGTAGGATTGCATCACCTTATCCAAGTAGCCAGCGACTGCTCTATCTCCCTCGATGATATCCAACTCACGTCAGTCCATCCTTCCATTGAATACTCGTTCTGTCAGCTGAACAACCCGACATGATAGACTATCCCTGCAGCCCATGCGCCTGACAAATGCAACGAGCAGTCCTGATACACCTCTTTCATACCCAGAAGGCTATGCTGCCGGTGGGCCACTTCCCGTTACAAAACGGGAGGCTTTTGCTCTAACTGGTTAGCGCTTTCGACTCGCGTTACCCGAGTTGTATGAATTGAATCGTTGTTTAGGCGCTCAATGTGCGGAGGCGTCTAAGGCTCTCGGCTTGAAGGACATTCCATCCAATGAACGAGGTCAAGTTACCCAATTCCTGGCATACATGGGTTTGTTTGGGGTATGAATCTTTGATGTAGCTCTGTACCTGGATTAATAGTCTCGATCGTGGTCTCCGTTACGGCGTTCCATCTTCCGCTCTCCAATATTGAACACAAGACTCCAAGTACCCCAGAAATGCTCCGTGCCAAAAAGAGTCCGCTGGAACCTGTAGCAACCCACTCGTAAGATCCAAAAAGAAAAATGCTTATGTTCCTATTATGAGTTACAAGATATATATACAGGGTATACAACAGTTAGCGGGTTTCCGAAATAGCTCCGAGATAAAATGACGATAGAACAAGCGATATACCTGTTGTACAAAATGAATAATTTAAACTGTCTTCAGACTTACATAAATAACTCGGCACCATCCAGGCCGTCTGAGAAATCCAAAACAACAATTCGTTGATCATGGGAGGTACTGTCCGGAGATGCATTAGACCCACAATGAACAGCCGATTCCTACACGAACCGGAAACACACCTAACGATTCTCGATACATCAAACTTGACATCGAATATATGACTTGTATGACTATGTTTAAAATCTCGCAACATTTTGCCTGTCGGAGGACCAGCTCTTCGTGATAAGTTATGTCGCAACGAAAGCGGGGTACGTACCAGTGCCCACATCCCACACTCTCACGCTCTTATCATAACTTGCACTCACTAATCTCCTGCTCCGAGGATCAAAGGCCAGAGCTCTGACAAGAGCATCATGCCCAACCAAGGTGGTCAAGCATTCCCCAGTTGTGGCAGACCAAACCTTGATCTTGCAGTCATTGGACCCAGATATTATGAGATCGTCCTACTAAACTGTCAGGGGATTGTAGACGAAGTGGCGATATAGCCCAACCTTGAACTCGATACAAGCCAATCCACGGTCGTGTCCCTCCAAGGTCCTCAGTCGTTCTCCTCTTGCTATATCCCACAAGATCATCTTTCCATCGCCACTAGCACTGACCAGCTTGCCGCCCTCGAGGCATACAGCATTAACAGGACCCTCATGACCACGAAGAGTTCGATACAATTCCAGCGTGTCACGGTGCCACACACGAATGACAGTGTCCTTTGAGCTGCGAGAGCATCAATGATTGTGTGACATAAAGCGAAACCAACATACCAGCTGACAATCCAGTTACCATCGACTCTCAAGTCCAAAACACCGCCACCATGACCTCTCAACACAGCCTTACTACGTGCTTGAACCTCAATGTCTTCATCGGCGTCGTCAACATGAGGTGAATGACTTGTTTTCATGGTCCAAACGTCCCAAACACACACGGTACAGTCACTGGAGCCCGAGTACAGCACCCCATTCCGACCTGCATTCTCCCAGAAGAACTTCAAACACAGAACGCTCCCTCGGTGACCGTCGGCATCGCCGGTGTTACCACCAAATGTCCCTAAGCATCTTCCCGTCTTTAACGACCACATCTTGATGGTGCGGTCGCGAGACCCGGTAATGATATGTTGTTGTCCCGACGCTGTACGGCACAACTCAAGGCAATAGACGCTAAAGATATTAAAGATAAGTATGGAGGCTACAACAAAACATCACACACCTGTCACTATGACCGGTCAATTTCATGATTTTGGGTTGCCAGGGTAGGTGATTAGGAAGATTCGGGTGCGATACAGCACCCCAGCGGCGTTCAAGTTCTAGGCGCTCTTGATACAGATAACGATAATTGAGGGCACCCGACGCCATGCGCGTTCTCGGTGTACGATAGTTGGCGTGTTGTAAGGTCGTCCCTTCGAAGAGCTTGTCAGGACATTCCAGAATACCCCAGCGTGAGGTGAAGAATGCACGCCAAACGCTGTTGTCCTTGGCGAGGCGCCGCCACGTCTGTGAGACTGCTAAACATGTGATGATCGCGTGTAATCCAGCCTCATGTGACGGGTAGTGATCTTGCAGTGACACCGATGATGGTGGACGAGAAGGGATCAATGCAAGCATTGACAGAACTTGCAGAGAAAGTTCAGGCGGAAGCAGTGAGAGAATATCTGATGTTCATAGCATATCAGAAAGTACCGTCTTTGGATTTTTCGGAAGGACACACACCAATTCCAGTCACTACCCTAGCTCTACAGGCATTTATGGCTCCCCAGGGATAATCGACGGCGATGAAGCAGGCCTCGTCATCCACATCGATGAGTTCTCCTTCGTCACCATCTAACGGCGGCAAGTCCAAGAAATTGATAGACTCATTGTAGTAGTCTTGATCACGATACATCCTTTTCACTTTGAGATGACCAAAAGATGTTGTTGAATAGGAAGCAAACCTAGGGTGACGGCCGCTCAAAGCGGGCCGGGAAGGAGATAAGATGGTCCTCGTCGGCGATGCAATGAGAACGTCCCACAGACGCGGAAGCAAGGACTTGAGTGAGCCGTTCGATGACGAATTGTCTGAACTCGAGATGAATGGAGATGAGGACGAAAAATGAAGGTGGCTGGTAAGTGCAGGCGTTGAGTGGATAGCACGACGCCCGAAGGATCCTATGCTCTTATACGGGGACCTGCCATACTCCCAATAATGATGGTCGCTATCGCAGGATGCCTCATCTTCTCCAATGAAGGAGAACCCGGAGGTACTGGGAGAGGGTGACGAGGGCCTGGGGTGGTATACCGATGCTCGCCACGGCGTAGATGGGGTGGTCATCGAGTTGGACGTCGACCAATGGACGATAAGATAGCAGAGAAGACTTACTCTAGATGAAATAACTGTGTTCGAAACGTCGAGTCGACGTTGTAGACGGTAGTGGGAATGGGAGAACCACAGCGACCACAGGACAACGGTGGTGGCGGTCTTGTCCCGTGATTGGGCCAAATAGTGACGTAGCAACATGCAAACAACACCGACGCGTCCTTGGGCCGTACTTGTCCTTTACTTCCATCTACCACCATGCTAGGGACAGCTGAAGTCGCGTAACGTGGCGTTTTATTTTCTCGTATACAGAATGCCGTACTCACTGGATAGACTGAGTGGCAGACACGGCCCTATATTTATCGGCAAGTTGATGTTCAACGTCCTTTACGGAATTATGATCGCTCAGGTGTGCCTGTATTTTGCGGCATACAAGCAGTGAGTCGCCCTTCAGAAATTTAAGTCTAACCTGTTTTCTTATCTTTCTCAGAGACAGCCTTGTCATCAAGCTATTCGTGACGCTAATATACTACTTCAACCAAGGTCCTTCTTTTGCTATGCGATACCGTAAACACCCTTTTCGACTTTGTATATTATCCATTTCTGTACGTGGTACATGTTTCTAATCCCTATAAGATATCGACGACGTACTTCAGCAAAAGCCGCCTACTTGACCAAGGCTACATGCGGTACGATCCGGCCTCTTTTCGGAGCTGCCATTTATCCGAAATCTTCCAGCATTTTCTACAGGTACGATACTTGTCGCTGAGAACTTGTTATCAATTTCTAACTTCTCTGTTCCCAGATCCCGTGATGACGGTACGTTTGGAACTTCACCTTGTCTCGACTTTTTCAATGCTTACAAATATGGAGTGCATCATTGCCGGTCTCGTTCAACTTTTCTTTGCGTGGAGGATTTTGATCTTGACTTCCAATATTTGTCTATGTGGTATTGTTGTGACTCTCGCTTTTCTTAGGAACTGGTAAGTTAGCCGTTTCATCTCCCGTCATTTGCTATTCTAACTTCAGTATGATAGCTGGCGGAATGGCCACTGCTGTAGAATGCGGAATCACTCCTCAGTTTGTACAGTTTCAGAGATTCAAAGATAATCGCATCACGTTTCAGCATCTCACGAGAGTAACAGCCGATGCAACTATAGGATGTTGTCATCATCTGGCTAGCGTCTGAGTGCCTGTGTGACCTTGTTATCACATTTCTTCTTGTTTGCCATCTGTCTGTATTTTCCAAAATCTTGATGTTTCGTCCGCTCACAGTCGTGACAAGGTAAGCATCCTTTGTTCGCGCGCGTCGACATAAACGCATATGTTGAATAGCGAGGACACAAAACCGGATTTAAGCATTCAGACGGCCCCATCAATAAGATCATTCGGGATGGGCATACCCTTTGATTACTTTGACCTGTCTGGTAACCTATGCAGTCACCGTACAAAAAGGATCGATCACGTCTGTTTGCGTGCTAATCGACTTGGTAACATATTTGTCATTCGTAACGTTCATTCTCCTTGTAATCTATTATGCTTGACCCCGTGTTCTTCAGCCGACAGAAATGTGAGCATTCAACTGCTTCGTGTACCTTGCTTGCAAATCGTGTTTGAATAGTCACCTCATCTTCAACTTCCCTCTTTCCAAACTTTACACAGACTCTCTCATGGGCAGTCTCAACTCGCGGGAGTCACGCCAGGAAACAGCATCGGCACCAAATGCATACTCCGCCGGCACTACTGCACACAAACGTACTGTATGTTCATCTTCCTTCAGTCATTGAACGCGTGCTAACAGAACGGTACCAATTTTCCTTTACTCGGGCCTCACAAGAAGATGACAGTGAAGTCACTCTCAATTCGCGCCGGTTCTTGGATGTCAGGATTCGTTCTGGAGGCGACCTCAGTTCATGTATTTCCGTTGAGATACTTCCGCGAGACTCAGGCTCTACTATGGTTAGAAACGCTGGCGTCTCTGGCTCTGGCTCTGGAACCACAGCCGATTTTGGTCTATGCAATCCGGTTTGATCGTGATCTTTTAGACGTTCTATCGCCTTGTCTCTGTGCTCAAGCGTTCAAGGCCATACTTCTTATAGCGTAGTTACAAGAGCACGTGTGCGAGGTCTCAGAACTCAGTCCGTATCCCTGAATGTACGTTCTATTGTATACTTCCGATTCTTCGCACTCCAGGATTCATCGGTTATAAGGTGGTCGTGGTCGTGAGACATGCGGATATACTTGATTGGGTCTTTCGCGTTAGGACTTTGCCACATCACTTTTGGGATTCAGCACCTGCAAAAAGGCCAAGGAAAACGGGCCCGCGATTGCTCAAGTGGGCTAGGTGGCTGGTCGTACTGACGCACGCTTCTTCAGGCACAATTATTTAAAATAATCTGCTTCTAAACACAGCGTTAAATATTCCCAGAGTTTCAGACCAAGTTCGGGATCCTGAGTACCTTTGCTAGCTACCCCAACTCGAGCCCATGGAATGAGATACTCACGTCGTAATTAGATTCAACGAAGAAGGAAAAAGTCGTAGCGCGCACCTTGCCGTTTAATTCAGTTCCCTCGGCAGAGGTGCCGGCCCACAGTATCGTTAGTGCGCTCATGTCGGCTGGATATTGGCCCTAAGAAGAGAATCGACATGCATACGATAAAGGAGAAAGTGGAAATACTTACATGCGTAGCAGCAACGGCAGGTAGGACGTTGCGATGGAAGTTTGTCTTGATGCACCCAGGGTGCAGGGTGGTCGTGATGATCCCTTGAGAACCATACCGCCGTGCGAGCTCACTGGAGACTATCATTCCCTAGGTTTGATTGGACCCGTAAGCCTACTTTCTGAATACAAATACGACATAAGGGCCTACGTATTTGCTTTGAGCATATAACATGTCGGTATATATCTTCTGCCGCTTTGGGCCGTCTTTAAAGGTAGCGAAATCAAGGCCGCGCAGAACATGGGTGATGGACGATGTATTGACAATGCGGACCTTTTCTCTGGCGTTGTCTTGGCGGTGGATAATAGGAGGGAAAGAAGCTTGATCAAGAAGAAGGGACCTTGAGGGGGGGGGGGTGTAAGTACTTCGTTGCACCGTGAAATGGAGGCAACTAGTACCGATAACGTGTGTAGCAAATTGGAGATCATAGTCTTGGGCACTTACTTCCGTTACAGGGGGTGCAAGCAAGCCGCTGAAGATTCATTTCGGCGACTTATGATGGTATCATAGGCGATTCAACGAACGCGTTGTTGTAGAGGATATGAAGGTGGGTCTCATGACTGAAACTGAATTATGGTGTGAAGCTCAGCCGCGGAAGAGGGAATGTTTACCTTGTGAACTGCTCAGCTGCAGCTTTGACAGAATTGAGATCTGCCAAGTGTACTTTCAAAGAATGTGCTTCTTTCCTCGTTGTCGAGCGGAAGTCATCGATAGCCATCCGAGCCTTTGCCGCATCACGCGCTCCAATGTACACTTTGGCGTTATGTTCTAATAATGCCTGAATAGAGGGTGCCAATCTAACGATGCGTCGTGTTAGAGATCTATCCAATGTACCTTTGCAGTTTCTTTGTCTATTCCTGCGCGGAAATTCTGGAATAAACCAAGGCCTAAGGAATGATCATCAAACCTGAAGCTCCGCCTGTCACCAACATCACCTTGTCCGTCAAGTCCGGCTTCGGTATCTTGAATTCTGTATACAATGAAAAAAGTCGTGAGAACATGATGGTATGAAGGAGTCGAGTTCAGCCGGGAGGCTACATCATCAGCGATCGCGGCTGCCCCACAGTTGAGGATGGCACATCGAATGGTTTTAGCTGGATAACTTGGTGTTAGGCTGTTCAAATTCGGACCATACGATCGGACAAAGAGGGTGGCGATGCCGAAGAATGATCTTGTTTGGCTGACCGGACATGTACTTCACACCACGTAGATCCACAGCTAATAGTGAACAGCAAACTAAGGCTTACTCAAACCTCCAAGGAAACGAGGTTGCGTCTCATGGCACAGCCGGTCTGCCATTGCGATATTCGGATGTCGAAATCCCAGTCGCATGTAGTATGATGAAACATGAATAGATACTATATGGGCTTTCCGAAAGCCATGAGCCCGGTTAAATCCTTTCGTTGTAGTAGCCTCGGTCAATTCGCTTCGAGCTATGAGGCAAATCAAGGATGTTAATTTTGCTGCGGCACTTGCCTTTCGATGGATTAGCTTTTTAATGATCATACTATCTACTTATAGGATATTCTCTGTGGAGACAGACAATGGCCGTGAAATTGTTTGGAGTAGGAACCGTGCTACGTCGCCTACGCCGATGCGCAGTGAAATCTGAATGGTAATTTAATGGTATCAGTGTCCTTTTCGAACCTCCTTTCGACTATAATTTACTCTCAACCCACGTCTTACCAGTTCGGGTAGTGCTTTAATTATGTCGTAAGAGGACCGCATCCACAACAGGAATGCCCCGAGGCCGTTTTCAACTGGGCCTTAGCTGCATCAAGTGCTTACCTAGATTAGGCCGTTCACAGTGTCGACGGGGATAACAAACGGATTCTCAGGGTCATCCATACCACTTCATGTTCAAAGGCTGTCAAACCGTTCCGGAGTTACTAGTGGAATCACATCAGCTGAGGCTTTTCTTTCGGAATTGAGCATCGTTTTCTCTGCACGCTCGGGTCATCGATTGGATCGAGGTGCCGTGATTCAGGATGTCGCGTCCATGCATGTTGAAATCACACACACACAGTCTCGGTGTTAGTACACAGATTTCTACTCTCCAACGATTATTGGATGGAAAGGGTGGGGCCTTCTGTCTGATCAAACCACTCAGGTACATATGCTCAAATTACCGGTACTGAGCACAAGATATACAAAGCGACAGATATAGTGCGCGACGCAGGGGGTCATTCACCGTGACGAGAATGATAGAAGCAGTTAGTTCAATTCTCCGGGTAAGGTCTGGCACTTGCCTGGTTTGTCATTTACTGGGCATCACTGTTGGTGTACCTCACACGCAACGAGAAAAATGTACTTACTAGGTTTGATGTTCGATGGGTAAGCGTGTTTCCTCTTTGTATGCTTTCAGTGCATATGCTTGTTAGAAGGCACGATCAGCGTTCATTGAAGGAAAAAAAGTCATCGATATCGGCAGTCTTGCCCCGAAAGAGTACCCGAATAAGCCCGATCGGAAGTATCGGCAAGGCTTACCCTTTTCCCCGCACCAGTGGGGGTGTGGGGAAACAATTGAGAGCGAAATTCTTGTATCTCAACACAAATGTTTCGTACCATATCTCGACGTTCACTTGGCAGGCGACACTATGCGACGGTTCGCGATATCGTCAACATCGTTGAGGTCGGACCAAGGGACGGATTGCAGAACGAGAAGGGTGTCATTCCTGTCGATGTCAAGGTCGAGCTCATTGACCGTCTCGCCGATGCTGGGATGCAGACCATAGAGGCTGGAAGCTTCGTCAGTCCGAAATGGGTCCCTCAGGTGTGCCTTATTCATCTCTATGTGGCCTGAAAACTGTATATCTGTTACTAGATGGCAGGTACTTCAGACGTTATCAGCCAAATGAAACGGATCGCTGGCGTTCACTACCCCGTATTGGTGCCCAACCAAAAGGGACTGGATAACCTAACCAATTTGCTCAAGGAGCATCCGATTTCACCGCCGTTGACAGACGAGATATCCATTTTCACAGCCGCAACAGACGCTTTCACCCGTGCCAACCTCAATACTACTACGAAGGAATCACTCGAGCGTCTGGCACCAGTGGCTCGGTCAGCGCTGGATCATGGATTGCGGGTTCGTGGCTACGTTAGCGTAGTTATTGCATGCCCGTATTCAGGTCTCGTGGACTATGTGCGCGTCCGTGAAGTGGCGAAGGAACTGGTGGAAATGGGCTGCTATGAAGTCAGTCTTGGGGACACGGTTGGTATGGGTACACCTACCCAGGTTGCAGAGATGCTCGAGGAAGTAAAGAAAACCATTCCTGTAGAACAGTTGGCCGTTAGTGAGCGCTGTTCTTTCCGTTATTTATCTCTGACGCTTTATGTAGGGACATGTAAGACGGTGATAGTCTCGTTCTCATCAGGACGCTGACGGTTTTCTGGCAGTTTCATGATACATATGGCACTGCAATCGCCAACGTCTTCACCGCACTTTCTCATGGCGTTCGAACTATCGATTCTTCCGTTGGCGGTCTCGGTGGTTGCCCGTACTCTCCCGGAGCGACAGGTAATGTTGCTACTGAGGACGTACTATATGCTTTACAGACATCTCCGTATTCGGTCGCCGGCAATCCAGATTTGGATGAAATTGTCAACATCGGTTGGTGGATCAGCGAAAAACTGGGAAGGGAGTGTGTCAGTCGAGCAGGAAGAGCGATTCGTTCAAAGAGAGATAGAGCCGAAAAGGAGAGGCCTAAATTGTAGTGGGATTTATGTATCAAATAGGATTGTATATTATCGTAGGAAACATGGACTTGGATCAAACTGTGTACAAGTGAAAACATGAAAATTAAACGCTATTGCGCAAGGAAGCCTATTACCCTCCCCCAGTACCTTTTGCGCCAGGTTCACGGAACGGAGAGATAGAACCTGTTCAATGCATATATTGATGTCGAGCTGAGTCTTGTATATTTAAAATATGTACTGATCGTTTAATTTCTAAAAATGTCATGAAGCGGCACGAATACTCCTCTTTCAAGCCAAAAAGCCGTCTCTTCTCCTCTTAGCCAGAGAATCAAGGATCAGCATTTTCCTTGCGCGTTTCCTGGCAGTTGGGGGGGAAAGCGCTCGCAGGAGACCCAAACAAAGAGCTGCTGGCAGGGATTAGGGAGTTGTCCATCGCATCATCGACACTATTCCTTCGCTTCCCTTCATTCGGAAACGCGTGTAATCGACTGTCTTGTATGGCTCTGTTCGTAATACCAAGGCTAGTCTGACGTGTAGAGGTAGAAGCTGTGGCTGTGGACGAGGATGTTGTGGTGGATCGACCGCGGCATGTACGACAAGCTCCTACGATGTCATGAACAACTCTACGCGACACAAAGGCGTAAATGGCGTTGATGAATGTAAATGTTTGCTCTGCACCGCAATGGTCATTCTTGACGTGGTGACACATGAAGATAGCGTAAAGTTGACTCCATGAAGCGACAAGCTTCTCCTGGTAACGCAGAACCATAATTGGTAGCTCCTTCGTGGATTTGCGGTGGCTAGGAATGATGCGAATCGCCATATCATGGTCAATATTATTAGGCGAGGCGGACTCCAAGTCGAAATCACGGAAGACCTCTGTGTGAAACTTGCGATCCCAGAGAGGCACGCATTCCTTGGTCGTGTTGAGATAGAACAGAACGCGTCTTTCAACGAAGAAAGGAGTCGCCGGAGTGCAGGGTATTTTATCTCCGAGAAGGCTAGCCTCGCGTTCCAGCTTGCCTTGTATTTGCTTGAAGGTGTTGAGACTTAGAAAAGAGCGATCTTCGAGCAACGGCGGTGAGTTAGGCAATATCGTAAATGACTGTAATATAGAAATGGAAGGATAGAGAGGTATCTTTCGCTTGGCTAGATGAGAACGTCGGGTGCGACTAGTAGATTTGTTCGTATTCGACATCGTGGAATCTGGAACCGCCCGTAAGAAGATGATTGATGTTGTTATGAAAAAACGTACAACACCGAGAGTAGAAATCTGTCCTTCTGGAACCGAAGGGACAGAGAGTAGATAGAAGGAGGGAGAGGAAGGGATTTGTGGAGCTAAGAATAGATCTCAACCAATTGCCTCGATCGTCACGTCAAAACATGATCTTTGCTTGGTAGTCTTCTCACGAACGAACAGAAGAAGCCAACATTAGCCTGCTACTGGGTGTCTGAACATCATTCAACACATTGTGATAAGCGTACTTGGGCGCGAACGGTTCTGTAAGTGTACCCAATGTATCACTATAATTTAACAAATAATACAGTCCTCTTTGAAACTGAGATTATACATCGTCTTGTCGACTGTTTTTTCAATCTTCTTCCAATCCGACCTGTGCTGGATAAACTCGTAGATGTCCTGTGCAGTTTATTAGCCGAGATCGGGACGACGACCGCTGAAAGATACCTCGGGTTTGTATGCGCCTCCATACCGAGTAACGTCTCTGACAATCTGCGCCAAATCCTTAGCGTCCTCAACAACATACACATGCCCCAGCATCTTCAGATGAGAAAAGTCTGCTACAATCGAAGGGACCTTAAGCGACGATACAAATGCATGGTACGCATTTAAATCAGCGATGACTTGGAAGCCGCCATTCAAGGATATAATTTGCCTCTTGATGTGTTTCTGCAGGATCCTGTGCCAATAGATGTTAACCTCAACCCCGACGCAAAGCCTCAGGACTTACGCAATGAGTCGGATCCCCACCTCTTGGTGAAACACTTCCAAGACCTCTTTGCTCGTGCTCCCCTTCAAAAGCTTACAATGCATTTCCAGGCACTTGATAGCCTCTTTGCACCCTTTTGTGGCACCAAGCTCCAGAGGCCTGTCTTCCGGAGGATAGTACTCCCGTGGTTGTGTCAACGTGATAATAATATGCTCCACCTTTACATTTCATAGTCAGTAAAAAAACCGCAGTCATTTTAAAAATTTCGTACCTGATTCATCAACACCTCTGTACCAGCGTTAAGTCCACCAGCAACGGAATCATCCAGAGCATTTTCGAACCGCTTTTTCTCGCGCACGACTGCGTTGAGGAAGTCGTGACGATCGATATGAGGTGCCTTTGTAATAGTAAGAATAAGATTCCGAATGATGACTCGAATGCCTACAAGCTCCTTGTCAAAATATACTTGTACCATAGACTGGATAGTGTCTCCAATGTGGACAAGCTCAAAGAACTGCAGGAGCGGAGCCACACTCGTCGTTTCTTCGTGCTCAGCAGGTTTATAGGCTCCCATTTGCTCGATAGCACTGTACGAAGGGTGAGTATCAGCACCACTTTAAGGAAAAGAAACCCTCGGCTTACGCAGAAAACCCCTTGGTTACATGCCGTTCACTAAGCGTCTGAAGCATCAGGATAAAAATTTCCTCGATAGTATCTCGAACTCTATGCCCATAGTGACCTGGATATCCCGCAAATGTTTCAACGCGCTTCAGGCCTTCACGATCGGCGTGAATGAGCTCCAAAGCCACATCAAGGGAAAGGAGAAGGTCAAGCTGATTAATCCCAGAGCTCGCTGTGAGCGGAGTGATAGCCCCATTTAAACTCGAGGCAGGAGGCGTTGGAACCGACGATGGAAGGTCCATGGTAGATGCTAACAAACGAGGTCAGATAGCCATGCGGGGAGGATAAGTACGAACGGACATGAGAGTTCCAATTTCGGGGGTTCCTTCTCCGAGGGGTCCTCGTCATTTCCATCATTATCATCAGGATTATCGAACAACATCTCGCCGTCCTGTGCCAAATTCTTGGAATACCCGTCGGATGTAACCACACCACCACCTCCCCATCTCTGAGGGTTAAGCATCGCAATCCCTTGAGCAGCGGCTGTGCCTCCAGTCATGATGGCACCACCCACAGCTCCGACAGTTCTTGGAACAATAGTAACGGGAAGCAGCAACACGCTGGTAAAAGAGGCTAGGACGTTTCGCTTCACTTGTGCAGGATTTTGGGAGCTCAGAAACCGGGCGGTGTTCATAGCAGATGATGTTTCCGCATGCTGGATAGCTTATAAGCCCGGAATACAGATGAATGCTCTGAGAACCGACCTGTCGTTCCCAACCTTTACAGATTACATCTAGTGCTTGCTTTACGGACTCCACCTCTTCATCAAGGTACTCGTCCATGTTAATCTCAAACATCCGGTACCTAGTTAGAAATATTAATGAGACAATAAACTCAGCCGGAGAAGACATTCTGACACGACATCCTCTGCCCTTGTTTGCGTCACATTGGAGTTGGGGCTGGCTTTGGCTGCCTGTAGAATAGCGTCTACTATGCGCCAAGACTCCTTGAAACTGGCCGCTGCTGCTTTTAGGAAAGTCTCGTTGGAGATTTCGCGCGCCCTTGTGAGAAGGGCGGTCACATATTCCCCAACCTGTAATCAAGCTCAGAATAGTAGCAGACACGCAAGACTGCCTACGTACGACTTCGGTTGCGACACGGTCAGCAAAAGACACGAGAACATCTGATGCTAGTGGAAATACGCGTACTGCACGCGATCCATGTTCGACAATGGATCCGAGAATCGCAGTCATGAATTCGTCCATAGCGTCAAAATCAAGTTCCCGATTCTTCCTGGATACAAGTCAGACCGCAGCCAGGAAGCGTGATATGAGGCGCACGTAAAGTTGTCCATGGGATTCCATCTCTCTTGGACATAGAATATCTCTCTTTTCTCGGCCCACACCTTTCCCATCTCCCAGTCACCACGTCCATCCCAAATCTGCCAGCTGGATTCTGCCGCATCTTTCATCCCTATCTCATCTGCTTTGCTGTCTGCCAGATCGAATGCTGCAAGGAGATTGGCGTCGAACCGGTCCATAGCCGACCGCAATGACGACGAAAGAGTATCCCATTGCCGAAGGGGCTGCACTTGTGGTGAGAGGAAGAGAAAGAGGAGGCGTAGCGTCTGTGCTTCATATCGCAGTGTTTGTGACACCAGATCGGATAGTCCATTGAGTACTAGGTGGGGCGGCGACGACAGTATTCGTGTAAGGGGATTGAGTAACTTATGCGCCCGGATGTACCGCTCCCTGTACGAAGGCTCCATATATGCAGGCATCGGTATCTTTGGAGTGATCACAGTGTCGTCAAATGCGCCGACGAAGTCGCCCATTTCAGCGTGTGGCGGGCTGAGAACGTCGACAGTCGCAAAGTCCCCGAATTCATCATCGACTGCAATTGTCGGCGGAGCTGCTGCACGACTCGCTGCAACCTGGATCCTCGATTTTGCTTCCAGGTCCTCCAAGACAGATGATAGTGAGTGTTGTTCTACCCCCAATGCCTTCCAACGCTTCTCCCAGACAGTCTCATTTCGAGCAAGGTTGGCCGTAGAGCGCGAACATCGACTGTACGCGGGGAAATCAGGTATTGGAACATAGGATAGAACGAGGAGATGCAAGTCCATTGGCAGACGGCCCACCAAAGGTGAACCAACAGGCTTCGACACCAGCTGATTTCGCGAGAGCAGGCGAGCACCCGTCGACGTTGCTGATGCGTAGAGCCTTACCGGTTCCAACGTAGCGAAATTTTCCATGTTGCTGTCCTATCTGTCGCAAGCATGGATTGAAAATAATGGGCAGTAACGGTGGCCCGACGACCTCGAGGACTGCGTGGATCGAGGACACCGGAACGGCAAAAGCCGACCCTTCTTGGCCGTCATTAATGCTGACTCTTCACAGTAATCCCGACATGTTTGTTCTCTCTTCGTAGTAGTCTTATGTGCTAATGGGCATATGCATATGGGTACATGGGTAAATGCAGGTAAATGATAATACAAGGCCGTTGACACCTTCGACCAGCAACGACCATGCTTTTTAGCTATTCTACACCTTACGAGCATTCCGGATATATCATGATAGAACATCATTCAAATACGACGACGCCAATAGACAATGATTCGCTACAACGAATATTCAGTTAAGACTTGTATCATAATTTAAAGATTTGATTACCTTTTACTATCATCTATGGCAGACGACAGCGACGACACTGATCCAGCCTCGTTCTCACCACCAAAAGCCTTGTCCACCAGGCGACTCGCCAAATTTAGGTCCTCGAAATGTCTCCACACCGAAAACACGATTTGATCATATACCAACAACGCCGAGCCTTGTGGCTCTTCGGTTTCACTGACAACAGCTCGCTCGGACGGCTTCTTTTTCTTAGACTGCAGGGTCGATCCAACTTCCTTTATCACTTCCTTGTTTGATAAGGATTTCCAGAGTCCCGGCGACGCTATGACAAGGAAATCTCCAGGTTGCACAAGCGTTGTCGTTATAACCGGCTCGGCGGTAAAATATGGCGGCGTTTTCACATCGTCGTATGTCTTCTTCTCTTTCACATCAGACCAGGAGAGCCTCTCGCGCACCGCCCTGGACCATTTGTACGGCCCCACTCCAAATAGCCGGAGTGGGGCCACGCCAAAGAGAGTATCGTTCTTTATCACTTCTTCGCCAGGGTGCTCCCGCTTCACTCGCGCCAACTCCTCAGCATTGGTGGCGTCCTGGTCAACCGAGAGCACCTGCAGACTATAAGACTCTCCCGTACGTCCTCTTCGACCCAAAATGGCCCGTGAATGGCCCGTCAGCGCAACACGCAACGCGCGAGTCTCCGTGTCATAGAAAGCAAGAGTAGCGGAAGACCCAGAGTATGCTGCGTCCAAAATGTGGGGCAGATGCCGCGAAGAAGACCTGTTGTTGGAAGCAAGCATGGCACTGAAGTTGACGATGTCGTCGTCGAGCCGATTAAATGTTTCCTTGATTTCTTCATCAATCTCATCCGGAGCCGGGTCAGGACCAACTTCGGAGCGTTCAGAAACTCTGCTGAACTTGGTCGCTTTCGCCCGGCTGAATAGGTCGGCTAGCCCCCCGATAATCGCGTTTAGAAGGTTTCCTGCGAGGTACGCACTGGTGTCTACGCCATTGTAGCTGTCGTACAGAGCAAAGAAGGACCAGAAACGATCAGGAAGGCCGGTAGATATGGATTGTATATGGTTGCTGCCTAGCTCATCTCTGTCGAAGCGTTATATCCACGTAGGTTGCGACGAAGAAATGCCTTACATACCTGGCGACAACATGATAGTCGAACCTCGCAATCCCTGGAACTGGCCTCCGTGATGATTCTGAATAATGTTGGGAAAGCCCGGTCAAATCTCAAGACAGGTAAATCCCTGTGCAAGGAACCGAAAAGACAGCAAGCCTACCATTCAGCAGACGAAGGTTGAGTGCGGCATACACTGCTCCTGATGCCAAGAAAATGCGGTGCGAGTTGCGCAAAGTACGCACAAATTTGAAAGTAGTACTCATGTGCCTAGTAAAGGGAAGAAACGAGCGACTTTTACTCCTATCAAAACTTAGAAGGTTCGGGTGTAGTCGGCCCGGCATTCACGTATTTAAAGCGGAGCTTGATTATGCCGATCGGCAGGAACCAACACTTTTCTGCTCCGAGTCCACCAACTCAATGAGTTCGAGGTAGTTAGGTATGTTTTCTGTATTCCCATGTTGCACTGTGATTGCATTTTTAATGTCCAACTCTCTTCCGTGTCACAGGTAGACAGGCACTGAAATTCTATACCAAGCGTTGAAGATCACGAAGACTTTTACTTTGTACCGGGTTCGTCTCTACTTGCGGTGCGCGTCTTGAAATCGTCGGTTACCGGATCATTGTGAGTACCCGTTTAACGATGGCTCATTTAAAGAGCATACCCAACATCTCAGCCTCGAATAACTTGATGATTGGACCCATGCGCAACGACGAGCTAGAGCGAAGAATGATCTAGAGACAAGGATAAAGCAGAGTACAGAATTACTTTTCAGAGGACAGCCAGACATGATGTAGAGCCATTCTCTAACGTTGCAGGTGAAGCGATGCTTAGTTCCGCAACGTAAAGCTGATCCTTTTCTTCATGAATTATATCGTTCCCTTCCATTCACCGGAGTAGCCTCGATCTTTATACTGATATGATCCCACCTCGACGTGAGGCAGATAAACAAAAGTTTGTCTCGTCTCGTTCTCTGTCTGCTGAGCACTCGAAGGTCTCATGCTGATCGGCGTCCAATGATTTGCACTCATACGTGGCGGAAGTTCTGGACTTTCTGCCTGCAATACAAGGCTCTTATCGGATATCTGCCACGAAATTCGCCTGATCGCAGCAAAGAAACCTCAATGAAATGATGGGCTTTGTCGGGTTCTTAAAGGACTGGCTTCGGTGTTGTGAATTGACAGTCGCCGTCTCTTACTGGTATGAACGGATGGGACGGATGCCTTCCATACCTCCTCACTTGCCCCCTTCTGTCTGGCTAATGTGAAATAAGCGAGTCGTTCAGGCATTTGTAGACGCTACTTAGGCAGCCAGGTCCAGACCGCGATGGTGGGACCAGTTATGTGTGCTGAAGTCATGCAACGAAGCGGAGGACCTTTCCCTGAGAAAGACTTTGAACTTTGTATCACAGCAGTAGATCGATGAGGTATGCTCGTGTGAGTTTCGCGTCCATAGCTCCTTCCTTTGAACACGATATGCACACGGCGAAGGGAATCTTACGTTATTCTGGACTCGAAGCTGTCGCTTGTGAAGTCATGTGAACTTGAGGATACCCCCCGGTGAAGCCGAGGCGTCATAAGAAGGACAGCCTTGACAGCTGCGCCCAGAGGCAAACGTGCTGCGACGTTGCAGTACCGATGACATTGTATCGATAAGCGCAGTGACTTGAATAAAAAGGCCGCCAGAAAAAACCAGATTTTCTTTGAGCATCACATGCTCTTTAAAATGGCCTCGATCACAGGTAGTCCCCTTCCCCCCCAAAAAAGAAATTGAATACAAATCATTGATGGATGAAGCTACCGGCCGGAGGTAGTATGAGAGCTACGATGGCATCCTTCTCGGGTGTAATAAACTACCCTTAGACTCCCTCGTCGACCGTCTAGATGTGACGATGGATCATCAAAGTTGCGCGATTTACTTGTGGTGCCATAGAATGGAACCATTGCTACATTTAGAGTCAAAACCTATACCGCGTAAGAGGCGGCGGAGTGCCTGTAAACCGCACCGTGGGGTCTTCCCTGTAAAACGGAGCACCTGAGCACCGGCTGTCGTTCGGTGAAGCTGTTGTGAACTCATGGACACAACTTTAATTATCTCTTTGGACAGACAGGCAACAGACAGTATGGAGAATCCTGTAACGAGGTCGTTATTATATACTTTGAAGACGGGGGCGATTCTCGGTGCGCTTCAAAGCACGTCCACTACTATGCACACGACCAGAATTTTCAATAGACATAAGAGTCGAGGCTTGGACTTTATGTAAGGAGCTGTTAGAAAGACAGGTGCCATACGGTCAACAATCCCGTTTCCCAAGGCCCGTGTCAGTAGTGAATACCAAGGACGATGATAGGAAAGCCACGTCGACCATAGAACTGGATAGAAAGGAGACGAAAATCGTCCATGTTTGGATATCCATATCCACGTGCCAGTAGAAGTTTCCCACGTTACCCCGCAGTGGAGTATTTTGGGTTCTCCTTTTCTTCCATGAGTGGCATCCAAGACGACTCAGCAAGAAAAAACAAAGCGTAGGAAACAAAAAAAAGTGGTCTGACAGGGCAGAAAGGCAACAAATACAAGGATGTCATTGGCAGCCAGGCCGGCCGACAAAAGGCCTAGATAAAAGGGCCTTTCGATGGTCACGCGCCACCTTTGATGTTCGCACCGCCGTATAAATACGGCCACCTTCAAGCTCCACCCCCTCACTGACCCCCACCATCTGCTACTGTTACTACTGTACTCTTCTTACCTCTTATCTTGTCATGACCCGTACCGCCCGTGCTACTTTCCCCAAGGCCGTCCTCAAGGACCGCTCAGAGTCCAGGTCTGGCTTTGACAAGTCCCTGCGCAAGAACGGCGCCGGCCAGCACAATTGGGGTCGTCTCGCTGATGAGCGCGAGCACGAGTATGCTGCTATGGACGACGAGGCTCTCGAACTCCAGGAGGAGTTTGAAGAAGCTGCCGACGACACCGGGAGTGTTAGCGCGGCATCCGATTCCAGTACGTTTGCCACTACACTCATCATACTCTTACTTTCACTGACGTTATCTTTAGCTTCCGAGTCTAAGCCCACACCAGCTAGGGCTTCCTCCATGTCCGAGGAGGAAATAGAAATCGCCAAGCAGTTCAGGAAGAAGGCCCTCAAGGGAGAAAGTAAGTCTTTTTTGTTTCGATTTACCAAGTTGTTCTAATAAGATTTCTTTCTAGTTGATCTTGCGGCCATTGCTCGTACTTCCTCTGCTGTTTCCACCTCGCCCCCTACCTCCAAGACCGTACAGGTTCGCATGTTTCACCTTTCTAGTCTCCGAACTTGGTTTAATACGTCCGGTCACAGGTCGCTGCCTAATTTTATTCCTGCATCCCTATAACCTAGTTATCACCACTTGCCACCCTCTTTGTCTTTTCAGCTTATCGAACTGAAGATCCCCACTTGTAGTGTACTTGTAGTATCGTTTTGCAATCACAATCATCGAATGTATTATTTTTCCAAACCGGAGTATGTACGAGCTTCAGCTCTGTGTGAGACATCTGCACAGTTTTGCAACATCACGAGTACTGGATGTCATGGGTAACATGACCCACTTCGCCAAATGGTACCTTGCTTCCGTGACGAATCGAATGAATGGATCGAAGGCGAATGCTATACCATCATGGTAATGCCGAGGGTACTACTAGGTATTCCTCGTCGAACCGAGGTCAGTTGTATATAGAAGATAACAGGAATAAAGTAGGTTCGATACCAATACATCGAAGAATCTAGATCACGGAGCGGATGACGGAGGAATCATTGGGAACCAGAGAAACGAAAACAAAAGCACATGCCTGCAAAGATTCCGCAGCCTGTACGAGAGTTTTTCCTGAGTCCAAAATACAGGCTGAAGATGAACCTGCAACGCAGTATTGTACCCTCCAAACACGAAAGTCCGACAGTCTAAATCAACGAATATAGATAACAGCAGGAAGAAACTCAATGGCGGACACCAAGTAAGTGATGTACAAAGGAGTCAGGATGATGTTAATTTTCGAACTAGGATCGTCGGCAGAAGGGAATACAAAGGATTCTAGATCCAGTAGGGGAATACTTAGCTTGCTTCACGGGAATTGATATCAAGTGACGTCTTCAAGGAGACTTGCAGAGGATGACATACAGAGACCCCCCGGCAACTTCAGATTTCCGGATATTAAAAGCGTATACTTTTACAGAGCCTTCTCAACCTTTATGCGGCAACAGCCCAACAGTGGATATCTGAGAATCTTGGCGGTGAAGCTACAGCAGGACAGAGCTTGGTGCATGCGATGGACGTTCAACCAAGATATGGTATGCCCAGTCCACAGGCCCCAGTTGAGATGCATGCTGCCCCTCGGTTGACGTGAAAGCACTAAAGATATGCGCGTCGCGTCATTTCAAATCTCTGTGGCACGTGATGTGATCATGTACACGCGTCGCGTCTTGCCTGGCAAGCCGCTTTATAGATGCTCGCAGAACGGGGTAGGCATCTTTCATCTTTCTTACGAAAGCGGTGGAGATTCTGCGGTTTGTATCACATCTCGTGTATCGAATGAAAGTAGTGGGCGAACCCGGTGCATATATGTCTATCATGGTACACCCGATAGCCTTGAGAGCAGGAAGGATTCCCTTGATCTCCCTCATTTCATTGTGAAAGTTTTCGGAAAAAGTGATACTAGACAAACTTGGTTTGTGAATAAAGGACAAACAAAACATCCGGAAAGAGGTGAAAGGCCTGCAATAGGCACCGAAATATCGGTAGGAATATCGTCCGAAATGATAAGGCCATGGTAAATTCATTAAGTCTGCAGCATGTAGTAGCTAGGGTGATCACGGACCCAATTATTCAAACTTCCACCGCTTGGGTTTCTGATGGGCGGCTCAGTGGTGTGGCCGTAGCAAATGTAGCCTACACTGAATATCCTGTCAGATATGACTCAGGCTGTTCAAGAATTCGTGACTTTAAACTCTTGGGGCTCTTTGAATGCTATGCTGTTGTTGCAGTGTATGTCTAGTTCTGACATTCAAAATCTCGCAGCATTCTCCTCTTCTGTGACGACGTTCGAAACTATGGAAATATGAGTTTCTTCTAGGCTCATTCCACTGACGGATCAAAAGGGAAACAGCCATCAGTACATGTGTGTGAAAGGAATTACAAGACAGGGAAAAACCATTCTATTGGTCGATTGAGTCTTTAGCCTAAAAGCCGACTATTTGCTCTTCTAGATACTCCCAAAGCCGACGGCCCACGGCTTCGCCTTTGGTAGCAGCAAATACCGCCCCGACTCGCACCCATGGTTTCATGTACTAAACTCGTCAGCTGCTCGTGTAAACAGCATCACCGAAGGATACCCACCCCACCGTTACATTTCAATGCCTCTGAATCAGACATTGTCGCGTCATACAGCTGCGTGAGCCCTCCCATCTCTACAGGGTACAGCATCGTACAAGAATAAATTAAAAAGAGTTCGGTGATAGTGGAAGGATCGTGCGTGCCAGAATAGTTCGCTCAACAGGTGACATATATCTCTGCATTTCGGACCTCAAGTTTCCCGGATTCACAGAGATAGCGATGATCCCTTGATCTGCATATCTGCGTGCCAGCTCGGTGGTCCACACGACCATAGCCTGAGGTTGCTCTTTAACAATGGTAATGGTCCACATGACGGACATGAGGCTTACGAATTTGCTCTGAGAATACAACGCCATCCTGCTCATCTTACGGCGTTCAGGACCTCTTTGAATGTGTCAAACTTCAGACCATTGACGAAGATGTGATTTAGTGACGCGGTATTGATGATTCGCGGTCTGAATTGGGGGTTGGATGCAAAGATGGATGTGAATGTAGGGAGGAGAAGGTGGGTAAAGTAGAGACACCTGTGAGAGGAAGGTCACGGTTATACACTGGGGTAGTGTAGAGAGAAGGATGTGCGCACCGAGCATGTTAGCGCCGAACTGGAGATCGTAGCCTTGTTCAGTTAGAGCATCTAAGGGAGGAGAGAATACGCCAATGTGAACTGTAAGTCGGATCCGAAAGCATGTGGCAAAAACGACATACCTATTGTTGAACAAAACATGAAGCTTTGATCCCTGATATTGCTAGGAGCAAAAGTATTTTATGGCAATTTTCGGTGCTTCCTGACATTCCAACCACTTCTTGGTGTCCTGGGTGCTGTAAATGGTTTGAGTGGTGCACACCAACCGGAGTTGTGGAGCGGTATTTATCTATCTTTTCTTTGTATCTTCAGCAGGCATGTTGGGAGATGCTGGACACTGTGTGGGAACTGGGCGACGCATGGAACGAAATTGGGGTTGTTGGGGAAAGCCATTAGAAGTAATGTGCTACCGTTTCCGGTGCTAGAAAGGACAGAAATACAGCAGAAGATTAAGTGCGTTTTATTTGTCTGTTAGACCTTTTAGAAATTGGGCCCGAGTTTGCGTCATCGTCGGCGTGGCGCGTACGCGTCTTGTCCCTATCCTTTAGGGTCACTTATAAAACGAAACGTACATGAGAACAACATGACAAGCCCACTGACAAGCCCACCATGCGCACCCACAGCAATGACTCAGACTGTAGGTGACATATGTTCATCGACCAATGTCTTCCTCCCAAACCTCAATTTTCTGTAAATGAGCTTCCTGATCTCTCTGAGCAGTCACCATTGTTACGGGCGCTAACACCGGTAGGTACCATCAACAATTTCCCTCTACGCGTATGTCTGATTGTATTTCCACTAGGTATAGGCCAAGGTTACGGTCAAAGCTCTTCTTGGGCACAATGCAAAGGTCTACTTTGTTTGCCACAGTGAGGAAAACGCCCGTGCCGCAATGGCTGAGTTGCGCAATGAAACCGGACGAGAGGGGCTCTTCCTACAGGTCGATTTCGCAGATCTCAACTTTATCAAGCACGCGGCCGATGACTTTACGAGGTGAAACCTCTCTTTGGCATAATTTGACACTGCATAAAAGATAAGGAGATTGGCAAACTAGTCCAAGAGATGACTTTAATGCCGATGAGTCAAACACAGATGTTAGCATCAGCAGTTTATTCGAATAGGCGCTCGTGAACTCCTTCAGACAGGCTATTTACTACGCTGTCCTGGTACTTGAGTTGTGCATCCGTACGCTATGCATGGCACTAAGAGTGTTTCCCCTGTCATTAGTACGGTCATTAGATAAGTATTCAAGTACGCACTACTAGTAGACCTCGGTCGGGTTGTAGGTTTTTACTTCATGCCCGTCCATAATCAAAATAAATGCATCAGTTTCCAAGATCAGCCTTGCGCTGATATCGCAGTACATAGGAACAAGAGAAAAGAAGACAGGAAGACCCATGTCAGCAAGGTCATATACTCTCTAGAGTAGTCACAGAGGAAGAATAACGATGGTGGTGTCGTCGACTCTTTGGCCGAACTGTGCCCGCGCCATCAAGCTGTCCAAGTTTACTTCGCCATCTCCACCCAATGTATTCCACAGAAGATCGAGAGCCAGATTGCCGCTCCCCTTTCGAGCACAGTTTATAATGGAAAGGATACGTACGCTGGGCTGATCAAGGGAAACGTGAACAATGTCCACCTGGTTAGAGAGATAAGGTGGCGTAAGGTTTCGCGCCATGAACCTGTCGAGTGTGTAATTTGGATGAAAAGGCGGTGTGGCTAGAGCGAGAACGCGTTGGGTATAGATATCCGGGAGCTCAAAAGGCATGTCGCCTATGGCTAGAGGAGCATAGACATAAACACGACTCATGGGTAATAAAAAGGGCTCACCACGAGTCAGAGTGATCAGACCCAGCGTTCTATACTTGTGTATGCACTCAATTTCACCGGGATGCTCAGCTCTAACGCGATCTGCCTCTGCATCGTTGCAGCAATTATGATATGGACTGAGTACCTTGACAGACTGTCGCCCAATCAAGTCCCGTGTACCGAGAACTATTCGACGACAAATTCTAGTTCAGTTGATGAGCTCACCAGCATCGCAGTAAACCCATGCTGGCAACATGAAGAGACTTGCATGAGCTGATTAGAGCTATCAAAGCAGTGGTACCTGTCCTGGCACGCATAACTTGCACATGAGAGTTCCATGTCTTGTTGGAAAGATCTGTTATGATGGCTTTAATTTCATTGTCGTTCATTGCAATGATCTGGGCCAGTCCACCAAGAAAGAAGTTGAGCAAGTCAGTCTTGATGCGCTCGTCAACGCCAGAAACACAGTCAGCCAGTATTTTTCCAATGACAGATTCTGAGGGTGATGACACGACTGTAGTGAGGCTTTGACCATGCCCGGTAAGGTCTCAGCAACGGAATCCACAGCTTCATGACCTGCCCCATGGCTTTTGGATCGTGCTATCATCAGTACCGTAGCAAGCTATTCCATGTTCACCGTCAAAAACGCCGATGAATTTCCAAGCACCATTGGCAAGCCCCCATTCTTCCACAACATGCCGGTCCTCGATGCGATCCCGTGATCGAGTCGAGGCTGGAATGCAACGATATTGGCACCACACTCGACAGTCGGGTTGGATACACGTGCCAAGTCTGCACGGAGCTGTTTATCGACTTGCTGTGACATCGGAGAGTGGAAGCAAGACGGATGCCCCGAAATTTCGATTAGCTTCCATCCTTTTCTAGTTACATAATCCATCTACTGTTGGATTTACGCGTCTTTTGTTCTTTGCTCTGTACCACGATGTCCCGACCGCTCACATACTTTGATATCACTATTGGTGGCGTCCCTGCTGGACGAATTGTGTTCGAGCTATATGCCGACCTGGTGCCCAAGACGGCAGAGAACTTTCGTGTTCTGTGCAGGGGAGACACCATGAGCGAGGATGGTGTCCCGCTCAGGTACGCCGGCTCAGGGTTCCACAGGGTAATCAAGGGCTTCATGTGCCAAGGTGGCGACTTTACAGCGCACAACGGCACTGGAGGACTCTCGATCTACGGCTCCAAGTTCCCTGATGAAGCCTTCCCTGTGAAGCACAGTGAACCGTTCTTACTTTCGATGGCCAACTCGGGACCGAACACGAATGGGTCCCAGTTTTTTATCACCGTTGCGGCGACGCCGCACCTGGATGGCAAGCATGTCGTCTTCGGGAAGGTGAAGTGGGGGAAGAGTATCGTGAGAAGGATAGAGACTACGAAGACAGGACCTCAGGATAAGCCTGAGGACGAAGTGCTGATTGTGCAAGCAGGGGAGATTACAGAATCAGAACTGGCGGAGGGAGTGATAGAAGCGGAGGACTATCCCGAAGATGACGAACGGGCTGAACAGTTCCAGAATGACCCGGATCTGGCGCTGGAAATTGCAGTCAAAAGCAAGGACGTGGGCGCGTCACTGTGGAAGGCGGGAAAGCCTGTAGATGCACTTCATTCTTGGCTTAAGGCTGTCCGGTACCTTGACGTTCATCCCGTGCTTCCAGATGATTCTCCACAGACTCTTAGAGATACTTTTAAATCGACGCGAATTGCTGTCCTGCTCAACGTTGCGCTTGCTGGTTCTAAAATCAATGCGGAAACTGGTGTTGCGGTTGCGACGCGTGTCTTGGGTATCGAGGGTCTGTCTGACCTTGACAGAGGTGATTCAACCTTTCCCGCCTTGCCATAATTCAAACTGAGCCGTTCCATTTCAGCCAAAGCTCTCTACAGACGTGGGGTTTCGTACATCGTGCTAGGAAAAGAGAGGGAGGCGGAAAAGGATCTCGTTGCTGCCGGTAGTGACAGTCTTGTGGTCCAGGAGCTTACCCGTCTTCGAGTGCGAAGGAAAGAGAAGAGCGATAGAGAGAAGAAGGCTTTGCGAAGGATGTTTGCAGAGAACGAAAAAAGTTAGAAGTTACAAACGTAGAAAAATAGCCAAAATATTGGAATTGTAGAAGCTCGGCGGTGCCTGCATTCTTTTTCAGCTGGCACAAGTAAATTATGGATGGCGTAGAAAGTGCTGACTACGTTGTCGTGACGGTCACTGTCACACGATCTCAACGACCATGAACGCACACCCATCTGTAAGGAAGCACGAGTATTCCTGCATCATCAATGGTTAAATCGTGACTTGTAGATGCCAGCACTGACTCACCTGCTTTCCAAGTACCCCAAGACCTCTGGCAGCCTGTTCTTGGTCTACAATGACGTTGTCTACGGTGAAATATTCTCACTCGCTGATCTCCTTTTTCTTCAGCCTGACAGTTGCAGCGCAATCATGGACAGACGTTGAATTGGTGGATCTTGGCGAGCAGTGCCCAAGAGGCGCCATCAAGGGTCGCAGACCGAACACGGACTTAAATGAGCCTGCCTATGTCGTCCCCTGTTCTTTGGCTGAAACAGTGTCCTATGCATGGTCCGTTAGATAGCATATACCTGTGTGTTCCGTGGCTTGAATTGCTCATAGGTTGCAATCTGCTTTCAAATCACTCTCAGATCCACCGGAGATGTACCTGGGAATAACTGCAGATGATTCCTCGATTGTCTACTACAAGATTAGTTCCGGCATTGTCAAGCCACCAGTCTAGTCCACTCGGAATAGAGAGGGAACGTCTCCTGTGGACTGCAGATGGGACACTGTCCCGGGAAATGACAGGATATTAGATGAGATGCATAGGATCCGTGGACATAATGTACGTACAACCCGTTTGATCCCTCGTTCATGTAACAGATAGACCAATGAACAGCATATTGTCATGTAGTGCTTGTCAGCGACAATGTCATCATTGGACCGTATCCCTACCCGTTCTGCGGGTCCCACCTGCTAAGACAAGCACAAGACACTTTCCTTGCTCGATGCCATTGACAACAATCTCCGGACGCGCCGCTCCTGCAAGTTACCTCATGTTTTCGCCTCCTAACGCCTTTCAGCGTTATGTTGAAGGCGTTTGGTGGCTGCAGCAGAACAATAAATATTTTTGGCTTCTCTATTCAAAATACAGCATAGAACATACACAAAAACTCACGGAATACCCATGACCAGGCAACGTTCGTGGTTTGCGGCAAGTCTGTACTTGCACAATGTGGCGTTTTTTCGCGTCGTGCTGTGCCGTGTGGGTGGTTGTCGCGGAATTATCATTTCGTTTCTGCTTGTGGCCGTAGGTCATGCCCTCGAGCCAGAAGTGTCGGCCGACCGGAGAAGATACTTACCATTCTCAAGATCTTTTATACAGATCCAACAACTACTATTGATGGGTCTAGACTATGTTGACAAGGAATCGTGCAGGAATTCGGTGGTTCGCTTTTCCTGTAGGGGATCACATCTCAGGCAAACGTTGCAGCAATGCACGTGCAGTTATTGGAATGACATCATGAGATCTTTTTGCTGTCAATTGTTCGCCTCCCGAAAGGTTCCCGGCGCGCCACACACTGCCTTTGCCTCCAAAATTCAGCGATATCCCCGCATCTGCCATTACTATTGTATTCCTGGGCGTCTCTTTCTTATTTTTGATCCTCTTCTCCCTCGATTCCATCAGAGCCTCGTTGTAAAAACGTGTCGGTGCATATGTGTGCTATTCTCGCAAGAAATTTGGCACTGCCTCGGTGGTCGGCCCGATAAGCCGCTTATCTCCGTTTGCCTCAATGAGCTGATGATAAAAACGCGCGTCTCATCTCTCTAATGTCCATCCTCCTTCCTGTGTGCCCACATCATCAGCTCTTCATCGATTAGTAGACACCATGAAAGTGGTCGCCGCAAGGCATGCGCCTCCCAGAGTGCGACGTCCTTACGCTCCGCAGGCCTGTGATGTTTGTCGCCGAAAGTGAGTCATATATCCGTTACATTTCCTCGCGTGTCTGACGATTTCCAGGAAGACTAAATGCAACGGGGTCAAGCCCGTCTGTGAGTCGTGCGAGACATCGAAGCGCCATGATGAGGTGAGTTATCATGATAAGAGCGACATGCATTCGTTCCTAATGGTCATATAGTGCTCTTGGACCGGCGAGAACGTCCGCCAGCCACGAACAGAGGCTCATTTTGAGGCCATGCGCAAACGTATTGATGCACTCGAGGCACACTGTGAGACCCTCGAGTCTATGATTGACAAATGTAACAAGGATCATGGTGGACTATCATCTGGCGACCGCGCTACATACCTTCAACTTAGACCGTCTCCTGAATATCAACAAGTGGAGATAGATGAATCTGGCAATGTTTCTCAGGAGTTGGTAGTTGCGACTGAGAATCTCAAGGTGCTGATTTCTCTATTGCTTTCAATGCCAGTACTCAGTTCTCAAACAGCTAGAGGACCGTGATCTAGTCATATACGGAAACGTTGCGCCTTTCCGCTTTGCCCCGGTTCCCGCCCAACGTACTTCCCGGTTCCCGGAGATCATAGCAGACCCTCAGGCTCACTACGTTCTCTGGCTCGATGGGGTATCCTCTTCACATATCAATTCATCATTCGACTGGTCCCGTCACCTTCCCGTGAATCTTCCCCTTACTCGGCACGAGCATGATAAGATCCTCGACCTCCTTTTCAGTTTCTTTACCTCCTGGTGCCTCCGTGTCGTCCCTACCCTCTTTCTCCGCGACATGTACCGCGCTATCGCGTTTTCAGGAACAGTCAAGACACCCCACTACTCTCCAATGTTGCATAATGCACTGATTGCCCTCGCAACTGCATTCTCCGACGATCCGCACGTCAACAGTTTCAAGATCCGGGAGCAATACGCAATCAAGGCCAAATCGTATCTGGAGGACGAGTGTGAGAAACCGAACATTTGTGTCGTACAGGCTCTCAGCCTGCTTGGGAGTTTTCACTCGTCAAATGGGGATCAGAATCTGGGATATTTGTATTTTGGTATTTTGAGCTCTCACCTAGACTATTACGAGTGCTTAGAGGTCTCACAGGCATGAGTACCAGGGTCGGTCAGATACTGGGCTTGGAAGTCGACTGCTCCAAGCTTGTGACGGCGGGGAAGATCAGCCATGATGATATGCTTGATAGGAATTGGGCTCACTGGACGGCCTTCAGTTTGGTATGTTGAGCCTCATTGCTTCTCCCTTACCATGAGCTCATTCCTCCATCTAGGACGTCTGCTGGTCACTATACGTCGGACGAGACTGCACTGTTCCCATCCCCGCGCATGTGGAAGATATACCTGTTCCTTTCGTCGACTCGGTCTTCGATCAGATGGCATGGCATCACCCTGGTGCCAACATCCCACCCCAACCAAGTTTCTTATCAAAGACATTCGCGGCGACGTGTGAACTCTGTGTGGTAGCTCGGCGTATCATGGAAGTTGTGTGGGTTCTTCCATGTCTCCCGCTTTTTTTTCTGTATTGACCCCTATTGTAAGGAACCGTCTAGGCACCCGTCAAGACGTTGTCAATCTGGAGTTGATCAGCAAGATGGAGTAAGTTCTTTCTCCATTAAAATTTTGTGCCCATCAACTAATGATTATTTTTACTGTAGTCTTCAATTGAATAACTGGAAGTCACAGCTATGTCCCGAAGTCGATATCACGCCGAGTAACCGCAACATTTCCACTCCACATCGCCTAATGATGCATCTCCTCTATTGGCTGATGTTTATCCTCCTCCATAGGCCATTTTTCAATCGCAAGGCCCGGCCGGTCTATAGCTCCGGATGCGAAATTGATCACAAGAAGTTGTGTAAGCGCGGTGCTGAGAACGTTCTCGCGATCCTGCAGACTTGGCGTTCGCTCTATACACTTCGTTACGTTCCAGTGACACTTTTCCAGGCCGTCTTCTCTGCTGGAACCGTGTTTCTCTTGCTCGGAGGGATGTCGCTGGTCAAAGTCGAGCTGTGCATTCAATACTTGAATGAGATTGGCAAATCATGGAAGTGTGCTACTAATATTGGTGCCATCTTACAACAGTTGTTGGAGAATCAGGAAGGTGGGAAAGGCAAAGGAAAGGGGGTTATAGAAGCAGTTGATGAAGAGTTGCCGCGCTCGTTATTACTACAGCAGTATTCTCCTCCCTTGGGCCCCCCTCCGAATCACCGTCCCCCTTTGGCCGCTTCTGTGGATGACTTTCTTGACGTGGACTTGCTGTTTCCGGATCTTCTTACGGGAGGGGAGGTTGATACGATGTATTGGTCGCAGCAGCCGGATGATCCGGCTCTGTTGAGCACTTTGGCGATGTTTCTGGAAGAGAATTGCTCTGGGGCAGTCCTATGACCGGGAATGTATGGTGGGTATGTTGTGTTATTGCCTTCATTTATTCTATACTGTATACATGTTGTAATTTCGATAGCCCTGGTATTGTATCTGTTATCTACTTGTCCTGTCTCATCATCGTGTGTATATATAATGTATCACTTGTTTCTTATGTTACCAGATCCTCAATTGATGAGTGGGACGCCGAAGCTGTTGCATACGGATATTTCGCGGCAAGCTCATCGGTGAGTTCCACGTAGTCCTAGAGGTCAGCAGACGTGGATCGGGGGAATGAGTTGCGCAATGAATCCAATCTAAGCGTTCCTCCAGAATCCCGGAAACGAGAATTCCAACTTCCGGTATGGTGATATATTCGATACTGGCTGTTTATTCATCATGGAGATTCCTTGGTTACTTGATGCAATATTAGAATCACAATTAATTGATTACATAATCAATCTTATACATAGGGTGGGATAGTGCTTCCACGGTTTGTTTGCGTCCTTCGTCCATCTGCCCCGCGATGCATTTGTCCTGTACTCCCGTGGACTTTACGACCGCGTCCTCAACATGCGCGCTCAGCTTTCTGTCGCTGGCCGTCGTGCTCGTCATTCTCGCCTGCGTCTGGGCCTGTCGCCATCACCAGCAAGGCGATAAGAAGGGTGTGTGGAAGTGGGGCGTCCTGACCTTGGAGACACTGCAGTCGGCGCCCATGAAGGAGAAGGAGCCCGTGTCTGTGTCTGTGTTGGAGGGTCAACAACGACGTGCGTCTTTTACGTTTATGTTTAATTGGTTTAATTTTGAAAGACAACCAACGACAGGCGTGTTGTACTACGAGTCGCAAGCACCGGTGTCGATGGCGAAAATAATAATGTCGCGGCATGTATGTGCTATGGTCTCCAAGGCACGAAGATACTGAGGCTGCTCCTTGTAGACCTTTCGTCGACCAACACCTCGCTCGATACCACCGCCTCCCCGGCCTTCGCAACAGCCACCAATATCAACACCACGGCCACAGAGCGGACAGGGACGACGTTCCCGTTCACTATCACCGCCTCGGCTACGCCAGCAGCTGCCGGTCACACCTTCGATGGTGTGATTTTTTTCGACGAGAACGAGATAAGAGAATATTATGTTATGTTATATACATGCTATTATGATCTAGAGGGAGCAAGGCGCTGATTATTTGCTCGATCCATATCGTCTCGGGCTGACCAAATGGGGCCCTGTCCGACGAGAGGAGGGAAGAGGAGAAGGAGACCCTTCCGTGGGAGTTTGCTTTCGGTGTTTGCATTTCATTCGGACTAGTGGTTACAAGCTCTTGGATACGCATTTTCTTATATCTGTCAGTTTTTGGTTTACCTTTTTTTTTTTTTCGTTATATTATATATATGGACTTTCGTTCTGGATGTAATGTGGATGGAGCGGGTGTTGCATGGTAAGCACCTAATGAAAGGTGGCCGTATTCATCGCACTTCCTCCGGATTCGATGGTCGGAAAAACATAGCTTCGACTGACATTCGCGACTGCTCCAGAGGCGATGACGTTTCAGATAAGAATGTATTTCTACCAAGGCCCTCATGGCGTCTGTTCATTGTTGCGAAGATGTAGAGTCAAAGTTGCAGAATATAGCAAACAATGTGCGACAACGAGAAAACTCCACTCTTGCTCCGAGCAAGCATATGCACCAGCATGTCGTCTAAAATTGCCGCCTTGCCGGTATATCGCCAGCCGACAGCCGACTCGGCGCGATTTGCCTACCGACGCATGAACTAGAGAAAACAGCCGAAATGGATATGAACTTCTCCGTTGTACTCAGCTGAAGACACGGTCGACAATTGAGCCATAATGTTACCGGCGTCCGCCATGTTTCCCATGGGGTCACAAGCACATACGCGGACCACAGAAATGGAAACGAGAGTAGGCCCCAAGTTATTTGCAGAGAGGGACACCAAGTTCTCGGATGAAACTTCATCAAAGATTCTACTAGAGAGCGAGGCAAACGTCCTGCACAGGAGATTTTGTTTGATATAACTACACAATATGAAGAGAATTGACCAATTGCGCAAAAGGAAGCCGAAACGGCAGATGGCGGAATTTCAATATGAATGTGTGCCGAGGGGATACCGCTGCGCCCCTCTTTAGGAGAAATGGCTCCAACATTGAAAAGAAAACATTCATTGGAGGGCAGCACGTCTACCCAAGATTCTCTTGCACAGAATCATCATAGCTGCGAACGGGAGAGGTCTACTTCTCAGTCGCCGTCTCCTCTTTCATGGACGACGACCTTACCCGACCTTCCGAACGAGCTCCTACTAAAAATCCTTGCTATTTTACCTGGCACCGTCGAAACGATCCTTGCTCTGGCTACTACTTGCTGTCGACTTAACCAATTCGCTATGGCATATCATTTTGAACGAGTCTCCTATGAACTTTTTGATCGCACCTGTCGGCCCTTCACCTCTTTCCGAATGCTTCGCTTGTCATTTATTTACAAACGGTCTCTGTCCTTCATCCAATGCAATTTTTCCGATAACTTCCACAAAGAGATGAGAGAGGTCAAACGGTCTCTCGCCGCCCTCAAGCGTATGGGTTTATTTCTGGGCAAATTTTCTGTCTCCTTTGAAAATATGGATTGGCCAGAGATGCTCACAAAGAAACATGCCGCTTTCTTCGAAGATCTTAGCAAACTCAGCTGCAAGACGATAAACACATATAAATCATTTTTGTGGTTGTTCGTGCCTACGACGACGAGCGAGAGCATAACGTTTGACCCCTAACCCTTACCGAACTTTCAAAGGTCACTCTATCTGAGCGTCTGGAACAGTATATTGCTTGGATGCTGCGATCTATCAAGGAGTCTCCCGTGAGGACGTTAAATCTGCATTCCCTTTCTGACGACACCCTTCTGAAAATCAACCAGTTTCCCCTTAGCAATCTTCGAAACATGACGCTCTCGGAGTGCACGTTCAGTTTTGCGGCCTTTGCAAACCTTTCTCGAACGCCACTTACACATTACATACCTCCATCTGCAAACATGGACCCCGATGGCAAGCATCGCAACAAGAAGGGGCCGTAGGGGATCGAACCAGGGTCTGAAGATGTCGTTGGAACCTGCAACTCGCATGTCATTGACATGTATCAGTGTTACGGCAACGACGCTTCGCGCGCTACATTCCAATTCGGAAATATTTCCTGTCCTTCAAGAGGTTACTGTTACGGGCGAAGATATCTTAGGAACCCAGGAAGCACTTTTCATATCAACCGTCTCAGTATTCGTCTCAAACACTTCAACGTTACTGAATGGCTGCAATTCAAGTTCCCTCGTTGGAGAGGCCTGGTCGAAGAGAAGGCAGAATCGTTGCTTACGCAGATCACCGACTTTTCGATTTCGTTCGATACTCTGGATGTCATCGCTACCGCCGAGGTCCCCGCTGCTGCGGGTTCAATCCAATTTGAAGCGGTTTCGTACATCGTCGAGTGGCTCGGAGAAGGCGATACTTGATTTCGTCAGAAAGATGAAGGATGTCTGCCCGGGTTTGGATACTGTGGTTGTGAATTTGTCTGGTTTTTCTACCGATCCGAAGTGGTTACACCAGAAGGAGATGGAATTGAAGGAAAAGAAAGGAAAGTGAAATATGCCAATACTTGAGCGTTACCCCACCATTTAATATGTTTTATGTCCTGGTCAATTCTGGTTATCTTCTAACAACGCCGATTTCCAATTTGGCAATAGCAATAGTTGTTTCCTTGACCAATCCTCAAGGCGTTAAGGAGTGAATTCAGTAACAGGTCTTTATCCAGTGCGCTAACTACTTTGAACTATTGTTTCGTTTCCATTGCTGAAGTCCCTATTCCACGTCTCTAACAGCTTTTGTTCCTTCGTTCACTTTGTTACGCTTCATTACTTCACAATTCGGTATGCCGGGCCGCCCAAGAGACGTCCGTGCATCTCACTAGAACGCATCTTTATTTCAACGTGGAACGACCACTTGTACTATCCCTGCTGTTCAACAACGTGCCGCGTTGCAATGAGCCATTGCGAATGTCAAGATTCAAAAGTCTGCCTATTCCGCGGGCCCAAGAAACAAAGTTCCTTCCAGTTTTCTATCACTCACATCTCTACCCGTGTAGAAATAGCACTGTCTTCTGTCAACCTTCGATATATTCATGTCCGTACGATTCCCTCACCGTTCTCAAAATCACTTGCAAAATTGGACTCAGTTTGCCTTCGGGCTCGACAGCCATGTCCTAACAGGACAAGCAACAATTCTAATATCATTTCGAGCACGATTTCTATTGCATGTTTTGGGTCGCCACCAATAGTATCTACAATATAGACGCAATTCAGCGATTTGAATTGCGTGTACTTTCTTTTCACGGCTTTTTATTATAAGCTATCGTCCAAGAGAGGTGAAAACCTTGACACCTCCCCGAGGAAGCTGTAAAAGCGTCTCTATGTGACAAAAAATCGATTTAATGTCGCAGAGAGTCACCAGGCTCTGGTTCCGCCGAGAGAGCCATCGCCCTGCTGACGACGATACCAACTGGTTCGGCGTCGCCGTTGATGACAACGTTACCGGAATCCCCCTTGAAGGCAAAGGGAGATAGGTTAAAAGATTCCATTATGTATCGATGTTCTGCCCAGCACCACTGTGAAGTGTGCTCCAAAGCTGTGTCTGTTGTCGAATTGACATCCAGCGAAAACGAAGGATGGGTATCATGGTATCCAAATTCATAAGCCGTCGTATCGATGTATCGCGTGTCGTCCTTCCTGCCAGTCAGTATTGTTCCGAAATATGAATGGAGTTCCATAGCAATCAGACGTAGCCATTTTTTCCCCACGATGTCAACGTTGGCACGTTCGCCGTGTCCGTTGTCAGTTCAATCAGACTCCAGTCCATAAACATGGCATGACGAGGTGATGTAGAGACAGAATCAAGCTAGAGGAAACGAAAATATCGGCGGAGGGCATAATTGTTCTGAGAATATGTGCTTTGAGAAACGTTCGCGAGACGCCCGAGCATGCGCACCTTGATTATCAACGACAATGGTGTTCTGTGCGATAACTATCTCTCCCACACAGTACTCTGCATTCCCCTGTGGATTTGAAAGAATTGTTTCCTGAACGGCTAGGGTGTTTTGTAAAGGGGGCACAGCTCTCTTCCTTAGATCTGCTACACCTTGAGGATTTCATTGTCGCCTCCTTAGTAGTCGATTCGTGATTCTTGATCTTGAAGTAGACGCCTTGCAGTGTCATGGTGTTTAGTTACGATGTGATGGTTGTAAAGATGCTGGGAACACCTCTGGGTCGGGATGTGTCATGACGGTGACGGTAACTGTGGTAGGAAAGATAGCGGTGATTCAACTCTGTAGATCTGCCCCAGAATGATATAATCTTCGATCTTCTACAAGTTCAGCATTGACGAAGCTGATCCACAATTTACTGCCCATCCGCCACTGCTTTACTGCTAAGCACATAGAAACCTTTTAGGATTAAGTGACCTGCCAGAAAGGGAGGTGACTGCCAAACCGAACCGGGATGTAATCGAAAGCGAAAGGAGAAACGGAAGAAGCATCAAGGCCTTCAAGAGCTAAACGACCGACGAGCTGCGAGAGATGGATACGAAAGAACCTCAGACACAAAAAGGAGCTGAAAAGGAACAAGAAATCAGTAGGAACTACAACACGACACAAGCCTAAGCATAGATGTAGCTTAGAAATGTTTGAGAATACAAGTAGGAGCAGAAGATGCAGTGTTTTGAACAGAAGATGGGACCTGCTGTACACAGGGGGTCGGTTACAAATACACATTCCAGAATACTAATCTTTCTTTAGTTGACGATCGATTTCAACCTCGACGAAGGCCAACATATCCTTTGTCCCCTTGGTCGGTTTCCACCCCAGGGCTTTGCCTCTGCTTTTCTCAAAGTCGACTCGTGAATTAGTGCCCAGTGAGAATAGTAAAGGTTCCGCTTCAGCCTTGCTGAAAGATGTGGGCTCGGAAGATCCAATACCTCGCCGAGCGAGACCCGCAGCTACAGCCTTGGAGACATCATACAACTGGTGCTCGTCACTAACAGTAAAGTAGATGCCAGATCGACCATGCTGGAATTCGGCAGGAGCAGAAGAGGGTGAGAGAGCAAGATCGAAGATGATCAAGTAGAGGTCGGCCACTATTGGCATGACAATGAATATAGTAAAAAGGAAAGGGAAGGAAATGCCATACTTTCGTTCACGTCAACGTTGGGCCAAATATTCTTGCCTTCACCGACAACACCACCTTGCTTCCTAGCAATGCTTGCCTCAACGAGATGACGGATTTGGGCAACGACTGAGCGTTGAAGACCGTGTTTGTGTAAGATACCAGTGGGCACTCCGTAGATAGTTGGGGGAAGAACGATATATGTTTTCACGTAACCTGTGTGATGATTACAATGATAGAAACGCGGAAAACAAGTCCACAAGCCTTCGTTGTCTGCAGCGATAACGGCGAGATCGACATTCCGGTGAGGTTGGGTTGGGGGGAGAGCTTCATACAGAGAAACATCGAGGTCCGAGTAGATGGTATTGGTGCTATACAACCCTTGCGCATTGTCAACGAGTTCACCAGTGCCTGACTGATTGCAAGTTCAGCAACGTGAGGCGTCAACAAGCGGAGCTCACAGTATGGACGAGGATGGGAGCCTTCCCCGTCTTCTCGTAACGATCTTTGGCGCCTTGCAGAAGTGCCTGTGCGGCAGGAAGGTCGTCACAGTCTGCCTATAAGCCTGTCAATTTCCTCAAACATCGCTGGGCCTGGTGAACCACGTACAGTGGTGATGACAACGTCTGCCGCTGCCGCCTGTGCCCTCAACAGCGCGAAATCAGAGTCAGTTCCTGAGACAGTTTTCAATCCCAAGGCCTCGTATGCAGCAGGAGACCTAGTAGAACGCAGAAGAATAGTGATGTCGAAATTCTTTGAAGCTTTGTGCTCGATAAGACGTGAGAGAACGGTGCCTCCAATGTAACCTAGACTGTGTCAGTCTACGTAATAATAAGAAATGAGGCGGCGACGCACCCGTTCCTCCGGTGAAGAATATGCTGACTTTCGACATAATGAATGCGAGAGAAGGAACTGCTACTTGAACAGTTGGATTTCACATTCTTTATATCGTTGGCGTCATCTGAGCTTCGATGTCTTTCGATGCTCAGTCATCAAGTTGCTCAGTCAGCGTCGTCGATGATGTCAATGCCATAATGATGCGTTCCCATCGACGCCAATCGCAGCATTGAGGATCAGCCACATCCATCATCCGTCCATAGCAAATATTCAGCATTGGGGTCATCTGCAATAGGTATGTACATACTACTCTAAGCATAGTCGTACTGCTTAAGGACAGCGTCCGTCGTCGCCAGCAAATCCTTCGCCAAGTCCTCTCTCTGTGCGTGCTCGCTCGCCTCCTCTATCACTCCAAATGGAACGAGATACACCCCAGCATACCTGCCGCGGTCTTCAGCAATGGCTTTCGAAGCGGCTGCCCATGCAGGCGTGTACCCTCCATCAAATGGGCTGATGAAGAATAGCGAAAAGATCCAGTTTATAATCGTTCCAAACATTAGAGACTTGAAAAGTTTGATGTTACCCTCTGGAAGGCGTCAGGTGGAGTGGCCGGAGGAGGGAAGGAAATAGCGCACCAGACATGACATTCCCTGGGTGGACCGTCATGGCGAGAATGGGAATATTAGCACGATCGAATGACCGCTGAAGCTCCTTCGTCCAGAGAACATTCGCCAGCTTCGTATATGCTACCAATGCGTCATTGGCTATTATCCAGGCCCAGAAGCAATTCACGACGCACCGTACAAATTCGTCTTGGGTTTCCATGTATCGGCGAAATCAGAGTTGAAGGCCTCCAGACTGTCGTATCGAGGATTTGGTATCCATCGGTGGGCGACGGAGGACACCTGGATTGGAATCAGTTGATGGAAATATCTTGGAACGGTGGGTACCCACGTTCACAATGCGTACGTCAGATCCGGGCTGACGAGCCGTCGATTCTAGTAGCGGTAAGAGGGTCTTTGTGAACAAGTATGGGCTCATGTGGCTGGATGAAGAAGAACCGTAAGATTCACCTTGAACGACGTAGATGAAGAAACTCACTTGATAACCATGCTATCCGACAGGCCTGTTCATGACAAGTTGGACACGGTAATTGCTTCCAGATGAAGTGACGCACCATCTGCAGTCTGAGCGTACGGACCCAAGATTCTAAGACTCTGGTTAGCCGTACAGTTCACAGACGTCAGCATTGACATACTTTGCTGCATTGTTGACTAGCGATAGGACAGGTAAAATGGCTCTCCCCTGACTTGAATATCACGACGAACCGAGAATGTCAAGCCGGCTCTCCCTTTCCAAAAGCCACTTTGCAGACTCCTTTGCTTTTCTAGGATCACTCAGATCAAAGGGCAGCCATATGACCTTGCTGGTGTCAAGCCCTTCTGTCTTGAGGCGGGCTACAGCACTGTTAAATTTGTCTTCCGTCCTGGCCCCAAGATACACTCTGGCTCCGCAACGGGCGATGTGGAGAAGGATATATAGGCCGATCCCTGAGCTGAATCCTTGGTCAGCCAAAGAAGACTATTCCCAACGCCTACGCACTTTGCTCCGGTAACGACAGCTACCTTACCGGTGAGGTCAAGAAGGGAGTTCTCATCCCCAATATGCGAAGATGAACCCATGGTGTAAGAGACTTGGTGATAGAAATGTCCAAAGGTCGATACAATTAACAGGACATTTTTTTTTTCAATCATATCGGTCCGACCAATTCGCAACGTTCATGAGTGTATTACTGTGCCTTTGTCTGCCCCGGGTCGCCTCCTGCATGGAGACTTGATCGGAGAAATGTAGGCTTGCAACTTCTTTTTTCGGCAGCAAATCAAAGACTTGCCTGAATAAGGATCTAACCGAACGCCATTACATCCAACAAGGTGCCGAGATTCGGGATCGTGGCGGCCATTTCGAGAGGCTGTGCCCACTGCTTTTTTGTGCGTTGCTTCGGATCGTAAAAGTACACTAATTTAGGAGACTCCTTTCGATAAACGGAAGCTTCGCCGATTCAGAGTAAATGATGCGATACGACGATACAGGGTGTGTGAAGGTATTGTTGCCACGTTTCAAAGAACTGTTTCGTGGCCTTGAACTGATGGGCGTGTAGTGATTAGGGCAGTCGCCCCAGAGGTAGCAGTTCCGTTTCTGTTCATCAGTGTCGATCAGATCTCATCGGAACTGTCGAACTGAGACATGACCCCGCGGAACCAAAGCAAGATTCAGGATCTCTTGAACTTCACTCTCCAGGTCTGCTGCATCGACGACAGACGTTGGTGAAACATCTTGCATTGCGACCGCCGACATATATAATATCAACACCACCATTCTCGGAGCAGACAATATGAGTAGATGAAGGAATATGAATATGCCAACCCAGATCTGCTCAGTAGTCCTTGCACCGAGTTTCCAGCCATTCCCAGAGCTTCTTTCCCACCGCTGGGTCTGCCGTCTCTTTACGAGCTTCGCCTAGTCTGGCCCAGGGAATCATGAACTAACACAGAAAGCGGTCAGTGGATTCTCAAGTACCCAGGTTATGATGAGCCTTACTTCACCGTTTAATTTTCCCGCTTCGGGCGAAGTTCCAGCCCATAATTGAGTCAGAGCTCCCATATGAGCTGGGAAGAGGAAAACGTCTAGCATTTTGTTTGTGAATGGGGAGCGATGGCGTTGTAGATCCGTCCGGATGCTGCCTGTGGTCAATTTAGACCAGAAATGAATAACTGGTGACTGGTGCTCACCTGGATTGAGAGAGTGGGAAATGATATTCTGTTCCCCATACCGTCTGGCCAATTCAACAGCAAAGACGACGTTGCCCTACGTCCCGATGGTCAGCTTCTCCAGGTATCTGTGCACAGTGTTCAGCTCACATGCTTGCTTTGGACGTATAGATTGCCGGAAGTCTTCTCGTTGCGTGCGGGACCATCGACCCAGATATTGAAGTCTAGCGTACCCATATAATTGGCCGATGAAGATGTCGTGATCACTCGTGCTTTCTCGGAGGGTGTGGCGGCTGCGACAAGTGCAGGCAAAAGCAGTTGAGTGAAATGGAAATGGCCTGTCTCAGCGTGTAAGATTATTGAAACAGATGAGTGAGCATGTCGAGTGATATACCGATGACATTGGTGCCGAACTGGAGGTCATAGCCCTGTCTGGTGAGCATGTCCATTGGAGGCAACATAACGCCACTACAGAGATGTTCGATTATTCTGGGGTCTGGGGGTAGAAACGCTGAGCGCACGCATTGTTGAATAATATATCAAGTTTTGTCTCTTTTCTACGAAAATAAGTATGTGGGATTGTCCAAGAGCAGGAGGGTCTGCGTACGAAAAAAACTCATCTGCCGCACGACGGACACTGACCAGATCTGCAAGATCCAGGGAGAGGAATATAGCTTCAGCTCCGGTGTCTTCCTTCAGTTTTACGATGGCTTCCTTGCCCTTTTCCTCACTTCGAGCGGCCAGATAGACCTTTGCACCGTGCAAAAGTAGTGCCTATGAAAGCATAAGCAGATCCCTATTCTGTTAGGAATGGATGAAGGCACACACTTTTACCGTTTCTCTCCCACATCCGGTGTTACCGCCTAGTGAAACGAATTTGTAGATGAAATGCGCTACCCGTGGCAGAGAAAGCTTCACCTGTGACAATAACAACTTTTCCCGTCAAATCTGGAATATCATCCACAGACCATTTGGGCTTTGGGGGGAACATTTGGGAGATTAGAGACCATATGTTGCCCATGTGGAGTCGTCAACGTTGCAACAAGTAAGTGGTGGTGGTCAGCAGGTACTGAAGGCGCCAAGCCCACATGCTGCCTTCTTGGTTTCCAGCGGTTAGTTTGGTCTGCCTGGGCAAGCTGGATCGGATTGTCTCCTGCGAGCCCTTGATGGTTCCGGACTTGCTAATCATTCCTTGACAGCGTTATCTCCGCTGGGCACGAAGACATACTCTGCCTCAGGCTCTCCGGATACTCCGCAGGTCTATTACATCAATACATCAACTCTGAAAACAGACCTGTTAGTCTTTCAAGTCTTCATAACAACATCATAAGACTAACCATCTCATTCTTGGCTTTCAGTTCGCTCGTATTACGATTCGAATTATTTAAGGATCCTTATCTCGGGCCATGGCCGTTCGAATAGAAAAGTTCCAAATAAATTACATACTAATCTGTAGGTTGACGTTAAACTCCGAACGGATATGTGGCACATTGAATGATGCTGAAAATTGTATACCGAGTCGGCTCAGCTTAGCACGCTCTGAGTCAATGCGCTTTTTGGCTGGACGCCACATCATACCTGCCTCGTCAACTGTATTCTTGCTCGGAATCCGAGAATATCTACTGGCCTGATGTCTCCGTAGACTTATATGACAAATAGGAAGGGTAGGACGGCTTGGTTGGACTCCAACATGTGGAACGCCGTTTACCGGAGAATATTTGGATGGTAGTTTGAATCAGCCGAATTGTCTGGTAAAGATCTTACCTTTCCCGAAGGAGGCGGACGGAAATGGATGCTCGCGTAGTTGCCTTTTTTAGTTCTCTTTTCCAAACCACGACCATCCCCAAGGGGAACCGGACTGCGCCCAGTTTCTCTTCATGTCGCGACGTTGTCTGTACCCCTGGATGACTGTATCTCATTGTATCTCGATTTCAAAGTATCCAATGAATCGCATGACAGTAATCCTGCATGGCCGGAGGATGGCCCAGATATACCGTACAAGAAATGAAGAAGGAATCTCTGCTCTCGCCAGGTTCTCACTGGGCCTATCACCATAATGTCGCCTTCTCTTTTGGTTCCTGTGTTTGCCGGACACGGTACCACCGCGATCAACTCGACGTCACTTCGCGAACGCGCCGCTGCCGACGCTTTGTCGCCGTCAGGCGCCCTGCTCCTCGACGCTTGTCACTATGCCTTCAACGTCGAGCTGTCGACACTTTCCCCCTCGGAAGCCTCAGCTGTGGGCATCAATCCCGAGCATTTCACGGACCCGAAATCCCTCATGTTACTCCCCCGTCATGAACACTATCTCACCAATTCTGTCGTTACTGCCGCCACCTTGTTCCTGGTACAGACATTGCGGTATCTTGCTTCTGTCAAAACTTCATCGTCGACATCGTTCGCTTCGTCGTTGCAGAAGAACAGGGAGCATGGTCTTGGAATAGTTGGTTTTTCGTCGGGTATCCTGCCAGCGTGCGTTGTTAGCACGTCAGAAACCGCTTTTGAATTTATCTCAAGTGCTGTTGAGACATTCCGTCTTGCCTTTTGGATTGGAGTTCGTCTCCAGATTCACAAAGCGTCCGTTCAGACGCCTGAGCCTCTTGTTGGGTCGCCTCTGCCATGGAGCCTCGCGTTCATGGGTATGGGTCGAGCCGCAGCCGAAAGTGCCATTCAGAGTTTTCTACAGTCGGTAAGTCGTCGTGCTATCTCTTGTGCATACCATTCTCATTGTCTGTAGTTTAAAGCTACACAAGAGCTTCTCGTCACATCAGTTATGAGCGAGACATCAGTCACCATCTCAGGTCGTCCCGATATTCTTGCCACTTTTGCAGCTCGACTCCCTCCTTCTGGGCCAGTGCACAAGACAACAGTAGACGCGCTGTATCATTCTTCCTTGCACCACGATGGAGTGCGGAGCCAAGTTCTTGCCGATGTAATACGCCGCAATATTCGTTTTCCAACCCATGCAGACATTAAGGTTCCAGTTCGTTCGACGTATTCCGCCGAACTCCTTGGCAAGGGTTCCGAGGGATCTGTATCGTTTGTTGAGCAGGTAGTAGACATGATCCTCACGCAACCCGTCAACTGGGACAAGATCACCGAGTCTCTTGTCCATGCAGTCCCTGAAGGAGCGGTCGTCCATCTCCTTAATTACGGGCCTGGCGCTGGTCTAACGAAGGGCATAGAGCGCTACTTCTCGTCAGATAATGTCTCCTCGATTGATCTATCGAGCGAGCCTGTCCATACTGCAATACTTCAGAGCCCGTCATCGGCACAGGAACCCATCGCCATCTGCGGAATGTCAGTTAATATGCCAGGTGCTCCCAGCGTCGCAAAACTTTGGGAAGTTCTGGAGCAAGGCATCAACACTATATCTGAGGTAACCTCAAGTATCATTCAATGAATCCATTCCGACATACTGATCTGCTGCATAGGTTCCCGAGCATCGGTTTAAAGTGTCAGACTATAATGATCCGAAGAAGAAAGGTCGTACCATGGGTGCTCACACAGGGAATTTCATTGACGAGCCGGACGCATTCGACAACAAGTTTTTCAACATCTCACCACGCGAAGCACGCAGCATGGACCCGCAGCAGCGCATTCTCCTCCACACCGCTTACGAGGCCCTAGAGAACGCAGGATATGTACCAAACTCGACAACGACCAATAACCCGGAGACATTTGGTTGTTACGTCGGCGTCGCCACGAATGACTATGTGCAGAATTTGAGAAATGATATCGATGTTTATTATAGCACTGGTAAGCATAAATCTTACGTCCTCGATTGACGGCTTCTCAAGTGATGATTAGGAACCTTACGAGCCTTCTTAAGCGGACGCATTTCCTACGCGCTGCAGTTCAGTGGTCCTTCGATCGTCATTGACACAGCGTGCTCTTCATCGCTGGTCGCCGTATATCAAGCGTGTCGTGCTCTCATGAACCACGATTGTAATGCTGCTGTTGCCGGTGGCGTCAATGTCATCAGCAGCCCGGACGTGAGTCCTATACATCACCTATAGACCAACTTTCTCATCACTTTTTATACAGATGTTCCTCGGCTTGGATCGAGGCCACTTTCTAAGCCCAACTGGACAGTGCAAGGCCTTCGATGCCTCTGCTGACGGTTACTCTCGCTCAGAGGGCTGTGGAATATTTGTCTTAAAACGCCTCTCGGACGCGATTGCCGAAAATGATCAAATTCTCGGTGTGATCCGAGGAGTTGAAGTCAACCAATCTGGAAAAGCATACTCAATCACTCGCCCTCATGCTCCTACACAAGAATCCCTCTTCTCTCAGGCTCTCGAACGGTCAGGTCTAGATGCTTCTCGTATCAGTGTCGTGGAGGCCCATGGTACCGGAACGCAAGCTGGTGATCCCACTGAACTGGAGAGTATTCGCGCTATATTCGCAAAGCACCGAAAAGCGAACAACCCTCTCCATATCACCTCCGTGAAGGCTAATATCGGTCATTTGGAGGCTGCATCTGGTGCAGCGGCTCTGGCCAAGCTACTCCTTATGCTGCGTCACCGTTCCATCCCTGGCCTTGTCTCGTTGAAGAACCTTAATCCGCGCATCAAGCCTCTTGCATCAGACAATGTTATCATTGATACGACACAAGTACCCTGGACCATCCCAGACGAAAGTCTGCCCCGAGTTGCCCTTCTGAACAATTTCGGTGCGGCGGGATCGAACGGTGCTCTTCTTCTTGAGGAATATATTCCGGAGTCGTCCGGGAACGATACAGAGGCCGCCTCGACTTTTATTGTCGGTTTATCTGCCAAGAATGAGCAGGCACTCGTCGATTTACGCGCCAGCTATATTGAATACCTTCGTCGTCCCGCGAGTGAAGGCGTTAGTCTTGCTGATATCGCGTATACCGCCACGGCTCGTCGGCGTATTTACTCTCAACGACTTGCGGTTGCTGCGAGATCTAAGGAAGAATTGGCTCACAAGCTTGAGTTAGCTCCGGTGAAGACCATGCCAGACCAGGCCTCTGGAAAGGTCGTGTTTGTATTTTCTGGACAAGGAGGCCAGTACCTCGGCATGGGAAATACTCTCTACAAGACATCGGCACTCTTTAAGAGCGTCATCGACGAGTGTGACTCCTTCTTGAAAAAGAATAACTTTCCGGGGGTTTTGTCTATCATCACTTCGGATGGGGAGTCTAGCGGGTTGACGCCCGTGGAAGAGTTCGAGGCGAATCAGGCGGCAATATTCGCGCTCGAATATGGACTTGCGAAGCTTTGGACGTCGTGGGGCATCACTCCTACGGCTGTGGTCGGTCACAGGTCAGTTGCTTGGCTTATCGTCTACTTGTGGTCGTTAACATTAGTTTTCTCAGTCTTGGGGAATATGCAGCTCACGTTGTCGCTGGAGTGCTTAGTCTCGAAAGCGCACTCACCCTCGTTGCCCATCGAGTTCGTATCATGATGCACACATGTGAACTGGACACTACGGGGATGATTGCGATCAACCTTGGCTCTCAAGCTGTCACCGACATCCTTTCCTCGTCCCCCAATTTCTCCGGCATATCAATCGCGTGTTATAACAGTGCAACTGACTGCGTTGCCTCGGGGCCAATTGTTCAACTTGATGCCCTCAAGTCCCATCTCGACACGGTGGTTCACTGCAAGAGCGTGCGTCTCAAAGTTCCGTTCGGATACCATAGTTCTGCCATGCAACCACTTCTTGAAGAGTTTGGAGCCCTTGCGAGACGCATAACAATCCATCCTCCGAAGCTTTCTGTTGTTTCAAACCCACTCGGCCGAGTGATCCATGCAGGGGACAAATCGGCCTTCAACGCCGATTACTATCTCAGCCACTGTGCTGACCCCGTCCAGTTTGAAAGTGGTATCAGCGCACTAGTCGACGATCCTTCATTTACGGATATTGCGGCTTGGGTAGAGCTAGGTCCACATCCCACAACTCTGCCTATGCTCAGCGCGCACTCAGGTGTGTCGAAGGAGGCATTGTTAGTCAGTTCATTAAGAAAACGACAAGATGATGACCTGACGCTTTCGTCGTCTCTTGCTCAGCTCTACACTTCCAATGTCATTGTTCAGTGGAGAAATGTTTTTGCTGGTGTATCTGCCGCTTGCGTTTCGCTTCCTTCCTATCCATGGCAAAAGAGCAAGTTCTGGGTGGCGTGGAAGGAAGACTCACCAGCAGTAGCCCCCCCCGCCGAAGGCTCTCCCGTCTCCACCAAGCCCTTTAATCCTGTCAAGGACTTTGGCATGCTTCAGTCGTGGGCACAATTCCCATCTACCGCGAACAACCAGATCGCTATATTCGAAACTCCGATATCCCTCCTCAAAAACTCGATTATCGGCCACATTGTAGGAGACGTTCCCTTATGCCCAGCTTCTGTCTATCACGAGTTGGCTCTGGCTGGCATAGAAGCTACGAAAGGCCATCTATCACTGCCCCTCCAGGGTAGTCATAATGTTCTGTTCAACATCGACTATGTGAAGCCTCTTGTCTACAGCAAAGATGTAGCTCGCGTGGTCAAGACATCTATCATGACGAACAACGATGGCTCTGGCACCTTCACCGTTGAATCATATGCCGATTCGGAACCGGAGTCTCTGCATTGCTCAGGACAGTTCCGCCCTTCACTAATAACAGATACGACAACGAAGTTTAACCGTATGGCGCCCGTCGTCAGTCGAAGAACTGCAGCTATAATCTCGGGTGAAGATGACGAGGCCGAGGTATTTACGACCCGGACGGCGTATGAAATCATCTTCACGAGGGTAGTCAAATATGCGAAAGTATGTCCTGCATCATTTTTCTTCGGCTGTGTTTTAATACCTTCTTCAGGAGTACCATACAATGAAGCACGTTACGATCAGCAAGAACGGTATGGAAGGATACGCTGTTGTTAAGCTTCCCAAGGACCACGACAAGAGCAAGTTTGTTGTTCATCCTGTGTTCATGGATACGATGCTCCACGTTGCTGGATTCCTTGCAAATATGCAAGGTGGTGATAACGATGCATATATCTGCTCAAGAGTCAAGTCTGTGAAGGCAGTTCCAAGTTTGATCAACAATGACACCACGTACGGTGTGTTTGTCGTCAACGCTTGGGTGGAATCCGAGGGTATCATGCTGTCGGATGCCATTGCGGTAGACCTTTCGGGTAAGCTCTTTGTTTCAGAATCATTCTTCCTGGTACTCAAAGATTGGTATTATAGGGCACGGCCAAATTGTAGCACAGCTGAAGGGCATGTGCTTCAAAAAACTTCGCCTGAACACCCTTCAACGTAGTTTGGCTATGCACGCCGGTCATACTGCAGCAACGTCGACCCAAAAACCCTCGGTGGCACCAGCTGCCCAGAAGCCAAAGATTACAGAGATAGCACCAGCTCTTGGACCCCGATCCTCTCCTGCCAAAGGCTCCGTCGACATCCGGGGCATCGTACTTCGCATCGTTGGCGATACTTGCGGCATCGAGGTTTCGGCCCTTGACGTAAATGCCGACCTCGAGACATACGGCGTTGATTCACTCATGTCCATCGAGATTTTGCGCAAGTTTGAAGAATCTTTCCCTCAAATGCAATTCGACGCCTCTATTTTCAGTACTTGCAACAACATAACAGAACTCGTGCGCGAGATCTCTTCCACGGTTGGATCGCAAGCAACCACTGTGGTTCCTACCCCACAAATGGCATCCACTCCAGAACCCACTTTGCAAGGTGATGCATCCCCGTCCGCCGACATTCGTTCCATCTTGCTGGAACTCATATCTTCCTTCACTGGCTTTGAGGTATCGAGCCTTGATCTGAATGCAGATGTGGATACTGCCTACGGCTTGGATAAGTTCCTATTCATCCCGCTCTTCAGCAAACTCCAGACGTTCTTCCCGAATATTACCCTCGATCCCGCCAAACCCTCTGTCTGCAGCACTATTGGTGAACTCTTGGATGAGGTCACAGCACAGGTCCAAGCAGGGCCATCATCAATACCTGATTTGGTTGATACAAAGCCCATGTTCGTGTCAGTTCTTGGGTTGGACGAGTCGGATATCCAAGACGACACCGAGTTTGAGACCATCGGCCTTGATTCCCTCACCGCTATCGAGGCCCTTCACGCTATTCAAACCAAGTATGGTCTCGAACTACCATCCAACCTCTTCGAGATGCATACTACGACGAAGGCGGTTAACGAGTATATCTCTTCCAAACGCCCGGGAAAATCACCCAAGCCAATCGAAGAGACAGCGATGGACCCTGACAAGGAAGAGGATCTCTCTGATCTTACTCTCGAGCAGATCCAGTCGGTCATCCGGGTTTTGCGACTCGACGAAGTACCTATGTCTGTACAAAAGTCTTCCAGTAGTGGCTCCCCGCTTTTCCTTTTCCACGATGGCAGCGGAGCAGTAAATTACCTTCGTCGCTTGGGCCTTATCGACCGCGAATTCTGGGGATTTAACAATCCGAGTGAGTTTTTTCCCTATGTATTTGTGGCTTGCTTCTGATCGTTCGTAATAGATTATGCGACAGGTAAACCATGGGGGTCCGTAGAAGCCATGGCGTCTGCTTACGCCGACTATGCCGTGAAAGTCGCTGGTTCTAGGCCCGTGATATTCGGTGGTAAGTGAACTATCTTTCGTGTCTATCGGCCTCCATTGACTTTGGCACTCTAGGTTGGTCATTTGGTGGTGTTGTCGGATTCGAGGCGGCGCGACAACTAATGAAGAGAGGGGTACCTGTCAAGGGTGTCGTGCTCATCGACTCTCCGTTCCCCGTGGACCACGTCCCTTCATCAAATGAGTTCATGGCAGTGACTGCTGGTGCCTTTACGCGTGGTGGACGCACCCCGATTGGACGGATGATGTGGAAGCAGCTGCAGCAAAACGCGCCGTTGTTGAAGACGTATGATCCTAGGATTGCTGGCGGGCCATACCCTCCCTTAGTGTTACTGCATAATAAGGAGGGGATCCCACCTGACGCGTTCTTGCCGTACCCTGTTCCCCGATGGATGTCGGAGAAGGGGATGGACCCATGTCTTTTGGCTGACGACTGGTCAGGACTGGTGGGCGCGTCGATTAAGGTGATTCATCTTCCTGGGACGCACTTTACGACTTTTGCTACGCCTCATGTGAGTCTATCCTACCGGTGGTTCGCTGATTGCGTGCTGACTTTTTGCTATTAGCTGGGAGCTGTGACTCGGGCGCTTATTGATGGATGTGCATATCTGGATGAACTTTGAGTAATTTATAATAGATTCGCATGATAGAGAGCCGCTTCAAGTTTATCTAAGTGTCAAGTAGTCAAAAAAATGAATTCTTTGCCCCACACTTACCTTGAACAGATAGCATAAGGAGCGCCGAGCGAGGACCACCGTCGTCTTCAATGGCTATCGAGTACGGTTGAACTGGACTATTGAAACTCAGATGGCTTGGACCGAGTTGAAGCCATAATAACGGCACACGATGCCATTAAGCCGAATATCATCGGCATAATGCCGGACGGCCATCTCCTCGGCTCTTATACCAACTTATGGACAGCCTCCGTTGACCTGCCGTCTCACGAATATTGTGATGCATACGTCAAACTTTACATCCGTTGCCGCCGGTACGTGTTTTACCATCAGAATTTTATTTTGCTGACTGAAATCATATATGTTCTACAATACGGCATGTCTAGCATACAATGCATCTTATATTGGCACCGCGATCAAGTGGGGTCGCCACGAGCCAACGCTTACAACCTCCTTTAGCTCCCAGCCTGTCTTGTCCATGATATCAACAAAATTTTTGAGTGTACGCTCCTGTCCGTTGCCGAAGGTCATCATCTGTTTCATCGTTAGTCAACGATCGTGGGTGGCCACATAAAGACATATACGGACCATCACGTCCATCGAATAAGCCATCGTATTGGCCGCGCCCATGTTAGCCAGGAGAGGTTCGGGTACCGGACGGGGCTTACAGCCTTTTATCGTCTTGGTATCGGGAACATGACACGGAGACTCTAGGATAATATCGATCACCACAAGTTTTGTCTGCGGTTTGGCAGCTGCACGTAGGTGACCTAGGATCTGAATTGCATACGAATCGGCCCAATCGTGAAGGATCCCGCGAAGGACAAACACGTCGACTGCGCTGCCAAGGTCCGGCTGAGGAGTAAACATGTCATGAGCTGTCACAAAAGCAGTTATTGTCTTCGTCTCAGAATACAAGGTAACGATCGGACATACCGACAAGTCTGACGCGACCGCTTTCCAGAGCTTCAGGTAAATTCGATTTCCAATACTATATCGCACAAAATTAACGAGGGTCTGCATGCAAGGACAAATAGATAACGCACTGGCTCAGCATCAGAGACTAGCTGAACTCTTTCTTCCACCACGACATTCAACTTGGAGAATGTTTTGGCCAGAACCAACGACAGAGAGCCTATCCCGCCAGCCACATCAACGACTAGGGCGCCATCAGGAAGAGAACTGAAATCAAAACCTTAACAGTACGTTAGTTCGAGCATGTATTGTTCTATGGAAAATTGATTACCGTTTAATATTGTGGCGTTAGGCAACAAATCAGTAGTTGCACGCATCAGGAGACTGAAGCGGGACAGCACGTCTGTGTTCTCGGGACGCTCTAGCCACTCGAAGAAATTGACATCAAAGTCAAAGGCTTTGCTTAAAGCACTCTGGTTGGCTTCATCAGAGTGTCCGTAAACGGGGTCTCGAAGTGTTTGTGACAAGAAAGCACCGCCCTTGAAGAATTCACCGGTCCTATGCGATATCAGTCCGTGACGGAGAAAATGAGAACGATGCATTTACCCCCAACTGACGAACGTATTGATGGGGGACGTTTCGGTGTATTTGGCTTGTGGGCTTTTCGTGTCGACGGTAAACCAGCAATATTACAGCGTAAATGAATATGACTTACTTCTTCTCGAGCTTTTGGACTGGCTTTCCAGAGTCAAGAAGGGAAGAAATGCGATTGTTTGCAAAGACGTCTGGGGATACTTCTCGGAAGATATGGTGAGAGACGAGCAAGCGGAGGACTCGACCTAGGCGTCGTTTCAGTAATCAAATCACTGCAACAGGAAGCATCATACCAAGACGGGCCGCATTCATTCCGTTTCTCTTGACAATGTTATCTATGTGGGCGCCCTGGGATAATGCCTCAACTTGGCGTGCAGAAGGTCACAGAGAAGTGGTACGAGACCTCGGGGCCCACGTCGCGTAGTATCTCAGCAACATTTGCATCGTTCGCAACACGAAGACAGGCAGGTACATCCCACTATGACTTTGTCAGTCGCCAGGACTTGGACAATGAAGAGAATGCGTACTTGGTGAGCAACGACAGACAACGTCATGATGGGAGCTCTCGCTGTTGCTATCAACTGTGTCGCTGCGGCCGTGATCACGTGGATAGCTTCAACGACGTCCGCGTCGTTGCATATGGCCTCGGATTGGAAAGAAAATATATCGTCAAGCTGAGGGAATGGAAGATTTTGAGCTGTGCATTTCTGGTCGATCTTGTCTACTGAGTCTGCGATAAGATTTGAAAGAAGTTTCAGTGAGGAGGGCATATCGAGGTAGGATACGATAACCGCTACCTTTCCAGTCATAATATACATTCCAGAGTCCCGACTGTAGCTCCCCTCAGAGTGCGCACAATTTCGGACAGACATATACTTTTGAATGGAAGTTGACGTTGACATGCAGCATGATGGGATGACATTCTGCGGGCGTATCACTCCTGAGCTCGCTGAGTTCGCTGAGTTCGCATTCGGGTCAGGAGTGCGGCTTATTTCAAGCATCGCCGATGAGATCGTTGCGATGATCACCCATCAGACAGGATCGAACCGAAACGAATTGCTAACCGGGGGCCCGGCTCCCGCTGACCTACCAAAGATGATGTCAATCAGCTTTTGTTTTCTTTCATATACGTCCCCTTCTCTTCCGCTTCCACGCCATCCATGGGAAATATGTGGTCCCTCATCTCCCAAATGTTCCCTCCTAAACCGAAATGGTCTGTCGACGACATCCCAGATCTGACAGGCAAGGTCATCATTGTCACCGGTCAGTTTCTTTTCCGTACGTCGTTCGACATCTCATTTTTTTAAATCTTAGGTGGAAATACCGGATGTGGAAAGGAGACTGTAAGAGTGCGTGAATCCTGTCTGACACGTTTGGCTCCGTTTGATTCAAACATTCTTTGTGTAGGTACTACTTTTGCATGGCGCAAAGGTCTATTTGGCCGCTCGAAGCGAAGGCAAAGCAAGAGCAGCCATCGAAGAACTGAAGAAAGAGACTGGATCTGAACCTATATTCTTGCCCCTGGACCTCGCAGACTTAGTCAGTGTCCGTCGTAGCGCTGAAGAGTTCCTTTCGTGGGTTTCTGTCCTTTTCGTATCCGTTCTGTTGTCTGAAGGCCGTTCAGGAAGGAAAAGCAGCTCCATATCCTATTCAACAATGCGTAGGTGTCATAGCTTCCGTGCCGTGTCGACGACGTGTTGATCGCTCTTGTTAGTGGTGTTATGCTGGCGCCGATGGACATGCTCACCAAGCAGGGCTACGACCTCCAGTTTGGTACCAATGTCGTCGGTACGTCTCTTTATACCTTAACATTCTCTCGTTTAACCCTTTTCGTTAGGACATTTCCATTTTACTCAATTGGTGCTACCTGCGCTTCTTGCGGCAGCGACGCCTACCGAGAAAGCGCGGGTAATCACCACGTCTTCATCTGCCAATTATATGGGTACCCTCAACTTTGATCTCTGGGCTGACGGGCCTGCGCGGAATAAAAAAGGTGCAGGTGATATGTATGTGCAAAGCAAGCACGTAAGTCATATACAGTGTCTCTTTGGAATTGTCTAATATGTATTACAACACTAGGGCAATGTTGTTTTCGCCGTTGAACTCGCCAGGCGTTACGGGGCGCAAAATATTATTTCTCACTCTCTGAATCCAGGTCAGACAGACATACATCTTATCCCGTTGGATTCAAGTTCTGAATCCTGTCTCTTTCATTTGTACAGGTAGCATTCGCACGGACCTACAGCGTCATCTCTCTCCGTTCGCCAATAAGATGCAAGATATCTTCCTCTTCCCCGTATCTATGGGCGCGTTGACCCAGCTTTGGGCCGGAACTTCGCCCGAGGCTGGACAGATGAATGGCGAGGTAAGTGTGCATCTGACCTGAAGCGATTTTATCGCTGACCAACAAAACCAGTTCATGATTCCTTGGGCCAGGCTTGGCAAAGCACGTAAGGAGACGGGAGACCCTGAGGTGGGTAAGAAGCTGTGGGAGTGGCTTGAAGCACAGTGCAAGGACTATTAATTGTCGCGTAACATTGCATGCATCTCAATTGCGAACCCTTCGTTGATACCACACACTACTTTCTTTCCCATGAACAATAATATATGCGGATTCTTTGTTCAATGATGACATCCTACCTCAACCTCCCGACATAGTGGGCATCACAAAAATGTTATTGATTCCGATGTCTACAAGGAGTTCTGCGGGGATCTACCTTCCTAATTCAGCGGGTCCGGGTATGCGTCATTCCAATTCTGCTGCGCTGCATAGATGCGTAACTCTTCTTAGAAGGTAGATGGTACGGGCGCTCCGATAAATGTGTCGCACATTGCAAAGAGGTACAGCCGATCAAACTTACCTATCCTTGATATCTGACCATATTACTACTTGGATGGGGCCCTGGTTCGGAATCGAAAGTCCCTAACTGGGCAGTCCTAGTAAAAGGTTCTTCCGCGTCACTTGGCTCGCAACCAGGATATACGATGACAAATACCCTTTATGGCTGAGGGTTTGAATCTTTCACATGGGGCTACTGAACCAATTGAGGAACGCCACCGATGTGCTTACAATCTCTATACGAGGACATCCTGGCCAAATGACTTCAATCACTGGAAATCAAAGCCTGACTTGTAATTTGCACTGTACGCTGCTTTCACAGGTGGTGGAATCGCCCATAAGCTTACAACGAGTTGCGGGAGAGGTGAATTTTACATATTTGGTTATTTTAGATAAGATCAGATGAGATAATCTAATCGATCACCAGTGACCAATCAAACTCATTTTTCAGTGGAGACTGTCAGTGTCATCCAAATTCTGAACCTTCTTGACGACATGTATGCTCTATACATGATGGGCTCTTCAATGTTCGTTTCCACTTTTCCCAGATTTACCGGATTGGATACTGATCGTCGCCGGTAGTACCGTCTCCTGAATTACTTCAAACGACAAAGAGGGTTGAACAGAAGGCAATGGTAATTCAATGTTTGAAAATTGAGCGGAAACAGGCTTGAAACTGAGTGGCGCTCCGACTGCCTGCAGCAGCGCCAAGGTCGCATCAGTGCCTTCCCGAATCAGGGTTTCTCATACAACTTGCAAGGCTATGTTCCAGCTTGCAGCTCCATTTGACGCGCGACCTGTTCCTTGATCCTCCTGACCATGTGAAGTCCAATGCAGGCCAGCAGGATGCAAAGCCATATATATTTGGCGACCGATTTTCTCTTGACGGTCAGACGCAGCCTCTCTTCCTTTGAATCTCTTCGTTCAGAGTGGACTCTATCATGCCCGCTCTCACTTATCTGTTGTTGGCCGCCATCTGCGCGTCATCTGTTCACTCTCTGCCTTCCAAACGTATTCAGAGCTGTAATGCTACTGTGACACCCTCTTCCTTCTCATCTACGTCTTTGGATGTTGTCATCGTGGGTGGTGGAACTGCTGGCCTCGTCCTTGCTTCGCGCCTTTCAGAAAGCGAGAAGCTACAGGTCGGTGTGATAGAGGCGGGTTATGATCACGCCAACGATCCTCTCATCGACATCCCCAATGATGCAAACCTCCTTGGATACCAGGGTGCTCTGTTTGGCAACTCGACTTATGATTGGGAGTATACAAGTGTCCCACAGCGAGGTCTAGACGATAGAGTTCTGTCGTATCCTAGGTGTGTGCCGTTACAATACTACGGCTTTATCCACTAATACCTCAATACTTAAAAGCGGAAAAGTTCTTGGTGGCTCATCTGCCATCAATGGTATGACAATACAGCGTGGATCCCGCCAAGATTACGACGCTTGGGGAAACGCCTTCGGAAACGGTCAAGAATGGACTTTTGACGCCGTCCTCCCCTACTTCGAACGTTATGAGCACTGGCATGCCCCTACTTTGTCAGCTACGGGTGACCTTGACTCGGACGAACTAAGTGCAGTCCATGGCACCAGCGGCCCCGTCTCCGTAAGCTATAACAACTGGCTGCCAGACATCGACACTCCCCTCATCCAATCGGGGATCGCCCTCGGTCTCGGACCAACCCAGAACCCTGACGGAGGTAACGACACCTTCTTCCCCAATTTCGGAGCGTCCCACAGCTACGATCCTGCTACGGGAAGCCGCAGCTATGCGGCCAGTGCGTATTATGGACAGACCGAGCGGTGTCGCTCTAACCTACATCTGTTGACTGGTGCTATTGTGTCCCGTATTATCTGGTACAACAACACAGCTACGAAGGCAGCGGGTGTAGAATATACAGTCGGAACCGAGAAGTTTACGGTAAAGGCTTCCAAAGAAGTCATACTCTCAGCTGGTAAGCAGCTTCTTCTGTGTATAAATAGATGTTCACTGACCCGCTTATCTTACAGGCTCCCTTAGATCGCCACAGATTCTTGAGCTAAGCGGAGTCGGCAACAAGACATTGCTGGAAAGCCTCAACATCTCCGTTGTCGTCGATATCCCTCAGGTGGGAGAGAACTTGGTAGAGCAGTTTATCGCAGCAACGGACTTTTTGGTTCGTGATGGGGTGTCCACACTTGGTATGTTGGATCAATGTATTTGCCGCATTTTTGGTTAAAGTCACTCTACAGATGCTCTCAGCAACAATGCCACCCTCTTAGCCGAACAGCAGAACCTTTAGTATGTTTTGCCGTTCTTATCCCAAGGGTTAATCTTACCAAATCTATTTTCTTAGCCGAACGAACAAGACTGGCGCATTCACCTACTGTTTACATGTCAATGCTCCTACTCCCATTCGTTCAGTTGTTCCGGAGGACGAATTCACGGCCATGCGCGCGGTACTCGACAATTATCTCGCCAACGCAACTCTCACTCCGCTACAAAAAGTGCAATACGATGTCATCAAGCAATTCATTGACGGCGGTGAGGTTGCCACTGCCTCCTTGTTGGTACTCCCGAGCGGTGGCTTGGTCAGCACTCCGGCAGCAGACCAGGGTTACATATCGGTCGTTTCGAGTCCAGGGGTAAGATTTCTTGTCCATGCTGAATATCCTCTTCTTTAACAAAATCCCATTCCGGACAATAGCACCCTTTCTCACGCGGAAATGTGCATATCAACACCACGGACCCACTTTCGTACCCCCTCATTGACTCTGCATTCCTAACAAACCCCTGGGGTGAGATCATGGATTAACTGGCGTTTGATGCACTACTGATGCATCTTTCAGATGTCCAGGCTACGTTCAACTTTATGCTGTTTGGTATGTTGATGAAAAGTCTTCACGTCATCCCTCATTCATTGACTGTTGAGTGTAGTTCGCAAGTGGATCGCCACTGTGGACGATGTAGAATCGCCTGGTACCCCTCCACAGGATGCAGATTCATGGAGTGATGACCAGTGGACGGCGTACGTGAAAAGCGTTCTCGGGGTTCGTGTAACGTTCTTATATTTGTGCTGATTATCTGACAACTTCATACACTTTAGACTGCCCATCATCCAGTTGGAACCGCAGCCATGGCATCGCAAGAACTTGGAGGTAGGTGCAGTTTTGATCAGCCTCGATATCCATTCACTGTTCGCCGTGTAGGTGTCGTCGATCCCCGATTCAAAGTATATGGTCTCCAAAATGTCCGCGTCGTTGATGCTAGCGTGTTTCCCATGCCTGTTGGCATAGCCCCGTTGTCGACAGTATACATGCTAGCCGAAAAGGTAAACTGCATGGTTTCTGATCATTTCTTCCCTACATCTGACTTGATTTCCAGGCAGCTGATACTATCAAGACCGATCTGAATGCTAACTAAATTAGTGTTCAGGTTCTTCATCAGTTCTTTTGAGAGAATACCCACATCAGACGTTCTTTACCATACTACTTTAAAGTTACGCGGCTACGTCTTATATCTGATCGTGATCGTTTCATCATAATTAATTTTATCTGCAATGTGCATTTTGGGAGTGTTTACTTTCCACAGACTGTTCATCATTTATCGAACACTTAGTGGATGATTATTTATTATATCAGATATTAAATATATGAGTCTTTGCTCAAAATTCCCACTATCCCATACTAGCATGATGAGTTTCAAATGAAAGGTATTTCTTGAAGTACTTCAAGTTGGCAGTCCTCAGGCTTCAGGACGCAAAAATCAAACCCAAACATCGTGACCTGGGGTTGAAAATGAATGCTTGCTAGCTCAGCGGCTGCCACCATACCTGTATTCGTAATAAATGACGATCTATGCCAATGAATTTGATCGCCTTGAACATTGAGCAGCGGGTCGGTAATACTAAGACTGTAAGACTTCATAATTGGTGGCAGAGACAAGGGCAGGCCAAGGACTATGTCCTATTTCACGGCAACTCCCGCCTTTCAGCGACGGGCCGACCCGGGCCTTTGAACTTCCTGCTAGCCTTCGTGGTCAATTCGTGGTAGTAGGTGGTTATCTGACCGACACGGCACAGCGATGGATTCAGAAGAAGGATGCTTAGCTCATGACTGTTGCATAAATACTTATCAGTAGGAAAAATAGTTCTACTGAGGGACACGTTCAATCTCAAACCAAACGTTGCTATCCCCAGTAAGACTGAATATCTTTGAATCTTATAGCCGGAGGAAGATTTAACAAGTAGGTTTCCTTTTCAAGAAGACCTGTAGAAACGGATACTCTCAAAGGAATGTACGGCATACCTGGTTCCATCGCATGCGTCGCTGCTCTGGAATGACATATCTCCTTCGTCATCGCAACGTCACAAAATTGGCCACAACTTGAAGGCATCGCAGGCGACTCGCCTACTATTATTAATTCATTCAGAACGGGAAGATCACTTCTGATAGTCAAATCAAAGATGCCATCACCGCAAACATGGATATGCTATATGTCAGATACATGTAGACAGCATTTGAATGACTGTTCGACAGCGATACAGTTACGAGAAAAGAGATCCCTGAAGCTGTGCACGCGATTCCGGGCGTGTGAAGCAATATAATGACTTCCATCGGAGGACCTCGGTCGTGGCTATCACTTTTCAATAGCCGGTGGTGCATTGTACAAGGAACTTGAAGTTGTCACAAGTCGAGTGATGGGGCTTCTCTACTAAAGTTGAACCTCAAACTCTGTAAAGAGAAAATCCAGTCAGCCACATCGTACACGTCATTGACAAATTATTCATGAAAACATTTAAATTTAATCCAGGTAGCACTGAGATCCTGACCGTCCTTGATCCTCCAAGCACGCATTTACAACTATCCATGCAAATAGTTAATTTAATAGCCGTATATCTAGAGACATACTTAATCCAAGACTTTAAGGTTCTTCCCTTTTCCAGCTCGACTTCAATCATCCTGCGTAATGAGTTCGAGAGCAGCCTTGGATCGAGGCTTAATAGTACACGGAAATGGGGCGGGGTGACTATTTATAGCGGTCAGCTAAAAATGGAGTCTTCATCTGCCCACGCTCACCTGATCGTTCCCGGGCTGAGCTTCACTAGAGGTGTGATCTCATTCCCGCGTTCATCGATAGCTTTCGAAATATCGAAGACGGCCAGAATTGACGCCATGGCTATCCACATAGTGTCAAGTGCCATAACCCTCCCTGCACAAGCGCTGTCGATGGAATTAGGCCACTCTAGAACGAGACAGGCACCCTCACGTACCGCCTTCCAAACCCAAATACCCCATTATCGATCGGGTTGGGTAAGGTTGGGTTCTCAATGAATCTGCTTGGTCTGAACGTTTCGGGGTCTGTGAAAATGTCGGGGTTGTGAAGTATAGCCCTAGGAGAAGTTTAGGCAACGCTCACACGTTGATAATGGACTCACCATGCATTTCCGTACACGAAGGCACCGGCTGGGATATAGTATCCTTTGTAATTGTCAGCATTAACGGCGCGATGAGGCACAGCTAAAAATTATTGTGAGTGAGGATCGTGTTAAGATACCTGACCAGTCCTTACCCATCGGTAATACGGGAATCCAGCGAAGGACTTCCTTTAATATCGCCGTGACGTATGGAAGCTGGGTTTTATCGGAAAAGTCGGGTAAACGTTCACTGCCCAATAATTCGTCGAGTTCGGCTTGTGCTGCCTTTTGAACCTCGGGATAAAGTGTCATCGCAAGGACAAAAGTCGTTAGAGTTGAGACGCTCTGGAACATATCCTGTCAGTGTTCTGAACCGTTTCGAAGGTCAGAGGAATTGTACCGTATCAGCACCTGATTATCAACTCAATAAGAATACAAATGCCAAAGGAAATAGAGCTAAACTGACCGGCAGCATATGCGACGGCAGCGGTGTCTTTAATGAGTTCCTCACTTAACCCTTGACCAGAAGCAGTCTTGTTCTGCTCGAGACAAGCGGAGACGAAGCAAGGCTCGGCATTTCCTTCATCCTTGCACGTGCACCAAAGTTTAGTTCGCAGCGTGATCCGATCAAAGAGCTACAACTTACAAATTTCCCCTTCGCCATGTCATATGGTGCATTGATCATGGCTTCTGAGAGTTTGCGCCTATAATGGGCGCTTTCGTAAGGCGAGATGGTAGGCCTACCGACAGAAGACACTTACCACTCCCTGGCCTTTCTCTTGAACTGAGCGCCCGGGAACCAATCAGGAATGTACTTCACTGCAGAACGGATGTCAACAGGCGAAAATTTTTGGGTTTGACAAACGTACTGGATGGAAATAGATCGACAAGAAAGGCTCCAGGAACTGCAGCTACAGAGCTTCTGATGAGTATCATCGTCGCTAAGAGAGTGAGGAAGGAGGTTACCTTCAGATGTACTTTGAGATGCTGCCTCGACCAGACGGATGTAAGGATCACTCTCGTCCACTACCGTGTGTCCATACGTGCGCTTGAGAATAATATGACCCGTGTAGCTGGAAAACATAGTCGATGAGGAACATTATTTTCAGAAAACCGCACCGACATACTGCCGAAGGTTTTCAAGATAATTTGATGGAGAATGGACCATCAAAGATAAGAGCTCGCGACAGATATGCAGTTGGATATGCCGGTCTTCTGACGAGCCGGATGTGCCAATATTGAAGTGGTTGTTGAATACTCGTCTGTGTTCCTTCCAACGCGGCCCGTATCGCATGAGGGCAAATGTCCAGTCCCATCCTACACGGCACACATCTCAAAAAATTGCCCTTATACCATATCATGGTCGGACGTACCCATTCTAGACGTCGATAATGGATTTTAGCTATCACAAACAAGTCAACGAAAACTACTCACAGGTCGACAATCATTGGCATGTCGGGCCGATCTGAGTAGTTGGAGCCTCGCTTGTCAAAAAGATCAGAGACCGAGGTAGACGAATTGAGGATTATCATAGTTTTCCCAAGAACATTGAGGGAGATGACATCCTCATCTAGAAATATAAAAGTGTCATTTCACTACTATTAACTTGGGTGGTTGACTCACTAAAATTTCGAGACCAATGACGAGCTCTGATATGAACGTCGTTGTTGGCCAAATCAAGGAGATTACCTATAATAGGATATCCAGGAGGCGCTGGGGGAAGAGGGAGAGAAGAGCGGGGACGAAAAGTCCTCCTGAGCCACAAGACGAGAAGGATAACCCAAATGACAACGAGAAGAGATGCAGAATCCATGACAAGATGGAAACGAGAAGGTAACAGCACCCTTAGCCCTTAGAGATGTACTGTATCCCGATGCTCAGTCTTCCCACAAAGGAAAGTACAGAGAGGCATACCCATTAAGTAGAAACCATTGTAATCAGTCACCGTTACTCCGAAGAGGGTCACTAGTTGAATCAAGATCAATACCCGTCGGGCGCAGAGTCGAAACCATGGAATGAGCGAACATTTTCCAACGTCCTCTATTCAAACGTGAAATTTCAGTGGATCAGGCCCCTGCGGAGATGAGGTGTTCGATGATGACGGAGGTAAATAGCCAAAGTAGGGCCGGGCCATCCGAGCCGACATCCGTCACTGGTACCATTCCGCGCGCATCGCCGCCTTTGGTTCACTTGGGAGCTTCGAGCTGGAATGTTGTAACTACTTAGACTGGCTTTTTTTCCCTGCCCAGTTGACTTGACAAATTTTCCCATGAACTCCCACTGCGATCTGGGCTCCTTTCCTGCCAGGTGCCTCCCAGGCACTTCTTGAATTATTGTGCAATTGTTTCTTGAATGTTATCCATTTTTGTGGAACAATTATCGATCTAGATAGTACGCGTGGTCGATCACTCGGTCCCGGTGGCTCTGTTTCTTCCAACTGGAGGTATATAGGCCAAACCCCCATTGGTGTACTTACCCCTGGACAGTTGAGGGCGTGTATCGACTCGCCGCTCGCAGGACATTACCAGCGCCAATGTCGGGCCCAAAGGTCTGCAAAGGTGTTACAAGTGAATACAAGGTATTACAAGAAATTCCGAATCGGAAAGAGCATATACTTGACGCCTTCAGTAATCCGTGGAAGATGGATCATGCGGTTATCATTTTGTCTGCCGGGATATGTTACTTTATTAACTTTTTTTGAGTATATCCCAAACTTCCGTACGACGTTAATGAAGGTGCATAGACCGAAGGCTACTTATCGGATGCGATACTTGATTTGAATGACTTCCAGTAGACTCCAGTTTTATGAATAGGCCGGCGCTAAAAGGCCCAGTCCATAGACGCTGACATACCACGGAATGCTGTTACGGTCGTCTAAGTCGACCGTTCACACCGAACGGGGTGAACGAAGTCTATTCATATTTTTATTCGACGTTCTTCATATATCACCCCCTCTTTATACTTGGAAATTCTACCTAGCAGTTGACGTCACGCCTCACAAAAGTCAAGAATAGGAAAACTAGAAAGGATGACTCGTCATGGTTTGTGAGCCGTCGTGATAGGGCCGAGTTACCGTTGATACAGGATCGTTGTGAACCGTCGTAAAGCTATACGGAACGCGGATCAGACCCAGGGTGAACGAAACAATGCTCGTCCTTTGCTTACTGATATTTATGACAACTAAACAATATCAATGAATCTCAGTTCAGATTCATCTATGGTAGCATGTAGGCGAGGTGGCATTTCCATTTTCTGGTTCTTTTTCAACTCCGCACAGGAATGTTCGCGCAGAGTGGCGCTTAAGGCATCCACGCATGGAGTTAGATACCGGAGTTACGCCAACGTCGCGCCCCGGCTTATGTTACACCAAGGCACGGTAGCCACGCTTCAGAGAAGTTCCCAACCCGAAGGAGGGTAAATCTCGCGAACCGATACCATCTATGGATGTTGCGACGGGTTTCATTCACGCTATCGCAAGCAGTTCATTTCCGCTACATTTAAAAATCACCAGCGACATTCCTGCCAGAAACTTAAGAGGTTCCAGACTGATCTTTCAGAAAATCCCCACATCCTTCTTCCGCTATTCTCAATGTCTCAACGCATCTTCCTTCCTGATACTCTTGCCAACTGGCAGTGGCCTCGCCATCTTAACCCCCACTATGCTGAAGTCAAGAAGGAATCAGCGGCCTGGGCACAAAGTTTCCGAGTAAGTTGCATACAATGTATACCCACATCGAGTGTTCTGAGGAGCATTAGGCCTTCAAAACGAAAGCTCAGGAAGCATTCGATCGCTGCGACTTTAGTAGGTCACGATTGCGGTGCTTACTGGACTTCAACTGACCAGACGCCATCACTCAGACCTCCTCGCTTCATTCGCGTACCCGCTGGCGGACAAAGGCAAGTAATGCAGGACATAAGATTTGACTGTCCAAGCATCCTAATCTGCCCTCGTCTCTAGCACGTCTCCGTAGTGGATGTGATCTCATGAACCTGTAGGTCTTTAAGTTATTGCTCGGGGATATTTTGTTGATGCGATCATACAGTTTCTTCGTCATCGACGAATACTCGGACGTCTCGACAGAGGATGAAGGTAAGCCCACTGGACTTCTCCTAGAAATAGGCAGTGTTGTTGACATCTGTCTAAGTGCGCGCACAGAAGGACATAGTCATGGACGCCATCCGGAACACAGAGAAGCCACGTCCCGCCGGAGAATGGATTGGAGGAGAAGTTTCTCGGCAGTCAGTACCACACGTTTAGATACCTATCAGCCAGGAACTGATGCACCATAGATTCTGGGACCTTGCGAAGAAGACAGCAAGCACCCAGGCGCAGAAACGCTTCATCGACACCTTTGACGAGTACCTGGAAGCTGTCGTGCAACAGGCCGCCGATCGAAACAACTCTCACGTCCGAAGCATCGAGTCGTACCTTGAAGTTCGGCGGTGCACTATCGGCGCGAAGCCATCGTTTGCGCTTCTGGAGTTCGACATGCAGTTGCCGGACGACGTCATCAATCATCCGGTTATTAAAGAGCTCGAGAAGAGCTGCATTGATATGCTCTGCCTGGGAAATGTGAGTGATTGTATATAATCAAGAGAAGCAGAAGATGACCTAGTGTTTTTTTCAAGGATGTTGTTTCATATAACCTTGAACAAGCTCGGGATGACGACGGGTGGGTAATAGTACTTCACCCGTCATTATCATTCTGACGCAGTCTCTAGCCACAATATTGTCACTATCGCAATGAACGAGCTTAGGACAGATGTGGCAGGTGCCATGCTTTGGGTCGACGAATACCACAAGCAGCTCGAGTCCAGGTTCATGGAAAACTTCAAGAAAGTGCCGAGATGGGGAGGTCCCGTTGACCTGCAGGTTTCTCGATATTGCGATGGCCTCGGTAATTGGGTGAGGGCTAATGATCAGTGGAGCTTCGAAAGCGAGAGATACTTTGGAAAGAAGGGACCGGAAATTATCCAGACAAGGTGGATAACGCTCCTGCCAAAGATGGTGTCAGAAGAACTTGGTCCTCAAATCGTTGACGGGTCCCATCTGTAGAGAGTACGTTGGCGTAGTATATACTATATATTAAAATTAGTTTCGAGGAATATTTAAGAGTATAAGCGATGCAGATAGCAAGTAGATGGACTTCGGATTTGAAACACCGAAAGTGGCATCATGTTACATATGTTTGGCAAAACCCTCACGAACCGCTTGAACCGAACCACCACTTACTCAACGCGACCGGTCGATGACCATATCATGATTGCAATCATATATAAAGGTGGCAACAAACCATTGCTTCTGTATACCTCCCCCTCGACAGAATGGCATCTTCTTCAGTTTCTCAAGGCAGAGTAGCGCTTGTCACGGGAGCTGGACAGGGCATTGGACGTGCTATTGCACTTCGATTGGCTTCGGACGGATTTGACGTCGCACTCAATGATCTCCAAGCGAACGAAGAGAATCTCGTGTCTGTGCTGGCTGTTGTAGAGGCTAATGGTCGCAAGGGCTGCTACATCTTTGCCGACATCTCGCAGGAAGCTCAGGTTGAAGAGATGATATCTCAAGTCGTTGGAAAACTAGGCGGGCTTGACGTGGTACGTTATGCTGTTGCTTCGTGGACGATTTTTTATTTCTATAAGATGGTCTGCAACGCTGGGATATCCATCATGAAGTCGTTTTTCGACAGTACAGTGTCACAGCTCTCTCTCTTCATCAAATTTCTCATCCCTTACCTAGCTACTGTTGAGGACTTTGATCGCATAACCTCTGTAAACCTGCGTGGTACATTCTTGTGTTACAAGCACGCCGGAAAACAGATGGTGGCCCAAGGAAGAGGTGGGAGAATCATCGGTACGCTGTTTGTTGGCGTCTTTAGAGCACCTTTGTCAATGATATTCTAGGTGCGTGTTCCGGAACCGGGAAGAAAGGTGAGTAGTTGCTGAGGATCATCTGCATCTATCTTGACATCTTCAGGTCAACCTTTGTTTAGTGCATATGCGGCCAGCAAATTCGGTATACGAGGACTAACCCAAGTCGCGGGTGAGCGCCGTAGAATATATATAACATGGGCTCCCGTTCACGAATATCTTTTTTTCAGCTTTGGAGCTCGGTCCTCATGGAATCTCCGTCAACGCTTTTGCCCCAGGGCCAGTGAAGACACCTATGTGTATGAACACGCCCAATTCTATTCAGTTCTACACTGACGCTTTCCTTAGATGATCATTTTGAAACCGTTATCGGCGCACCCAAGGGAACCCTTGAACAAGAGGTGAGAGCAATTGTGTTTTCATGTTGGTATATCTCACATTTTCAAAGCTTAATAAAACAGCGGCTTTAGGTCGCATCGCCTTGCCCGAGGATATTGCAGTTGTAGTATCCTTCCTTGCGTCGAGGGAGGCTAGCCTCATCACTGGTAACTGCTTCTTTCTCCCGTCTTCAACCATTTTTGATTTTTTTCTTCTTCTTAGGACAGACAGTAAGTATCTTTTTACGTCCACGGTTTCTATTGTAAATTTACTTGGATAATCAGATCAGTGTCGATGGCGGTATTGTATTCGATTGATAGTTGCGTGGATTCACCCTACGTTTCCTTTGTTAGCTTGATATGTCATTCATTGTTCTTGCTGTTTGTCAAAGGTTCTGTACTTCATGCTCTTATGTCAGCTCCTCATTCTGCTAGTGGAGATTGTGGAGTGTCGTACGAGTAGCATTGTTCAAGTCACATCGTGACCTTGGCGCTGTCGTGTCATCGGGGCGCACAGTGTGTCGTCTGCCACTGAGTTTCAAGGGGCTTATGAACTCAGTATGTGTTTCTAATGGTTTTCAAAAGGTGTGAAAGACAACATGAGGCATTGCCCATTTGACTTGAAATACTGGACACGGGTATCGGCTCTATCCAATAGCCGCTATTCATTCGATATTCAAGGAGAGTAGTCTACAGTCATTATCTGAATTATCATGAAATCATGACCGACCTGGCCGCCCGAGAAGAGACGAAGTGAATGACAAAGATGGGTTATAAATTGGGCTGGAGCATCACAGCATGATGACCTCAATTGAAAGATATTTATTTTTAGGCTGTCTTCAGCCTAAAAAATCAAAGCAAAATATCTTTCCAATATTGGTGCTTTTATCAAGTTTCTTTTACCCATTTGAGACACAAATATAATTAAAATAAATATCATTTGAATTCAACGTTTACGCTTCAATTATCAAAGCCATCCTGCAGTGCGTTGGATGTAATGTGACATGCGGCTCTGGAGGCAGCTTGACAGTACCCATACTTTGACCTATCCCACTATGTAAACCAAAACTGAACTAGGATCTCCGAGAAATTCCAACGACTTCCGATCACGTTCCGAAAATAACGCAGACCAAATAAGGTTGTTGCATGTCTTTCACTCCTCCGACAACGGTTTTGTGGCCAAGGTGCCTGGAGCCGATGAAATGGAAAATGTTGGACGAGAAGGCGGTCCATCGTCTCCTATGAATCCTCCTCGCGTACTTACGGGGAAGTTACTTTATTCCTACACTCCGTGCTCGGAGCAGATGTGTGCCAAGGCTGTCAATGCTGTCGATATATCCGAAATGCATAACATTTAATGTTTCGTGGCATTGTCTATCCAGGGGTGGTGTCTGAATCAGATCAGATGCCGATCGACTCGAGTTTTGTTCTGATCAGTGATTGAATGAATCGGATTGGAATCAAACCGGGCTTACCACGCGCCCATCCGTTGAAGCTCAGTTTCCAGATTCATGGGCGGTGTAAGTTTCTAATAGAATGGATCTCGAGTGTGAGAAAATATTGAGTGAAGAAGTACAAGAGGAAACCCGCATGCACAGGTCGAGTGTATCACTCCCATTCCCCCGAATCTCGGAAGCTCGTCTCTTATCGGGCCATGACTCGCATACTCTCAGAGGAGGTGTCGCCGATATGGATTTTGACTGCTATCGCAGTCATTGCCTACACCACCGTTCGCTACCTTCGTAGTCCTCGGCGCAACCTCCCCCCAGGACCGAGAGGCTTTCCTCTTATCGGAAACCTTTTGGAGCTTCGTGGAAAACAATGGCTCACATTTACTGAGCTAGGGAAGAAATATGGTATATTCTTTCGAATTGTGTACGATTAAATCATCGAACCTGGTTGCAGGTGATCTCATGTACTTCAACGTCGCCGGGCAACCGCTCGTGGTCATCAACTCCCAGAAGGTGGCAGCCGATCTGCTTGACCGTCGTGCTGGAAAGTTCTCCGATCGTCCGCGCAACATCGTTGCGTCGGACATCATGACTGGAGGAATGTTGGTCGTGTTCACACGTTACGGTGATGTGTGAGTCCTTCCTGTTCGTATTCGGTTCGCCTATCTGATGTGTAGAGTTCAGTTGGCGTCGAATGCGCAAAGCTGCTCACGAGGGCCTCAACAAAGGCGTCGTGTATAAATACCATCCCATTCAGACTGCGGAAGCTGTTCTTCTTACAGCTGGTGTGCTTGCGGAACCTGAAAAATGGAATTCGCATCTACGTCGCACCGCCGCTTCTGCCATCATGTCCATGGTATACGATACGCCTCCGACTTCAGAGAAGGATCCGTCGGTTAAAAATATTAACGACTTTGTTGCACGGCTGACTCGTGCTGCTATGCCCGGTGCCCACTTCGTGCGTTGCTCTCCATGTGCTTCGCTTCGCCTAATAATACTTATGATCCCAAAGGTCGAATTCTTCCCTTGGATGCGATGCATCCCCAGCAAGTAAGTTTCATAAATGTCTTGCATAAGCGAGCGCTGGCGAATTCCCCCCGTTAGGTACGCTAAGTGGAAGCGCGAGGCGGAGGAATCATACGTCCAAGATTCTGCGATGTTCGAAAGGCTCTTCAACGGCGTTAAGGATCGCGTAGTACGTGCGCGGTGATTACGTCTTTGGTAGCTAATTTTCATTCATTCCGGTAAGACCAAGGGTGATGAGCGTCCCAGTCTCGCGAGCACTTTGATTCAAGATGCAGGAAGACACGATCTGACTGACCGAGAAAACTCCTGGCTGGCCGGGACCATGTAGTATGTCTTCATTATCTGTCCCAAATCTCTTCTCCTGAGCCTTCAACAGCGCTGCGGGTGCTGAGACCACTTCAGGAGTTATGGCCTGGTGGACTCTTGCTATGATTGTTTACCCCGAAACACAGAAACGAGCCCAGGCAGAACTCGATGCTGTCGTTGGTCGTGATCGTCTGCCTTCTTTCGCCGACTATGAACATTTGCCATACATTCGCGCAATGGTCAAGGAGGCCCTCAGATGGCGCATGGTGGTAAGTCTCTTTCTCCGTGGTGCCGGCGTGATGCAAGATGCAGACTAATGTATCCGTTACAGGATCCAGTCGGTGCGTATGGCCCTAGAGGTAGACCTGCCCGACGCTGATAGTCTCTTTTTAAGGGCTTCCTCACAAGTCGACAGAAGATGATGTATACGAGGGATACTTCATTCCTGTAAGTGTGGATTACGCTCGTGCCATACAGTGTTCACCACCATACACAGGCCGGTACTATCCTTATCGCCAACGTTTGGCACCTCAACAGAGATCCGGAGATCTATGGGCCTGATGCTGAACATTTTAACCCTGCACGGCATCTCGACAAGGACGGTAAACTAGCCCCGGGACCCGTAGACACGAAGGAGGAGAGGTTTGTTGATATCCAGTTCCCGCACATAATACGCTGATTTTTCTGCACAGCCACGTCACCTACGGATTTGGGCGACGAATTTGCGTTGGACGACATGTAGCTAACAACTCTTTGTTCATCGACATAGCAATGATGCTTTGGGCTATGGACATCGAACGAGCCACCGACGAAAAGGGCGTCCCCCTTCCGTTGGATGTTGATGGATGCGTTGAAGATGGACTGGTAACGTATGTCCGGCACTGTTCCTTGTTTAAGCGCGTATTAATCATATAATCCGTAGCCGTCCAATCCCTTTCGAGGTCAACATAACTCCGAGGTTCCCGGAAGCACAGGCAATAGTAGAACAAGAGCGAGAACTCCTTGGATATCACTGAAGGCTGTCGAAAACGAGTTTTTTTCTTACTGTCACAATGTATAATGCATTCCGCTGTAAAGAACAGTCCATCATTTAATTGGAATAATGTCAGTGGTCCCGACCACTTACAGAGGAATGGTTCCATCATGTGTATAATCATCTATCCATTACTACCACGAGAGAAACATTGGTGTGTGTCTGGCATAACACGAGTTCTCCCGAATCCAAATCTGAAGAAGATGGCTCACTTTGAAGCTCTGATCAACCATGATACGCGCTTACGTCTCTGTAATATACCTGAGTATAATGCTTCAGAGATATAGCAATATATTTCTTGAGAATGCCCCTCCATCACAAGGTGCTTACTGAAATCTCAAGGTCAGTGATGTGCTCCAATGGTGGGCACGCTTCAATGCAGGAAAAAGCCAATAAACATGCCTAAGAGAGAAAGATGTGATAAAAGAGAGCAAAAAGCTTCCAAAATTGCACACCATGATCAGGCTCTGAGATGTGCCATAGGCTGCTCAGGTTCCCAGCTTGACTATCCATCTATATGATCAGAAAAATTCCTTGATAGTTTGAACATTCATGACACTGGAAGTTTGTAAGTCCACAGAAAGTAATGCAGCACTATGAAAAATGCTGGATTTTGGAGTGATGAAAGTTGAGGGTACAAGCCATGTGGATGTGTGTCATCCACTTCAGAGTTAGACTTTACATAGATTGAAGTGCTGAGGTCTTGGACATCCAAGCTATGCACTGAGATCTTAATAGAGACTAATTCCATACTGATCTTTCCCTTTCCATTGACAATGGTAGGGTGTGTTACATTTGCAAACCACTACTTAGTTACTTAGTCTCAGTAATCACTTATTTTAGTTGGTGTAACTGTCTTTCAAGTCTTAACTAGGTACCTTTCATCTCATTTATAGTATGTATGCCTAATGAGGCCAGTTCCAAAATTTGATGGCATGACTGGAATTTCTTTTTATATCTTCCATAAGATCTTTTCTGCAGCTCTGCCTTTTCTCTGCTGCTTCTTATCCTAGTGAGAGCATGATCAAATTCTAGTACTTCCATCTCAGATGTAGCCTTCTTGTTGTGAACAGTACTATTTTCATTGTAAAGACTCAGAAATGAGGTAGAAAGGAATTGTGAAAGAGAGGGATGGAGGAGACAATTGAAAATTTTGTGTCAATCAAAGTTTACTAAACTGGAATACTTATTATGTAACCTACTATTAGCAGCATGAGTTGCAGCAATAGCACAGGCACCCTGTGATGAAAAACATCTATGGCTATAGGGAGCCACTGTATAACCACCCAGTCACTCACTAGTACTCTGAAAAGCTCAATACTTTGATGACCTATATGCTATGCTCAGCCACAGTGCATATAGTGCAATATAACTTAAAGATGAGCCAAAATCTTGAGAGAAGACACAGGCTTCAGCTGATGCTGAATGCTGGTTGGAAAAGTATAAAGACAAGTTGAAGTCACTCTAAGATATAGGAGTCTACAAGCTGATTCTGAGGTCTGCAGTCTCTCAAGGACATAAAATCAGAAAAGGACAGCCTGTCTTTCAAATAAAGCATAACAAAAATAGTACACCAGTCAGTGTTATGATTTTTCCATTTTCTTTCCTGATTAATCCCTATTTACACTTAGTCAGAGCACTAGAACAGGCACCTAAGATCATGAGACAAGGCTTAGTCATCACAACTAACTAAGTCTGCCATTGTCTTTTGATGCAGCAGCATTGCTCAATGATACACAACCAACCTTTTATATACAGTAATGATGCTCTAGAACAATGAGCATGAAAACAGAAAGATACACAATAAGTATATAGTATAATTAGCAGACCTTGAACAGTATTTAAAGAGGCTTGCTCTTGCTAGTAAACTCCAGCTTTGAGTTAAAGTTTATTCCATCTCATTCTACTCTCAAGCTAGTCACACAAAGCCTTGAAGCACAGGGAATCAACATTGGTACATATAAGTGAACTCTGATGGAAGGCTCAAACATGAAGCCACATTAGTTTATCATGTGCTAGTTGATCACATGCAGCTTAGGCCTAACAATTAGCTCAAAGCTTCACCTTTCCTTTCTTAAGCTTAATTGTGCTGAGAAACTGAATGCCATCAGCAACCACTGCTGACTTTAATCATGACTTCTTTAAATTGATAGCTTCCATCATAGGAATGCTACTAGGGCTTCTAGCCATCATCATCTTTTGCTATGGATGACAATCAGTAACTGCTTGGATAGTCAGACACTATCAGGCATTTCAACAGATCTACACCATCCTTTAAAATGCAACTTCAGACCTACCATTCTATAACATCTCTGCCTCTGTCCAAACATCCTTTCAGCCACAAAGGCAACCCATATCAGAAACCAGGCATAGTGGCCTGCCTTCAGAAAGAAGAAAGACCTCAATACCCCCCTTGATGATCTAGCAGAAACTGCGACCCTACTTTCACAGGATTCTAGAACCCTTAGACAATGAACATCACTCAAAAGCTTGAGAAAATCCCTAATAACATCCCTTTGAATGCCTCTGCCCCCAGTGATGCCATCTCCTCTAATATCCCAGAGATTGGAAACCATGCTTGGAACTCTCTTGATACTACTCAGATGGCTTCAAGATTCCAGGCAACCTCTGACTCCTCTCACTATTCCCTCTATGCTATCTCTGAGTCAAGCCCATCTATCAGCAGGTTAGGGCTTGACAACTCTCATGAAAGAACCATCCACCAGGATTTTATGAATGTGGAGCTCACCATCACTATGGCAGAAGATTCTCAGAACCACCTTCACATTGGGAGTCAGCCAGAGGCAGAGACAGCTAGCACAAGGGAAAGAATTATCTGAGACAGAATTATACAATGAATCTTTCTGGACTGGAACCTTAGGATCCTCTTTGACTACAATGATGCAGTATAGCAGCAGCAGCAGCAGCAGCAGCAGCAGCAGTAGAATCGAGTCTGGCAGACAGAGGTTAAGTGAGCTTGGGAAGAGCTCGCCAAATACACACAGACAGAAGCACAGCAAGAGTCTAAAGAAGCCAGATATGATTATCAAAGACGACAATAAGAACAACAGAAAGAGGCCATCAGATTGGGATTGGCCTCCCTTAGTTATTATAGCCTTCAAACCGACTCCTCAGGATCCCCTTTCAGAGAGCCCAATTCAGAAACTGATTCATAGACAGGATCAGACAGTGCCATCACTAGGAATGAAGCCATCAGAAGGAGCCAAGTTGCAGGAGACAGTGATTATCCCTTTTCTCTTTAGTACTCCACCAGAATTGATACCATCTCTTCTGATGCTGACTCTGTCCTCAGAGCCTATGGGCTCCAGGTACCTAATAATGCCTACATCTCCGACTGAGCCCTCTACTGATTTCTAAGAAGTAGAGTCATCCACTAGTTCTTTGATTCCAGGTTTCAATAAAACTTTGGTCTCTATAGCCAAAAACTGGAGGAGAAAAGAGCATATGGTGGAACCCAATACAGTCAGCTCTGAAATCCCCCTATCCAGCATACAACTCCTAGACTTGATCCAAGTACTGCTAGGCCCAGCACCAGGATCAATGACAGGCTCTCTGGTGACTCTTAGGCCAGCCGTCCTGTCTATCTATGACCTGCCTATTGGTTCTCTCCTCAAAAAAGAGGACAGTGGAGATGAGGAAGATGAGAAGGACAGTAAAGACCCCTTCCAACTTGAACAATTCATGGAATATATTGCCAAAGAAACTGATGAAGAAGTATTAAGAGAAAAAATAGAGCAAGAAAAGAGGAAGAAATATCAGGGACTATATGAGCAGGGGATACTCTTTTTATAGAGAGATGCCCACTGGCAGGCTGTGCCCTTAGGATTAAAGTATGAAAATACAGATGGCACTGAAAAAAAAAATATTTTACAGTATGCTATGATAAAGTATGCCTAGGAAGAATATGGCTGATGGCATTCAGAGAATCCCCTCAAGCCAATACCCCCATACCAACCTATAACTCAGCCAGGGCCAATGCTGAGCTCTCCACCTATCCTGCTGAAATGAGCTGTATACATGGCATTATCTATCCACAGCCAAGCTGAAAGACTAAGCCCTTCAGTCTGAAGCACAACAACTTGGTTTACCAGAACCTGACACTCACTGGCTGCTTCAACACAGCAGTATGAGAAATTGCTGAACCCATAGACTAGCAAAGAGAGCTGACTCTTAGGGGCTCAGCCCCCACTGGACATGACAACAGAAAGTGAGAAGGGAAAAGAGCCAGCTCAAGATGATCCTGAAGCCATCTGGCTAGGATTCACTATCTGAGACAGCTTTATTGTCTGAAAAGAAGCAGCACCCTAGGGGAGCCCAGTTGCTAATGACAACTCCTTTCACTCTTTCTCTGGATCTCCACATGAATGGAGTCAACCTCTATTCTCTGAGTGGCCCAATCTAATAGATACCCTGCCTGAAAACACTGCTGTCCTACAGTGCTGACCTGATCTGCTTTGGAAACCTCACCCCTTTAAGGAAGCCTCCGATGATATTGATCGGTTTCTGGTCAACTGTGAATAATACTTTGAAGTCTATATCAGATATCTCAGCTCCAATATGAATAAAGTTATATTTGCTGCCTCCTATCTTGAGGAGAAGGTGAAGACCTGGTAGATCCTGATCTCTCCAAACTTTTGATTATTGACTCAGGAACATTATCGATATCTCTTATGGCCTATCTTTAAACAGATGCTCTATGACAAATTTATTGATTCTATAGTGCAAAAAGTATACAAACAGAAGATCAAGGAGTACAAGATGGCTGATAAAGTGGCAACAGACTACTTTAATGAGTTGAAACAGTTAGCCAAACTTGCCAGAATTCAAGATGACATAGCAAATGATGGAAGGATGGTGGAGGCCCTCAAGTGAGAGGTCCTCTCCTCTTACATTACAATGATCTCAGCCATCAGTATTTGAGCTCTTATGCTGAATAGTTATGATAAATGGAAGGAATGGATCATTAAAATGTATAAAGAGCAACAAAGACAGAAAGCAGAATCAATGATGCTATAGAACTATATAAAA